GCGTGTCAGCAAAGGCGCAGTCTGCCGGCGCGAGGGTGCGCACGGCGTGCGTGTCGGCGCGGCGCGAGAAGTAGCCGCCGTGGAATGGCGCCTCGTGCTTGATTGCCTGGCCGATCTTCTTGCCGATCCACTTGCCCAGCCCACGCACCTCTGCCCCGTCGGGCGAGCGGCGCAGCGACGCCTGCCACGGCTGCTCGTGCTTCGTCGCCTTGCTGGTCTTCTTGCCAACCCACCGGCCCAGACCACGCACCTCTGTCTCATCCGGCGAGCGGCGCGTCGTGGTGAGGTGCCACTTCTCCCGCGTGCCCTCGGCCCACTGGTGGACATCGTGGAAGACGTTGCGCGGGGCGGTCTCGTCCTCGTCCAGCGAGCGGCGCTGTGGCGCGTGGCCTGGGCCGTGGTTGTCGTAGACCTGCTCCGTCTTGTGGCAGGCGTCCTGGAAGATGTTGCGCGCGTCGAGCTCGTCCTCGTCGAGCGAGCGGCGCTGGTTGGCCCACTTCTTGATCGTAAAGGCGTCCTTCCACTTGCCGCGAGCAGCGAGCTCGTCGTCCTGAGCGCGGTCGTTTAGCTTCGCATACATGTGGTACAGCGGCTTCGCCAGCTTGCCGGCGATGTACTTGCTCGCCGTCGCCATCACGCCACGCACCTGGATGTCATCGAGCGAGCGCTTCTCTGCGTGCACGTCGTCGGAAGCCTCGCGATTGGCGACGTACTGCAGATCGCCGACGGTCGTGGGCACGTCGCGGCCGCTGACGGCGGGAGCAAGGGCCGAGACCCAGAAGGGGTCGCGAGCCTGGACGTCCTCGTCGCGCCCATTGATGGCCGGCGCGAGGGCGGACACCCAGAACGGGTCGCGGGCCTCGAGATCCTCGTGGCTCACGTCGCGTCCGTTGACGGCAGGAGCGAGAGCCGAGACCCAGAAGGGGTCGCGAGCCTGGAGGTCCTCGTGGCTCACGTCGCGTCCGTTGACGGCAGGAGCGAGCGCGGAGACCCAGAAGGGGTCGCGAGCGTGAACCTCCTCGACGTCGCGCCCACTGACGGCAGGGGCGAGCGCGGAGACCCAGAAGGGCTCGCGGGCCTGGAGGTCCTCGTCGCCCTCGACATCACGCTGCGCCGGGGCCGGAGCCGCCGCGGCAGCCTGCGCCTGCTTGTGCTTGTGGTAGAGGTACAGACCACCACCGGCGAGGGCCGCCTTGCCCCAGAAGGGGTCGCGAGCCTGCAGATCCGCGTCGACGTTGCGCTCCGCCGGAGCAGCCGGAGCAGCAGCAGCCGCCTGCGCCTGCTTGTGCTTGTGGTAGAGGTACAGACCACCGCCAGCGAGCGCAGCCTTGCCCCAGAACGGGTCGCGAGCTTGAAGGGCCTGCTCGTCGTCGCCAAGGTCGCGCTCCGCGGGAGCAGGGGCTGCCGCCGCCTGCGCCTGCTTGTGCTTGTGGTAGAGGTACAGACCACCGCCGGCGAGGGCCGCCTTGCCCCAGAATGGCTCAGGGCTGCGGGCGTCGAGGGCCTGCTCGTCGTCGTGCACATCGCGTTGCGCCGGAGCGGCAGCTGGCGCTGGAGCGGCAGCTGCCGCGGCTTGGTGCTGCTGGTGCTTGTGGTAGGCGTAGAGCGCGCCGCCGGCGAGGGCCGCCTTGCCCCAGAATGGCTCAGGGCTGCGGGCGTCGAGGTCCTGCTCGTCGTCGCCGAGGTCGCGGCGGTGATTGGCAGCCGCGGTCTTCATGGCGTCGACTCTCGAGTTTGCGAACTTGGTGAGATCCTTGACCGCGCCCTTGGTGAAGAACGGGTCGCGCACCTGCGAGTCCTCCTCGTCGCCGATGAGCTCGCGACGCTGAGCTGGCGCGGTGCCGTCCTGCTGCGCCTTGTGGTTCTGGTAGGCACGCCAGGCGGCCGTGCCGACGACGAGCTTGGCCGCAGTGCCCACAACGGCGTACTTGACGATCTTCTTGCCGCTGATCGGGTCGCGAGCCACCATGTGGACGGAGCCGGTCGCGCCCGTGGGCTGCTGCTGCTGCTGCTTGTGCTTGTCGGCGTAGTGCTTGCCGAGCAGGAAGCCGCCGCCGGCGAGGAGCGCCTTGCCGAGGAGCGGGTCGCGCGCGTCGAGGTGGCCGGCCGGCTCCACGCCGTCGTAGTGGGCATCGGCGAAGTAGCGGGCGTCGTCGGCGGAGAGCTGGCCGATGAGCGGGTCGCGCGCCTGCAGTGCTTCCTCGTCAGCCTCGAGGTCACGACCGTGCATGTTCCGGTACGCCTTTGTCGCGAGCGTGCTCCCCACAGTGATCAGGGAGCTCGCGGCGGCCGTGGCGGCGTTGCCCTTGTTGCCGTTCTTCGGACCGCGCTCCACCAGCTCGCCATCCGTAGCAGCACGCACCTGCAGCAGTTGCTGGTCAGCAGGCAGATCGCGCTGGTGGTGAGCGTTTCTCCAGGCCTGAATGCCAAAGCCCGTGCCGACGACGGCGCCGGCGCCCACGACGCCAGCCACAATCTTCGCGATCTGCTTCTTGCTGCGCTCCTGCAGCTCGCCGTCGGCAGCGGCACGGACCTGCAGCGCCTCCTCAGCATCGAGATCGCGGATCACGTGCTTGTGATGGAGGTAGCCGCCGATGCCGCCCATGGCGGTGACCTGGAGAACACCGGCAGCCACGAGCGCTCCGGCCCCGCGCTCCTGCAGCTGGCCGTCAGCACGCACCTGCAGATCCTCCTCGCCCTCCAGAAGATCGCGCTTGCCGTTCTTCTTCTGGCGGTACGAGTCCGCAAGGGCCTTGGCGCCGAAGCCGACCGCGGTGACCGCCCCTATGCCGGTCATGCCAGCCAGGAGCTTTCCCCCGAGGGTGGGGCCCCGCTCCAGCAGCTCGGCGAGTTCGCGCGTCTGCAGCTCGCCATCGCCGCCGGCACGCACCTGCAGATCATGCTCGTCGGCGAGGTCGCGCGCATCGAGCTCGAAGACGTCGCGCTCGGACAGCTCGTCGAGGTCGCGGTGCTTGAAGGCGTTCACGAGCTTGGTGGCGCCGTAGCCGAGGCCGGCGGTAGCGCCTGTCGCCAGGACGCTGCCAGCAGCGATCGCGGCCATGCGGCCTTTGCTCATCCGGGCCTGCAGCTCGGCATCGGCAAAGTCGCGCTCCTGCAGCAGCTCGGCGTCAGCAAGACCGCGCTTGTGCTTGTTCTTGCTGTCCAGCCAAGCGCCGAGGCCGGCACCGCCGCCGACGAGCGTCGTAGCGCCAGCGAAGACCGCCAGGCCGCCCTTCAGGCCGCGCTGCTCGAGGTCCTCCTCGTCGCGCTCGGCCAGCGTGTTGCCGTGCGCCTGGTGGTACCGGTTGGCGCTCCACTGCGCGCCGGCGTTCATGCCCTTGGGATAGCGGGGGTCACGCAACTGCAGCTCGGCCTCGTCGCGCCGCTCCGCCGTGCTGCCGTGCGCCTGGTGGTGCGTGTCGGCGATGAACTGAGCGCCGGCGTTCATGCCCTTAGGGTAGCGGGGCTCGCGCTCCTGCAGCTCGGCGCGGCGGCGGCTCGTGTTGTTGAGACTGTCGAGCTTCTGCTGCGCCTTGGCCTGGTAGCGCATCGTGGTCAGAGCAGCGGCGCGGTGGGCCTCGTGCGCCGTGTTGTGGACCACGTCGTGGATGTAGCCCGGGTCGCGCTGCTCGATCTCGCTGCGGCGGCTCGTGTTGTTGAGGCTGTCGAGCTTCTGCTGCGCCTTGGCCTCGTAGTGCATCGCGGTGAGGGCGGCCGCACGGTGGGCCTCGTGCGCCGTGTTGTGCACCACGTCGTGGATGTAGCCGGGCTCGCGCGCCTCGAACTCGACGTCCTCGCCCTCGCGGCGTTGGACACGGTCCATGGCGTGGGCGGCCTTGCGCAGAGCTGCCGCCGTCGTGTGGGCAGCGGCGACGTGGGCAGCGTGGGCCGAGTTGTGGAAGACGTCGTGGACGTAGCCCGGCTCGCGCTGCAGCAGCTCCTCCTCGTCGACGAGGTCGCGACGGTGCTTGTGGGCGTTCTTGTAGTCCTTCACGAGGCTGGCAGTCAGCATGCCGCCGCCGACGAGCGCGACGGCTCCCGCAGAGCCGAGCGCGAAGATCTTGCCCGCTCCGGGGCTACGCATCTCGAGCTCGTCATCACGGCGCAGGGACTCCGGCTGCGGCTGCTCGCGGTAGCGGTCGATGTACTTGTCCTTGGCGTCGCTGAAGAAGCCACGCTCATCGACGCTCTCCGCCTCGCTGCGGTGGCCGATCTTGTTGCTGAGCGTGTTCAGGTCGTGTTGGACCGACTTGATCGCGCCCTGCGCCGCGCCCTTGCCCGCGCGGACGGCGGCGTCCTTGGCGGCGCTCTCGACGCTCGGCTCGCGCGACAGGAGCTCGTCGCCGTCCTCGCTGCGGTGTCCGATGTTGTAGCTCACCACGTTGAGGTCGTGCTGCACGGACTTGATGGCGCCTTGCGCTGCGCCCTTGCCGGCGCGGACGGCAGCCCCCTTCGCGGCGCTCTCGATGCTCGGCTCGCGCTGCAGCAGCTGCTCGTCATCCTCGCCACGACGGTGGGAGAGGTTGTAGCTGATGACGTTGAGGTCGTGCTGCACGGACTTGATGGCGCCCTGAGCAGCAGCCTTGGCGGCGCGGGTGCCGGCATCCTTGATCGCGTTGGGGTCGCGCTGCACGAGCTCGTCGTTGCCCTCCTCGTCGCGGCGATGCGAGAGGTTGTAGCTGATGACGTTCAGGTCGTGTTGGACCGACTTGATGGCGCCCTGAGCAGCAGCCTTGGCGGCGCGCACGCCGGCGTCCTTGATCGCGTTGGGGTCGCGCTCCAGGAGCGCGTCCTCGCTGCGGCGGTGGGGCAGGGCCTGAGACGCCTTGTGCTGGGCCTGGCGATCCTGGTCGGCGAACGTGGGGTAGCTGGCCGCCGACGTTGCCTTGTCCCACGTCTTGTGAACGAAGTCGTGGATGTGGCCTGGGTCGCGCTGCTCGAGCGCGTCGTCGCTGCGGCGACCAGCCTGGGCCGCCTTCTGGGCCGCGCGGTCTGCGCTTCTGAACGGCGTGTGGCCTGCCGCCAGCGCTGCCGCGTTCCACGTGTTGTGGACGACATCGTGGATGTAGCCGGGGTCGCGCTGCAGCACCGCCTCGTCGGCGGCGTCGCGGCGCATGTGGGCGACCTGGTAGCTGACGACGTTGAGCTTGTGCTGCATCTGCTTGACGTCGGCTTGAGTGGGTGCGTTCTTGCGCTGCACGAGCTGATCGACGACGTCGCGAGGGAGCTGGGCGAGCTTCTCGCTGGCGAGGTCGAGCTGGTGCTGCATCTGCTCCACGTCGGCCTTGGTGAACTCCTTGCCGCGCTGCAGGAGCTCTGCGTGGTCGTCGGCGTCGCGAAGCAGCTGGGCGAGCTTCTCGCTGGCGAGGTCGAGCTGGTGCTGCATCTGCTCCACGTCGGCCTTGGTGAACTCCTTGCCGCGCTGCAGGAGCTCCTCGAGCTCGTCGATGTCGCGGCGCGTCTTGTCACCTAGCTTGTAGTGTTCGGCGAGCTTGGCGAGGCCAATGCCCCCGCCGATGATGGAAGCGCCGGCCACAACGTACTTGGCAGCCGTCGTCTTGCCGCCGCGCGCGTCGAGCGAGTGAGAGTCGTCGAGCTCGCGTTCCGCCAGCTCGCGGGGCATGAGCTCGGCCTCGTCGAGGACGTCGCGCTCAGCCATGTCCCATGCCTCTTCTGCCTGGGACTTGGCCTCCTTGTACGCGCCCTTGCCGATGGCCTTGGCCGAGCCCTTGAGCAGCTTCTTCTTGCGCTCCTCCATGGGGTCGCGCTGCAGAAGCTCCTCGTGCACAGCCTGGCGCAGCATGAACTCCGTCTCGTCGAGCTCGCGGCGCGTCTTCTTGCCAAAGCCGAGGAAGCCCTTGAAGACCTGCCCGGCCTTCTTGAAGCCGGACGACTTGCCCGTCGGGTTCTCCTTGGGCAGCTTCTGGTAGCCCTTCTTGGGGTCGCGCTGCTCGAGCACCTCGACGTCGTCGTCACGGGCCGCCAGCTCCTCGGCCGTGGGCTCGTCGCGCGGGAGCTTGGCCTGGTAGGCGCTCGCCTTGTGGGCAGGAGCGGGCGCCGGCTGCTTGGCCTTGGCAGGCGTGTGGGCGGTGGCATCTGGGCAGAAAGTGTGAGCCAGGATCCGAGCGTGGCGTCACCTCCCATTACTCACTCTGCGCCTTGGTCGTGTGCTTCGGAGCGACGTGCGTGCCGTTGGTCTGCGCCTTGACCGTCTGCTTCACAGCAGCGTGGGCCGTGCCGTTGGTCTTGGCCTGGCCCGAGCTGACGTTGGTCTTGGCCTGGCCTGAGCTGGCGTTGGTCTTGGCCTGGCCCGAGCTGGCGTTGGTCTTGGCCTGGCCCGAGGTGCCGTTGGTCTTGGGCGCGGTGGAGGTGCCGTTGGTCTTGGGCGCGGTGGAGGTGCCGTTGTTCTTGGCAGTAGCAGCGTCGCGCGCCTGCAAAGACGAGAGGCCGGTCAGGACAAGCCTCTCGCTGCTCGCACCAGCTGCACTCACGATCATGACCGCCACCTGGTTCTCCTCGATCTCGCGAGCGACGTTGTTGAGCGGCGTCTGAGCAAGGGCCGCGGTCAGCCAGGCGAGCGAGACTGTCCCGTCGCGCTGCTACTCACTGCCGACACGGAGGCGGCGGCCGAGGCCGCCAGCAGGAGCGGGACAGTGAAGCGCATCTTGAGAGATGGGTCACGAGAGTGCGAGAGTGGTAATTAGAGAGACTTGGGGAGGGTCGGAGGTTCGCCTAGACGATCGTGGTGAGGTGACGATGTGTCGGCGAGGAGTGGCACTATCTGCGATGGCGAGACCAGCTCGACGTCGAAAGAGAGGCAGGTGGTGGAGAGTGAGATGACGAGATGTGGATGCTCTCGGAGTCGCTGTCAAAGCAAGGCTCGAAGAGTTGGCGGCGAGATGGATCGTGTCAAACGAGGTAGAGCGGAACTGAGGAACTTGGTGGGGAATGAGAGAGGACACGGGCGGACGGGCCTCTTCTTATAGAAGCGAAGCGAGCAAGCGTTGAGTGTCGTGCTTGCGCCATACGCAGCGCCAGCCTCTGGCGCAGCACCAGGCACCGCTGCTCGGCGTCCGCCGGGCCCAGGAGCCGGAGCTCCTTGCGCCCACGCATAGCCCCTCAGCCGAGAGGCACACTCACGCAGCTGATGCCAGGGGAAGGTGCTTCAGCATACGCGCATCGTCTTGCTGGCAAGATGGAAAGGCACGCCGGCCGCGCATCGCTGCGTCGCGTGATGTTGGCCAGGGGGAAGGGGCAGGAGCAGGAGCAGGAGTAGGAGCAGGAGTTGGACGCCCAGCTGCAAGCCCGTCCGCAATGCGAAGATGGCAGAGCCATTAAGGCGTCGGAATCCGGCAACGCCCAGCGCCCAGGCCCGAAATGGGACGGGCTGGGAGCGAAAGGAGAAGGAGGCGAGGCATCATCATGGGAGCCGGCACCGGCGGCTTGCTGGAAGGCGGCAGATGTGGCGAGAGCGGAGGGCCATTCCGGCACGCAGGCAGTGCCAAGTGGCGCGCAGATCGAGAGCGGTGGCAGCGTGCGCGCGAGGCACTAATTCGCCCCCTGGGCGCGGCGGCAGCGGCGCGCGGCGGGCGGGAGATCCTGATTGTGCCTGGCGTGCGCATCAGGGGCCTCTCCGATCGAATAAGCTCTGACGCCGCCGGCACTCACCTCCTAAGCGGCGCACGCCCTTGAGCGGAGGCCGAAGTCCGAAGAGCGTCTCGCCTCATCAGCCCGCGCTGCTGCTGTCGTGCGGGCAGAAGAGCGAAGCGCGCGAGGAGCTCCGAGGATGCAGGGGAACGCCAGCCCCTGTGCGCTGGCCACTTTGCGGGCACGCCTGTTTTGGGCGCAGGCGAGGCGAGAGTGGATTGCCTATCCGCTGCGCCGCTGCGCAGGTACGCTCCTCTCGTCAATATCGACCCCTTTTGCGCTCCTCTCGCCGCTGGCTTGCACCCGCCGCCCTCACAGGCTCACAGCCCCCAGCATGCAGGAGCAGCAGGCGGAAGAATCTTTTGATGGGTCGTGTGACGCCGCAGCTTGATGCAAACTTGAACCTGACCCCCCTGGCCGCTGCTCGAGAGCGCGCTGCACGCTGGACTTAGCGGGCTTTGCCTCTCTCGTGCGACACGGCTGATCAGCGTCTCCTCCCCTGAGGCAGGAGGTAGGGCACTCAGCTGCGCCACACGATCAGGCGCTCGGGCTCGGGCGCTCGCCCCTCGCCAGCCCCTCATCCACGTGGCAGATCCCTCTCCTCGCTTCTCCCTTGGCTCAACTCGAGTAGTTCACCTCAAGCTGCACGTTGCCTCAGGCGAGAGCGAGACCCGTAGTGCTAGTCAGGGACCGAGCTCGCGCCGTGGGGGTGCGGCGCAAGCCTCGTTCAGCAAGCAGATGCTCCTCCTGCATCCTGCGCCCGCTTGTAGGAGGGAATAGCAGCGCTCAGGGCATGAGCGCCGACGGCGCGTTATTTTTGTGGGCGCAGGGCACGGTGCTGCAGCCGGATGTTGACAGGAGAGAGACCGCTCTGCGTCTGGGCGAGCGGCGAGGGCGACCGTCTCGAGGCCCGCACAGCGGCTGTGCGGATGCCAGCGAGAGCCGAAGCGGGCGATGCGAGAGCCGAGCGAGCCCTCGAGCGCACGTGAGAGCACCCTGCTCTGCTCCAAAGGGACTGACGCTGAGGCAGAGGGTCCAGGTCGAGCTGCGATGTGGCGAGAGCTGCCTGCGAGCAAGGCGTCATTCTCACGCTTGCGAGGTGTGCTAGAGGCATCAACGCTGCGCAGAGAGCCAGGTGGGAGAGCGACTGAACTCACCAAGGTAGGCGACGTTGCGCAGCGAAGAGACGACACCCAGCTCCGCATCCCAGCAGTCAGCATCAGAGATAGCGAGCGAGCGTGAGATCCAGCACACATCTGTACAGCGGGGGAGGAAATCACATCTGATTGTCACCTCCGCATCACCTACGGCCAGAGGACGTATGCGAGATACAGCGCGACGACGACGAGCGGCAGCAGATTCTCCATCTTGACGCCGTTGAGCGGGTTTCCCGCGCCGGGCGGTGTCGTCGACGCAGGCGTCGCACCACCGATGGTGCGACCTCCGCCGGGGAAGCCACCAGCGGGCGCCTTTCCATCGTCGTACTTCTGCACGAGCGAGCGCAGCTTGTTGGGGTCTGCGCCGCGCAGCTGCTCGAGCGTGCGGCTGGACTTGATGAAGCTGAAGGTGGGCATGGCAGTGACATTCTGTGCGCGCGCCACGGTGGAGACTTTGTCGACGTCGACTTTGAGGAAGAGGGCGTTGGGATGCGAGGAGGCGAGAGAGGCGTAGACCGGGGCGATAGCCTTGCATGGCCCGCACCCTGTACACTTCAGGTGAGACGCTGCGAGAGATTATAACTGTCATGCGACTCACACGTGGCGTGGAAGTCGACGACTACCAACGCCTGGCCTGCGCCGGACAGCGCAGCATCGAACTCTGCGGTACGAGCGAGAGCGTCAGCTCGGGAAGCACGCCTTGCTGGTGCACAAGCTGCGAAGCTCGTCTGCCGGGGCACAGCGCAGCGGCCTCGAAGGAGCCGCTTGGACATGTGCTGCTATGCACGCACCGCACATCCGCGCCGCTGACACCCGTACTCGGCTCGGCTCATCCGCCAGATGGACCATGGCGAGCAAGCGCGCAGCGAGCCGAGCAGCGACGAGCGCGCGAGGCGCACTCAGTCATCGCCTCGTTGCCCTCTACGCTCTCTGCGTAGCGCCGCGCGCATGACTGACACGCCTGCTTGACACTGCATGGCCCTGCCCGTCTTGACGTAATCCCTCTGGGCCCTCCACTCGCGCTTCCCGCACGAGCTCCCTCGTAACGACAGGAGGCTCAGGACCGACTCGCCCTCCCCCCTCGCGACCCCGCTACAGCTGCTACAGTGCGGCAGCAGAGCAAGCTCCGCGCCGCTAATTGCCGCTGGCGAGAGACATCCAGACGGCGCAGCGTGGCGGAGGGGATACGCACCCGACTGCGAGGAGATCTCGCGCGGCGCCGGCATGGCTGTGTGTGCTCGCTGGCGTGTCGGATGTAGAGATGCGGAGGCGGAGTATGTGGTCAAGCTGAGGAGTGATTGGGCGAGAGCTGGGCGGGAAGTGTGGCGCGAGGAGGGCGGATGATGAGGAGCGGAACGAAGGCGGCGCGAGGGTGGTCCGAGCGGCTCAACATCGCCTGGGTCGAGTACAAGTCGTGCTGAAGTCGCACTAACACAATCGACACGCGGCCGCCTCCAGATTCAATTGGCGGCTGCGCGGCAGACTACAACTTCAAAGGCCTCGGGGTCGCTGCTGGATTTCCGTTTTGCGGACGCGCATGCGCTATCTGAGATTTTGGTGCGCAGCCAGCTCCAAGACTCGCTCGAGCCCCACATCCGGCCATCATCCCACTCCACTGCTGCGCTCGCCTCACACCCTCGTCTCACGTTCTCGTCTCAGCGCTGTCCTTGCGCCGCTCAGCATCAGCCGCGGCCTTGTGCGGCTCTCGCTCGCTGTCACTGCTCCCTGCGCACGCCCTCACTCCACTCGCTTGGCCTGAGCGGCGAGCGAGGCGCCATGTCGTCGCATCTCCTCTTCATGCCGACGCAGCCCGCGCCCTCGTCTCCCTCTCGGCATGCCTCCTCCTCCGGCTCCACTAGCGGCAGCGGCAGTCCTTCCTACTTCGCCTCAGCGCCGCATCAGCCGCCTCCTCCGCCTACACTGCCATTTTCCAGCACCGCACTCTCCCATCGCCCCTCCGCCCTCTCGTTCGGATTCGGCTTCGCTTCTCCCTCTGCGCCCTCCACACCTGCAGCAGCGAGCCCTTCCGCATGGGGCGTAAGCGCGGCGTCTGCCAGCGCGACACCTCGATTTGTGCCTTCGGCGCCCGGCGGCGCGCGGGAGAAGCGGCGGCGAGAGGAGGAGGAGGATGACGAGATGGGCAGTCCGCGCGGCTCCTCCTCCACCGTCAATGCTTCTTCCTCTACAGCTGTTGCGAATGCAGCAGGCAGCGCAGCAGTCGTGCCGCCGGCACCACTGCAGGCGAGGCAGGAGAGAGTGCTGCCGAAACGCATGCGCGCGGGCCTGATGGCGCAGCAGCAGCAGACGCAGGAGGCGAGAGAGGAGGCACAGGCGGACCAGGAGGAGGATGTGGATCTCGGCAACATGCTCGGTGAGTGTAAGAGGCATATGCCGGCTGCCCGATAGGCATGGTGGGACCGCAGGACGAGGCGTCGCAAAGCCCGGAGCCAAGGCGGGGTGGAGCGCCGTGCAGAGTGTGCGGCCAGCACCGAAGGCGGCGACTTGCATCATTGGCGGAGAGCTCGTGTGCCGCGTCGTTCTGGCCTCGAGAATCGTTCAGCCGCTGACATGCGTTCCTTGCAGCCACGCTCGACAAGTCTTCCTTGCTTCTGCTTCTCTCTCGACTTCTCTCGCACTCTCCCGACCGGACGCTCCGCTCTCAGATCCTCACACACTTGCCACGGCCCACACGCGCCTCCTTGGCCGCCGCGCTCGACGTCCACGAGCGAGCCGTGCGCGCCGCCTTGCCGGCCGGCGGCGAGACCGTGCGTGCCGAGTGGGCGTGGGGACGCCTGCGAGGGCCCTTGATGGCATTCGCCAGTGCCGCGCTTGGCCTCCTGCGCTTCTTCGATACGCCGAGCAACTCGAGCGCGCAAGCTTCTCATCCCGGCGAGACGTACGACTTTCTGCACGACGTCACGTCTCGTCTTCTTCGGCTTCTCTCTCAGCTCCCTCCACTTCCCTCATCGACACTGCTCTTCTCGAACCTCTCGACACCAGCAGCGTCGCATCCCTTAGCCTCAAGTCTTCCCGCTCGCCTGCTCTCTCCCGGATCTCCTCACGCGCTCCTCGCTCTGCTCTTCCCCGCGCTCTGGACGCACTGGCAGCGACTCCTCACCTCTCTCACGCACGCCGTCAACGTCGAAGGCCGCATGTACGGCGCCGACGCCATTGGTGCCTGGCTCGCCGGTCTCACAGCGCTCGGCGCACCAAGAGAAGAGGCGCGCGAGGAAGAGAAGGCCGTGCGCGCTGCGATGCAGAGTCTAGCGACGGCACTCGAGGCGGAGATTGGATGGCTCGTGGGCGGCACGGCGACGAGGGCACCGAATCGAGGTAATGCGGGCGCGCATCGGACGTGGGCGACGGGACACATGGAGGAAGAGGAGTTTTGATGCTGCTGCTTCGCCCAGTCCTCGTCGACACCGCCTCTGTTCCCCGTTCTCGCCGCTTCGCTCCCAGCACCGATACCTTCCCACTTCACGTCACTTCCCCTCTCTCTCTGTTATTCATTTCTGTTCCCTCTCCAGGCTGCGCTCCCCCTTCTCACACGTTCGCTCTCATCACATAGGATTCTCGACATCACATACACCCTCTCTACATACAATCTATGCATCCTTGACTCGTCCCGTCGCGTACGACGGCAGCAGGAGCAGCACGCTTCCGGACCCCGTCACTGCGTCAATGCCGCATCTGACATGCCATCGAGGCCATGCTCTGACTTCGCTTCAGCTCAGCACGCGTCCTTCCTCGCCCAAACGTCCGCTCACAGACAGGCAGGAAACAAGTACAATTGCCGCTCGCTACGCCCGCACAAGAGCCCATCTCCACCCATCCGCTCCACCGTCTCATCGCGCCAGCGCCAACTTGAGCTCCTCCACCGTAGCTACGACACGCTTCGCATCGCGCAACAACCTCGCCGCCGGAACTTGCAGCTGCGTCTCTCCCCGCCACTTCTCCGCCAGCACCGTCTTCGTCTGCTGAGGCTTCTTGCCCTTCTTCTTCTCCACAGGCGCTGTTGAGCCAAGCCCACTCGCCACGCTCTCGGCGTTACGCTCCGCCTCCTCTAGCCATGCCAGACTCTGCTTGACGTCGACCTTCTCCTTGCCGCCCCACAGTGAGCGCAGAGCGGACGCGATGCCAGAAGACGGAGAGGCGGCACCGAGTGCCCAGAGCGTCTCGGCCACGTGCAGACCTAGCACTGCATCATGCTGCGCCAACCAGAGCGCGTGCAAACGAGCGCCGTCGGCGGATGCGTTGGCGCTGGCTGCTGCTGCGTTGCTGTTCGGCGTAGTGACGAGAGCGCTGCGTGCGGCGTCGGCGCGCAGTAGACGCAGTGCCGAGATCTGCACGCGCAGTGCAGTCGAGAGAGTCACGCGGCCGGAGTCGTCGCCTGTGCTGCCGGGCGGTGCAGTAGCGTAGAGCGCTGAGAGAGAGATGAGTGATGCGACGAGTGCGCGCGTCAGAGCCGGCGAGGCTTCTGTTGGTGCGGCTGCTGATGTTGATGCTGAAGGCACGCTTGAGGCACGGGGAGCGTCGATCTTGAGCGCGCCTTGCACGTTCGACGCAGCCTGCGCATCCTCCGTGTCGGCCAGCAACGCAGGCGCACCGGCGAGATGCAGGCTGCTAAGCAGCCATCGTTCCGCCTCTGCCCGCTGTCCCAGCGCCGCGCTCACGCTGCCAAGCCGACCCGCCAGACGGACGAGACGAGCCTTCTGCTCCTGCGATGCCGATGACTGCGATGCGAGTGCGTCATAGATGCGCGTGTAGCCCGCAAGCGCACCCGCGAGCGCAGTGGGCGTGCCGATGCGTTCCCGCACGCTCGCGAGGCGCGTCTCGAGCGCCAAGGCTGTCTCATCGATGGCTGCAGACGGCAGTTGCGAGCCGGGCGCGGCTAGTGCTCGTTGAGCAGCGATGTCGGGCAGCCGAATGCCGCGCTTCTCCGCCGCGTCGAGTGCGGCTTGGAGTGTGCCTTCGCACATGAGCAGTCCGTCCGACGAAGGCATGCCCTCGAGTGAAAGCGCGTCTCCTGCCGCGGTGCCCAGCTGTCCTGGCGCACGCGAGCCGCCAAAGAAGAGCTCGGGTGCGATGCCGCCTCCCCAGTTCAGCGCGATCCACGCAGCTCGCAGAGCATGTCGGCCACTGAAGCCGAGACGCGGGTCGGTGCCCGCGGTCGGGCCCCACGACTCATCGCGCATCTCAGCGGTCCAGCCACTGGCGTCGTCGCCCGTGGCAGGCACGGCACAGCGAGGCATGGCGCGATGCTCGACATACTGATGCGTCGCTTCGTACGCTGCACCACCGACGCTGGCGATGCCGAGTGCGGCGAAGAGGAGGATGCGGGAGATGCGAGAGAGGATCTGGAGAAATTGAGAGAAGGGCGTGGTGAAGGCCGAAACCACCGACGGCGAGACGCCCTCTTGGTTTGCGTAGCGCCGTAGCTGCGAGGTGGAGAAGGTGGCGCGCAGAAGGGGCGCTGGCACGCCAGTGCGTGCAAAGCGAGTGTGGGCCAGCGAGCAGCGAGGGATCGGCTGCGGAGCGGCGGCAGTGCTGAAGGAGAGACACTGCGCAGCTGCCCGCGGCACAGCGAGCGCCGGGCGCGGCGCACTGGTTGATGCGACGGAGCGCAGGGCCCGAGCACGCAGAAGCTGCTGGCTCATCGTCGGACACACGCGCGAGAGAGAGAGAGGTGGGAGGGAGAGGAGGGTGGGTGAGGAGAGGAGAGGGTGCTGCGAAGTGGAGCGCTTGCCGCGGCTGATTCAGCGGGAATACAAGATTCCGCGCATAGCAAATACAGATTCGGGCGGATTTTGTATCGCCCTGGACGCGTCGAGATTAGCGTGAGATGAGCGTGGGAACGCTGCACGGTCCTCTCCTCCGGCACGCCTTGCTCTGGCCTTGCCTGCTTGCGTCGGCACGGCACAGCATTGCAGCGCTCTGAGCACCTCGCGCATGGCGTGCGTCGAGTGAGGTCGTCCGAGGACATCGAGAGCAACCCAAAGGCATGCCGAGGCAGAGCACGCACGGCCAGAGCACGCCATGTCGCTCGCCTGCGTCGCGGCGGGGTTGGCGCGTGTCAGCGGTGCGCGTGGGACTTGGGAGCGGTGCTTGGTGTGGCTGGCGTGCGCCGCGTGGGGCGAGCTGGGCACCCTCGCGGAGCGGGCACGGCGAGCCGGTGTCACTCGAGCGGCGCACCTCCTCGCGCTTATCCTCTCCACCACATCCACACCGCCTCACACCACACTGGCATCGTTGCGCCCCATGCCATCCACGCGCGCCGCCCTCCGCTCCAGCTAGACCTCGCATAGCGCGCTGCTCTGCGCCCGCCATGGCTGCGGCTCCGCACAGCCCCTCGGGCTCCGGCGCGTCAGCCGCTGCGGCCTCGCTCGAGCGTCTCTCGCTCTCCGACGCCGATGCCGGCCGCTCCGGCACTTCAGCAGTGCCTCAGGACAGCCCAGCCGGAGCGCAGTCCGCGTCGCCATTCATGGATCCCGACGACGTCTCTCTGCCGCCATCGCCGCATCTCGAGCCTACATCGCCGCGCGGCATCAGCGTCATCTCCTCGCTCGCCGCCTCGCCCTGCCTCGGCTTTGGACGCGGCAGCATTAGCGGCCCCAGCGGCGCAACGCAGCAAGCGGCGGTGCTGCACTCTGTGCCTTCCATGCTCTCCCTTGAGCGCGAGGCGCACGAGATCTTGGCGGCGCGTGGAGGGAGTAGTAGGAGCAGCGTGAGCTCTCTGGTCGGGCAGTCCGACGCACAGCCAGTGCCGACGCGCAGCGCAAGGAGCAGCGTGCACTCGCTCGTCGAGCAGCCTGAGGCACAAGCCGCGTCACCAACGCACGAGGTGGGACACGTGATCAACCCCTCGCTCGTGCAGATGCTCAGCATGGTCGGCTCGCGCTTCGTCGAGGCGGAGTGCGGCGGGCTGCTAGATGCGGAGGATGGCGGTGCTACGCAGGAGGAGGGCGCGATGCAGGGCTTGGACGCAGCTGCAGTGCGAGAGCAGACGCGCCTATACGCTGGCCTCGACTCGGACGCGGAGGAGGATAGCGCTGCGCTGCGAGAGCCTACTGCCGCTCCTCGCTTCGCCGGCTTTGCGCGCAGCGCGCGGCGGCATGGCGTGCTCTCTGAGCTGATCGACGATTCTGGTGAGTGTTCAAGCTGGGCTGCGTCGCGTGAGCTGGCTCTGACGCGCTGTGCTCCGTCAGCGACACCGAAGGGCGGCCACACACCGCTGGGCGCCTCTCTGGCCGGCATAGGCGGCGGCACGATTCGCAGCGGCAAGCCTGGCGTTCGTCGCGCGTCGGCCCTGGGCGGCGCAGACGCTACCGCTTCTGGCTCCTCGGGCACGCTGGCACGCAGCAGTGCGCCGCTCTCAGACCACGAGGGCGAGGGTGATGGCGAGGAGAGCGCCAGCGATATGGCTGCGTCTGCCGAATCTCTGTCGGCCCTGCAGGGCGGCGGGAGCGCAGCTTCCTCCACCTCGCTGCCGGCCTCGCAGCATGGCCGCACAACGGATCTCGGAGCTTCGATGCACATGCTCTCTTCTGCCGTGCTCGATCCGCCCAGCGGCCGGCGCTCTGGCTCTGCGTCGCCCGAGACTATCGCCGATCCGCAGGCCGACGTTCTGACGGCACAGACGTCGCACGAGGCGCTCGAGGCCAAGCTGCGCAGTCTCTACTCGCTCGACGCCAACGAGACCCTGCTTGCGGTCCACCCTGCATGGCTCATGCGCTCCGTGCTGCTGCAAGGGCATCTCTATCTGACGAGCGGCCATCTGCTCTTCTACGCATACCTCCCCTCGCGCGGCGAAGGCGTGCTCAAGACTGGCCCGCTGCGCAAGCGCACCAAGCGCACGTTGCGCTTCAGTCGACACTGGGCCGTGCTGCGAGGGCGCGCACTCAGCTGGTACGACTCTGAGCGCGACCCGTACTTCCCACAGGACCACATCGATCTGCGGTCCGTCCTGTCCGTCGAGGCCACGAATGATGCGTCTTCAAGCTCGACGGATGCTGAGGCCGGACACGCCGAGTTTCTCGTCCACACGCCTTATCGCGTCTTTACGTTCAGCGCCGACTCGGCCGCATCGCGTGACGCATGGGTGCGCACGCTGCTCAAGGCTGTGCTGACGGCGCAGAACGAGGGCGAGAGCGTGCGCATCTGCGTGCCGCTCGAGACGATTGTCGATGTGGACGCGGCAGACAACGGCACGAGCGCCTCGGCCCTCAACGCGGGCGTCAAGGCGGCGGTACCGGGCTTGGCAGAGGAGGTGCGCGATGCCAGCGACGTCGTCTGTGTCAAGGTCGTCGATGGCGCAGCAGATGACTTCGCTGTCGACGAGTACTACTTCCTGCATCTGATAGAGCAGCATGCCTTCCTCAAGAGCCTGCGCGAGGCTATCGAACAGCACGTCACCATCGATGCGCAGCCTGCGGCGCTCGAACGACCAACGCCTAGCGTGCGCGACTCGACTTCTAGTCTGCGCACCCTGCATGCTGCGCCTGGCAGTGCTGCACCGCACAGCACGATGGCGAAGCCGCCAAGCCTGGATGCGGCGCGGCACGAAGGCTCGCAGCCCTTGCCGATTGCCGATACGCGCAAGAGCGAGGGCCTGGCATACACCTTGCCCTCGTCATTCACTCCCGGCAGTGCCGAGTCGCACAAGACGATGCTGGCCGTGACGCCCAACGAGCGAGCGACGACCCTGCCCACGGAGCCCACATATCCGCCATGGTCGCCTGCGCGCTCGCGCACCGCAGCAGCAGCGCTGGAGCGCAGTGGTGCCAATACGACGGGCGCGCCGTGGAGCGTCGCTGCGCCGCTGCCGGCGTGGGTGCGCGAGGCTGGCGGGCGGCTGCTCGCTGCAGCGCACGGCGCCGAGACCCTTGCGGCCTTAGCGCGGCGGCCACGACGCAAGGTGCGCGAGAGCTGGAGTCGGCCACCACAGCCGGGCGTGATTGAAGGCGAGCGTCAAGTCGCGGCGGAGGCCGAGCAGCAGTGGACAAGATCACGAGATGGCAGCGACGGCAGCGTGCAGAGATCGGCGTCCAGCTCTTTCGCCGTGCTTGATGCACCAGATGCCGAGGCGAACGACGCCGACTATGAGGCGCAGTTCAGAGCGTCGTTCGTGCTGCCCGAGGACGAGGAGCTGCTTTGTCGTGAGTGGCCTCTTTCCTCGCGTCGTGACCATCACTAAGCGTCTCTCCCTCACGCAGACATCAGTGCGAGCCTGTACCGCGTGCTGCCTGTGACCGGCCGGCTGTTCATCTCGACGCACTACGTCTGCTTCCGCTCCTCGCGCATGGCCTCCAAGACGGTCGGGCGCACGCTCATGATCCTGCCCGTGCGCGAGCTCGTCTCGGTGGCGCGCAACAATGCGTTCCGCTTCGGGCAACACGGGCTGGTGCTGATGATTCGCGGGCACGAAGAGTGAGTCGGAGCGCCGCCTGTGTGCGTACACTGCGCTGACGTGCCGGTCGTCAGGCTCTTCCTCGAGTTCTCCTCCGCCGAGAGACGCGACTACTGTCTCTCTGTCATCAATGCACGCACGGAGAGCGTGCGTGCACAGGCGCCGTCGGAGGAGAACGATGCACAGCCAAGAGTGGGGCACAGCAAGCTGGCGCAGGAGCGCGAGGATGCGCTGCTGCTCACCGATCTCGGGCAGCGGCTGAACTGGGCAGCGTCGCGACAGGCCATCGCGTCGGGCGCCTCTTCCGCTGCGTCCAGTGTGTCTGAGCCCCTAGCACAGCAGCAAATCGACGGCCTCACCTTTCAATCGAGCGCCTCATCGACGTTCCTCTCGCTGCGGCCGCCCTCCAAGCTGCACTTCACCTTCCTCACCATCGGCTCGCGCGGCGACGTGCAGCCCTTTCTGGCGCTGGCGCGCGGCCTCAAGAGCGAGGGCCACGACGTGCGCATTGCCACGCACGGCGAGTTCAAGAGCTGGATTGAGGGCCACGGCGTCGAGTTCCGCGAGGTGGGCGGCGATCCGGCGGAGCTGATGCGCATCTGCGTCGAGAATGGCACCTTCACCGTGTCGTTCTTGCGCGAGGGCGTCTCGAAGGTGAGTCACATCCGCAGGTCTCTAATCCGCCGAGCAACAGCTGACAAGCGTTCTCCCTCGTGTCAGTTCCGCGGCTGGCTCGACGACCTGCTGGCGTCGTGCTGGCGAGCCTGCCAGGGCACCGATGTCATCGTCGAGAGTCCCAGTGCGATTGCCGGCATCCACGTGGCCGAGGCACTGCAGGTGCCCTACTTCCGTGCCTTTACCATGTGCTGGAGCCGCAGTCGCGCCTATCCGCATGCCTTTGCCGTGCCAAACAGCAAGGCGGGCGGCAACTACAACTACATGGTGCGTCGTGCCTCGCCCGCTGCTCGCGCACGATGGCTGACAGCTGCTCCTCGCCCAGTCGTACGTCATCTTTGACCAGGTGTTCTGGCGCGCCTCGGCAGGCCAGATCAATGCATGGCGCAAGAAAATGCTCGGCCTGCGCTCCACGAGTCTCGATCGTCTCGAGCCGCACCGCGTGCCCTTCCTGTACAACTTCTCGCCTCACGTCGTGCCGAAGCCGCTCGACTGGTACGACTGGATCCAAGTGACGGGCTACTGGTTCCTCGACAATCCCGACGGGCAGCAGGACAAGAAGTACGAGCCTCCCGTAGCGCTCGTGGCGTTCATTGAGCGTGCGCGTGCCCAGAACCGCAAGATCGTCTACATCGGATGGGGCTCCATCGTGGTGCAAGACGCCGAAGCGACGACGCGCTGCGTGTACGAGGCGGTGCGCCGCAGCGGCGTCTGTGCCGTGCTCTCCAAGGGCTGGTCCGATCGCCTCTCGGCGCGCAAGGAGGCGCCGAGCCTCGAGTCCGAGGACGTCTTCCGGGTCGACTCGGTGCCGCACGACTGGCTCTTCCCGCTGCTCGACGCTGCGTGCCACCATGGCGGCGCGGGCACGGTGGGCGCCAGTCTGCGCGCCGGCCTGCCGACGATCGTGAAGCCCTTCTTTGGCGACCAGGTGAGTCGCGGCAGCGCCATCATTCCACTCGTTTGTTGACTGCGTGCCTCCCTGCAGTTCTTCTGGGGCGCACAGATCGAGAGTCTCGGCGTCGGCAGCTGCGTGCGGCACCTCACCGCGGACGCACTAGCGCACGCCCTGACGCTTGCGACCGCACCTGGCTCCAAGCAAGCCGAGCGAGCACGCGCGCTGGGCGAGCAGATCCGCCGCGAGGATGGCGTGGCAAATGCTATCTCGGCGCTCTATGGCAGCTTGGACTACGCAAGGAGCCTCATCAAGCGAGACACGAGACTGCCGTCCGCCGCGCCCGTCAAGGGCGCTACGCCACTGCCTGCTCCCTCAAGCGTCGCGACTGCCGCTGCGGGCAAAGCTGCCTCATCGGCGGTCGCTTCTGAGTCGCTGCAGCATGCTCGTCTGGGCAGCAGCAGTGGCGACGCGGGCAGAGAAGGCCACCACAGCACCTCAAGCGCCAGTGCCTCCGACGCAGAATGGTCCGTCGTCGGCGACGAGGAGCAGCCAAGTTTGGAGGGTAGTGCCTTGCTGTCTCCATCTTAGAACGTTCCCCTCCCTCCTACATCCCTCCATCGCCGCATTCCTTCTCCCCGTACTCATCTCTTCCAGTCCGTCTGTACATCATCCCTACCCGTCACGTCGCACCCACTCTCTCAACATGCTCTCGCCTCGCCCTCTTCAAAGTACCCTGCAGCCCTCACAATACATCTCCGCTTCCCCAGCCGCGCGAACGAAGGAAGCAAAGAGTGTGACTTAAGTGAGCGACGTAATAGCAAGATGACAAGGCGGCAGACGAGGGGCAAATGAGTGGTGCATAGGCAGAGGCCTGGGCCGAGAGGGGATGGCACGCAGCTGGGCCCGTTTTGGAGTTGCTTCTTCTCAAGCAACGGGCGCCACAGGCACGCTAGGCACCTCGGCGACGCCCGATGCCGGCTCGATGCGCTGGAACTGCGTGGGGTCGTTGTTGTCTGCCGGAGTGGGGTGCAGTCGTCAGCATGGGGTCGCTCTTTGCCTGCCCACGCACCAGCCTCGGCCGCCCCGTCGCCTACTCACACTTCAACTCATCAAGCGCCACCACACAGCTCTCCCGCACCACTCTCGGCGCACTGGCATCCTCGGCCCAGCGCTTGAGCTCCTTGAGCACCTCGGCGTGCTCCTCGCCCTCCTCCTCCTCGGCGACTGCACCGAGCGCCTCGGCCGCCTCATGCCGCACCATTTCATGCTCTGCGTCGTTGGAGAGCACGCGGATCATAGAAGGGACCGAGGCTGGGTGCGCCAGCTCGCCGAAGACGAAGCAGATTTCATGCCTGTGCCATCAAGGCGCGTCAGCCTCGCTGGGCGCAGAAGAATGGAGAGGAAGAGAGGCACGAGGGAAACGTACCGGAACAGCGCGCTTCCATCGCTCAAGCCATCCGCCAGCGCCAGCACCGCCTGCTTGCCCTCCTCGCCCGCCTCCTTCCGCTCCTCATCGGACAGCGAGGGAAGCTCGGCGCGCCGCCGGGCGTTGTGCACGGCGTTGCGCAGCGCAAACATGGCGCGGTAGCGCTCGAACAGGGGCGCTGAGGCGTCGGTGAGCAGCGTGCGCGAGGAGGCGATGGAGGGTGCTGAGGCAGAGGAGGAGAGGGCGGGGGCGGGGTCGATGGGCGTGAATGCGCTGAGAGGGGGCAACGTCAGCTGCGTTGCCTTCGAGACGGGGGAGGCAACGCTAATGGAGGAGGCCGCGTCCGTGGGCAAAAAGGCTGCAAGCTTGCAAGAAGCTAGGCTTGCGCCCAACGCAGATGGCAGGCCATCCCTCGTTCTACCCCACTAGCGAGCGCCCCTTGCCCTATCGCAACCCCTCCTCTCCACAAACGCCCATCTTCCACACTACCCACCTCTGCTCCTCGCCCGCGGCCTTGCGCGCCTTCTCCCGCGCGCCTTCCTCCGAGTTGTCCCACTCGATCTTCTTGATGGCCAGGCCGCACGTCTCGCGCACCGAGACGTCGGCGTCGGCCTCGTAGGCGCGCAGAATGGGCAGCGAGGAGGGCGAGGAGATGGCGCCGAGGGCCTCTGCTGCCTGATGGCGCGAGGAGAGAGTGCGAGGAGATGCGATCGAGGAGAGCGAGACAAGGAGGAGGGGCGAGGAAGATGGCAAGGAGCAGTCAGCAAAGGGCCAAGAGCGGCGAGGTGCGCAGAGCGGGCCTTGTGGAGCAGTGGCTGCCTGTCTCACTGCCCACTCCACCTCCTTCTTCGGGTGTTGCGTAGCAGTGACTGCCTATCTCTCTGCTTACTCCACCTCCGCAGTGACTGCCTGCCTCTCTCCTTGCCCTCCCTCCCTGCCACCTGGTGACTCACCTCATGTCTGACCATGGCATGTTCCTCCTCATCCTTCAGCACACCCTCCAGCACGGGAATGGCGCGCACATCCTGCATCTGGCCCAGCACATATGCCAGCTCGTGCTTCAGCAGCGCCGAGTCGTCCTTGAACGCCGCGCCGATGGCGTCGATGGCCTGCTGCGCGGCCTCGGAGGAAGAGGAGGCAAGGCCCTTGAGCGAGAAGAGGGCGCGGAAACGCACGTCGAGCGCCTCGGTGTGGGAGTTGAGCGTGGCGCGCAGCGAGGCGATGCTGTTGGTCGCCATCTTGGACTGTGGGGATGGATGAAGAGGGAAGGAAAGGTGCAGGCCGCACGCGGACAATCTGATTTCGAGGGCCGAAGCTTGAAGGCCGAGCGCCGCGACTTTTGAGAGTAAGAGTAAAGAGTTGGCCCGCGGGGAGCCACCCTCTTGAGCCGCCTGCCTCTCCCTTTCCCTCCCGCCGTGCTTACGTCAGCACATTTTGCCTGCACCGCCTTTCCGCGCGCGCCTTGAGGTCAGAGTTGCCTTCGCGGGGGCCGAGCTGCTCGCCTTCTCGGCCCAGGGTCCTTGCCTCCCACCTCACCCCAACCCCTTGATACTCGCCCAGCATGCCCGCCTCGCGCCGCGACAAGGTCATCTCGCTCACCGCCGTGCAGAAGAAGGGGCGTCCGGCCAAGTCGAACTTGATGGACGCCGTGCGCGCGGCCGCGCAGACGCACGCCTACATCTGGGTGCTCAGCGTCGCGGGCATGCGCACAAAGTACCTCAGCGAGGTGCGCGACCTCTGGAAGGGCAGCAAGATCTGCTTTGGCCGTGTGAGAGTGATGGCGAGAGCACTGGGAGAGACAGAGGAGGAGGAGTGCAGGGAGGGCGTCAGGGGGATCAGCAAGGTGAGTGTGCGATGAGCACGGCGAGAGAGGAGAGGAGAGAGGGAATGGACCCGCACTGCTGCACTCCTTGCTGTGATGCAGGGTGAGCGAGAAGAGAGGAGGGGAGAGCGTCTGGAGATGGCATCTCGCTGCTTGCACTCCTTAGGGATGGCATCTGCACTGCTTGCACTGCTTGCACTCCTTGCCGCAATGCATGAGGCGTGCGGTGGGCTTCCTCTCGTGCGCAAGGAGCGGCGGCCTCGCTACAGGCAGCCGAGCCTCTTCGTGCTGCTGCAGCGCCATGCAACGAGCTGTGGCCTAGCCGGCAGGCATGCTCTCGAACGCGGCACTAGGGATGTTGCACTGGCCTTGCGACGTCGAAGCAAGGTGACGAGATGGCACGCAAGGCAGCAGCGACTTCGTCTTTGAAGCAGACCAGCTTGCTCGTGCACGCGCAAGGGGCAGCACAATCCATGTTTGTGGTATCGAGTGCGCGGCTCGTCGCTGGCTCTGGTCAAGGCTCTAGTGAGCTAGCATGCGCGTCAGGCGCTGCGCTGGACCTGGTAGCCTCTCGAGTCATCCGGCTGTGTGGCTCCTTCGTCTGCTGCCGCGGGGGGGGGGGGGGGGGGGGGGGGGGGGGGGGGGGGGGGGGGGGGGCTCTGGTAGATGATGCGTGCGCTGGGACCAGGGCTACCTGGCTCCGCCTTGTGTCCTGCTCTTTGCACTTTGGCGCAGCTGCGCGCGTGGGCTTCTCGACTCCGGGTGCGCAGCCGCGACGCCAAGGAGCTTGCCTCAAGGGCAGCTTCGCTCGCCCAGCGTGGCTCCTCTTGCCCGCGGATGTTCTCGCTTCGTCGGGCCGCCACCCGTCCTTTGCATACGGCTCGCGTTTCCAGCCTCTATTTCGTCATGCGCGCTTCCATTGCTGACGCATCTCTCTCTTTCTCTCTCCAGCTCCTTGCCGGTCCCGTCGGCCTGCTCTTCACCGACGAGCTGCCGGCGGCCGTGATTGACTGGTTCGACACGTACTCGCGGCAAGACTTTGCGCGCGCCGGCAACCGCGCCACGCAGGACGTCGTGCTTCCCGAGGGTGCGTTTTACTTCCTCCTTTTGCCCCACCGCACCCTTCTCTCTGCTGACATTCGTGGTGTGGCTGCAAAACATAGGCCCACTGATGATGCGCACCGACCCGCCCGAGACGCTGCCGCACCCGCTCGAGCCGCAGCTGCGCAAGCTCGGCCTGCCGACGCAGCTCAAGCGCGGCGTGCCGACGCTGCTGCGCGAGCACGTCGTGTGCAAGAAGGGCCAGGTGCTCACTGCCGATGCTGTGCGTTGTCCACTTCTTCTTCCTCTTGTCCGCGGCTCAGACTGACCGCGACGTGTGTGTTCTCCCGTTACGCAGGCTCAAATCCTCAAGCATCTCCTCATCCAAGACGCGACGTTCCAAATCGTGCCCCTGGCGCACTGGGACGCCTCGACGTCGTCCGTGACGCGCATGGAGCTGTCGGCGGCGCAGAAGCAGGCCGTGGGCAAGCTGCACGAGCTGGGCGCCAGCAAGCGCGCGGGCAACGGCAGCCGGGCAAAGAAGCCAAAGGGCGTGCTGCTCAACGACCCGAATGCGCCCGCAGAGAGCGAGGAGGAGGAGGAGGAGGAGGAGAGCGATGAGGAGATGGAGGAGGAGGACAAGGTGGATGAGTCGATGATGCTGCCTGCTGGCCTCTAGGCGACTGCGTCCTGCGCCGTTCCGCAGCACTTCATGCCTCGCCTCTTCCCCGCCGCTTCGACATCTTCACCCTGCGCCTCGCTTTCGCTCCATGCACATTGTTTCTCTGCGCCCCCCAGCTAGATTCAGATCCCAGTAACGACTCATTCTCGGCTCATTGCCCGCGCCCTCACGTCTGTCTCGGTGGCTGGGATGTAGCTTTCATTACGCAAGGGCACCTCGGTCGGAATGGCTCGAGCTGTGGAGCTCGCCGCGTAGGCTAGCGCCCTTGCGTGCTTCGTGTTTCATAAGGCAGATCGTGAAAGAACAGGGCGTGAAGCGACGTCGCACAGACTTGAGGGGCAAAACGGCAGTCGGGCCAGCTCAAAGGCCTAGCCGAACCACTTGTAGATGTAGACTGATGGCAGCAGGGAACAGCGTCAGCACGGCAGCTCCAGTAACGAAGCCGCCCGACAAACGACGCACAGAAGCACACGAGCGTAAAGACGGCGCCGACGGCAAAGATGATGTTGTCCTGCGTGGATCTGCGTTCGATGTAGCTCTGTCGTGGGCCGCAGCGAGAACATTAGCTCTTCTCTCTCTCCAACAGCGCGCCTCGACAAGCACTCACGATGACGTTCCGACTCAATCCCATCGTCACTCCCGCATCTCTCAATCTCCGCTGCGTGCCCTTCAGAATCTCGCGCTGCTCGCCCAAATTGCCCCACGTCGCCCTGCCCTGCGCGATGAGCGCGTCCAGCTGCGCCTCGGCCGTGCCGATGAACGAGTGTTCCCGCAGCGCCGCGTCTTGGCGTGCGTTGCCGCCCGCTGCGTATGCCGCCTGTGCAGAGGCGCGGTACGCTGCGAGCGGATCGGCGTGCGAGGGAGGCGGGGGGGTGGCGTGCGGTGAGTCGTAGGGCGATCCGCTCGCGTAGGGAGTGTTGCTGTACGATGGAGTGCCGCCCATGGTGGACTGCCGCATCTGCATCGTGGAGGTGGGAGAGAGGGGAGAGCGGGCGGAGGAAGAGGCAGAATAGGACGTCGAGGAGGTGCTGCCTTGTGCTGGCTGAGTGGCACAGGCGAGTCAGCTGGCACGCAGGCGATGCTGACGGCTGCACAGCGCCGGGCGGAGGAAGGACAAGGGCAGAGCTCGACATTGGCGGACTTTCTCGCGATCCCATCGAGGCGCCTCAATCTGGCGCGCTGCACATGGCCCTTCCGCATGAAGAGCAGCCGCCGCTGTCCGGGTGCAGAGAGGTGCACAGCAAAAGAAGCGCTTTCCTCCTGAGCACCAGACTTGAGCGGCCGCGCTCTCACACCTGTTCCCCTCTAGCAGGCATGAGCCCCACCGCACAGCGCGGCGCAAGCGCGCGAGTGCAGTGAGGGGGCGGTAGCCGTGCTCGTCTCCACGATGCACGGCCAAGCTGGAAGGGGACAGCCAACGTGCCATTGGCCGCAGCTGGGACTGGCTCGCCCCCAGCGCTGCAAGGCAGAGGTGCATCTCGCTCTCTGACGTCGCGCCAGCCGAGCACAGTTCACCCCATGCTTCCTTTGCTCTCGACTCCCTCTCGCTGTCCCGCTCCGAGCCTTGTGCGTGACTCTAGCCAGCCGCTGCTCTCTTCCCCCATGCGCCATTGTCCGGTGCCCCGCTTCTCGCTCTGGCCGCCGCACTCACCGCCTCCTTGACGCGTCCCATCTCGCCTCTGAAGCCGCGCTCCTCCTCTCTGAACTTCTCCACTCTCCCGAGCGCCTTTTCGCGCTTGGCGGGCACGAGCTCGCGGCGCGCCATGGCCTCGTACTCATCCACCGTGCGCCCGAGCGCCGCGAGCGACGCGGCCAGCTGGCCGAGCTGCGCGGGCGTGGCGGGCGGGGAGATGGCGGAGAGATCGGTCTGCAAGGAGGAGGACTGCCGCAGGGCCAGGTTGTACAGCGAATTCATGGCGGCGAGAAGGCGCGGGTGGTGGAAGCAAAGGAGGAGGAGCGAGGCGCCAAGCGAGATGTGGCGCCCACTGCTGCGCCACGTCGCGGCGCTCCGTGCGCACAAGCGCCGCTGCCGCTCGCATGAGCCAGAACACACCTCATACAGGGCCACCTCTGCCTCGCAGCATGTCCCCTACCGCCCGCACTATTGCGCTCAAAATCATCACTCAGAAGCTCTCATTCACTCAGGCGCAGCGATGCAGCATCACAACACCGCGCCAAGCGGCGAGAGGGGCGACAAGGCAGAGCGTGCGTGGCAGAGGAGCGCGCAGCTCGACGTGGCGCTCTCTTCTTCCACGAAGCGCAGCTCCGCCTCGTCCACGGCCGCGGCTCGGTACTGCAGCTCATCTGCCAGTCGTCTACTGTGACTGCTCGTGCACCTCAGCAGCAGCTCATGCGCACAGCCGATGCTGCTGCCTTCTCGCTCTCAGCGCCATGGTGCCACACTGCCGCACGTGACGCGCGGCGCCGGCGCCCTGCTGCGACCTCCACGCGCGCACGCTCGGAGCGCCGCTTGTGGTGCCTGATCCTGTCGCGGAGGCGCACATCGAGGGCGCTGCACAGACGCTTGCTTGGCTGGGCTGAAGTTGCTCCCAAGCGTTGCGCAGCGCAGATGCTGGGCGGCACGGCGAGGCGGAGAAGAGCCGTCGAGGCGGCGCGGCATGCTCGCTCGGGCACCGATGTCGAGGGCACGGCGGCGCGGCGCCGCGCCGGACGTACCCGAGAAGTGCGGGGGCGCGGCGCGGGCGGGGAGGCACGCACGCAGCGAGCCGGGCCAGCAGCCGCGCGCAGGGCACGGCGCCCGTATGCCAGCGCAGCCGCAGCCGCCCCCCGAGCTCGCTCCGCCGTCCAGAGCGGCCCTCTCTCTCTCTTCTCCACCTCCATCCCCACCTTGCACTCGCACCTCGCTGCATCCACCATGCGTCGCACTCTTCTGCGCTCCGCCAAGGCGGCGGGACCGAGCAGCAGCAGCGTGCCCACCTCTGCCACACCCTCCTCCTCCTCCTCCTCGCCGCTCCTCACGCGCACGTCCGCCTCGCAGGCCGCCTCGGTGCTCGCGGCGCTGCGCAGCGAGCCGGCGTACACGGCGCGCTACCGCATGCCCGCCCGCGGCGGCTCGCTGCTCGTGCAGCAGTCTGCCGCCTCTGCCTCCTCCTCTGCAGCGAGCAGCAGCGCCGCAAACGTGGTGCATCCCAGCCGCAGCGCCGCCGCCGCCGGCGCACAGCAGGCCTCCTCGTCGACGCTGCACGCCTCGCCCGCGGCGCCGCGCGTGCCAGCCGCGAGCCGCGCCTCGCATGCGCCGCAGACGGCAGCGACCAAGCGTGCCACGGCGGGCCTGTATACGTCCGCTGCGGCTGCTCAGGCGCCCGAGCCGGGTGCAAAGGCGGGCAAGGGAGAAGAGGAGGAAGACACATGGGCGTTCGGCGGAGGAGGCTCTTCGCATGCTGCCACGCAGGAAGGCGAGCCTCGCACGCCGGCGCCGCAGTCCGCGCAGCAAGTGCCTGCCGCGGGATTCGTAGGCAGTTCGAGCGCGGGCAAGGGCGCCGTGAATGGCTATGGCAAGCGTCGCAGTGGAGGCCATGGCGCACAGGCCGCTGCGCATGGAGATGCAAGCTCGAGGGCCGCGATGAAGGAGGAACAGATGGCGCGGGAGTACAAGCACGAAGTACGTCTTCCGCCTCCTCCCCCCTTGTTTTCCACCCACTGACGCCTCCCCGATAGTACGCGCCCACTTCGCGTGCTCCCCGCGCAATGCCGCACCACACCTACTTCTCCTCGCCCTCGACCTCCTTCAACGTCGGCGCCGCAGGCGCGGCGGGCGCGATTCCCAAGACGAACGCGCACGGCTCGCAGAGCGCCATCCATGGGCTTGGCACGCCGGGTGCGGGAAAAGGCAGTGGAGATGGCAAGATTCGCAAGAAGAAGACGGCACTGATCATGCCTGGACAAGTGAGTTGCGCCTGCCCAGGTCGGCGCGCCACGACTGCACCAGCGCGGCGCTGATGCGCTTCCTTCCCCCGCGCTGCAGGGCTCGCAATACGTAGCCATGTCGCAAGACGTCTACCGCGCCTTTCGCTCTGCGCGCGACGTGTGGGCCGAGGCCGAGGAGGCGCTGCTCTCGGGCCGCTCGCACCTCTCCGAATGGGAGGAGCGCGCCTCAAGCCCGCAGCAGCGCGAGGCATTCGAGCAGGAACTCAAGAAGAGCGCGGCGTGGGATCGCATGCAGGGAATGACGGGCTCGGGCACGGCGGTGGCCAGGAGTAGGAGAGGATGGCTGAGAGACACTGTGGTGAGTTTTGACAGCCACGCGCGACCGCAATGCTCCGAGTCTGACCAGCTTCAATACGCGCAGTTCTCCGGCGATCAGCTCAACCTGACGCGCGCCGAGAATGCGCAGCCCGCCACGCTGGCATGCACCCTCTCCATCCTCGCCGTGCTGCGCAAGGAGTTTGACGTCGATCTCATCACGGAGCACGTCTCGCTCGCGGCCGGACACGGCACGGGCATCTATGCCTCCCTCGTCGCCTCGGGCGCCGTGGATATTGGCGATGCGACGCGTCTGCTGAGACATAGAGGCTTGATGAGCTCGAAATGCGTAGAGGAGAGCGAGGTGCTCTTTCCGCCGGGCTGTGACAGGCCCGACACGATCTACGAGGTGAGTGCCGTGCCTGAGCGCCTCGATTGTCGCACGCTGACGCCGCTACCCTCTCGCAGTCTTGGGCATTCGCCAACTCCGGCAGGTGCGTTCAGAGACCTGCATTGCCTTACGTCCGCTCTGCCCGGCGCTGACCTGACTTATCTTCGCGCAGCGGCAAGGGCGCAGAGCTGCTCTCGAGCGTGGCGGTGGACGCAGGAGGCGTGCCGCCCACCAGTCCCGCTTCCGACGCCGACGTCGTGAATGCCGAGAAGGACGGACTTGATGTGCAGCCTCAGCGTCGGGGATGGAAGGTGTGTTCTCTTCCCCCTCAATGCCGTAGAGCGGAAGCTGACTGCATTCCTGGTGCAGCGCTCGCAAATGTCTGGCGTCATGGTGCGCCCCGGCAAGCTGAACGCCACGCTGCGAGCCGTCGAGGCGACGCAGGCAGACATCAAGGCGGGCGCCGTCAAGGATGTGGCGACGGACGAAGTGGTGGAGATTGCCAACGTCAACAACAATCTGCAGGTCGTGCTTTGTGAGTTCCGCACTCGGCCAGACGCTCTTGGCGGCTGCTGATGCTTCGCTCCTGCTCGCAGCGGGCACGCGCGTCGGCGTCTCGCTCGCCTCGGATCGTCTGCGCGCCCTCGGTCTCGGAGCGCGCGCCGTCAATCTGCCCGTCTCGGGGCCGTATCATTCCTCGCTCATGCTTCCCGCCGCCGAGGCACTCAAGCCCACCATCGTGCACCTTCCTCTGCGCGCACCTCAGGGATTCCGCATCGTCTCCTCCAACAAGGGCGCGCCGCTCCTCGACGATGTCGACGCCATCCGTGCCGACCTGAGCGGCGCGACGGCCAGACGCGTCGAGTGGCTCGACAGCATTGAGCGCCTGGTGGAGGAGGGCGTGCAGCGCTTCATCTGCTTGGGCCCGGGGCGCGCCTGCGCCCATCTCCTCAGCAAGGAGCTGGCGTATCGCGACCGCCTGCGCGTGGCGCAGGGCATGCAGCCCGCCGAGTACGAGGTGTGGTCCATCACGTCGGTGGAAGATGTGAGTCTGCAAAGCCGGCCCGAGCGAATGCGCAAACGAGTGCTGATTCCCACGATTTCTTGCTCAGATCGAGCAGCTCGGCGACGTCCTCAACCGCCTCTCCGTCTCCGAGGGTGCCTCGCGCCCCGTGGAGCATGCGTCGGACCACGTCGTTGCAATCTGAGTTCCTTGCCTCTACCTAGCGCCTCTCCTTCTAGCCGCCTCCCCTTCTCTGGTCCGCGTCCAAGCAGCTGCTTCAGATTGTAATTTTAGTCACGACGCTCATTCCGGTCCATGATGATATTGCGTTTCGCTCCCGTGCGTCCCCTGGCTCAGACTGCGCTAGGCTGCTGTCGCCTCCGCCGGCGCAACGCCACGCTCTTCTTCCCGCAGCGTGCGCACCACCTTGGCGGGCGTGCCGATGGCGATGGACCTAGAAGGACGGAGAGGTGAGATGAATGCTGTGAGTCGAGGCGCTGGCAGGACGCACCAGTCAGGAATGTTCTTCGTCACCGTTGAGCCACTGCGAGGACGCAGGGGGGTAAGCAGCTGAGGCAGTGAGCGGTGCCGCATGCCACTCACGCGCCGACAGTGCAGCCCCGTCCGATAGTGACGCCTGCCATGATGGAGACATTGCCGCCGCTGTTGCGCGTCCACAGGTGCTCTTCAGCCTCGTCTTTTCTTTCGCTTTTCGCTCGAGAGCCGAACGTGGCACTCACATCCAGGAGTCGCGCCCGATGATGATGGGCAGCGCACGCTCCAGGCCTGCGACACGCTCCGGCACGGCCGTCGTGTGCGTGCCGCCGTACAGGTGGACGCTGAGGGAGCATGGTCAGGCATGGCCGTCGCTGTGTGAGGCAGCAGACGCACTTGGGCCCAAACAGCACGCCGTCGCCAATGACGACCTCTGCGCAGTCGAGGATGGTCGTGTTGAAGTTGCAGTACCAGTTGCCTTCGAGGCGGATGTTGGTGCCGTAGTCGCTGCCGCGTCTGTGAGTCAGACTGCTCCCATGCGGCAAAGGCACCGCAGTCGCAAGACTCACCACCAAAACGGCGGCTCGACGAAGACATTCTGCGCCATGTCGCTCTCCTTGATGCCCAGCAGGTCGGCGAAGAGCCGCCTCCGCTCCACTCCCATGCCGACCGCATCGTCCGCGGGTGTTTCGCTGAGGTTGAACTGCCTGAAGATGCGCCGCACGCGCAGCCGGGCCTTGACGAGGGCGGCGTCGGCGGGATCGTAGGGCAGCCCGGCGAGCATGCGCTGCGTCTGGCTCATGCCCGAGAGCTGCGCCGCGTGCGCGGCATCGGCGGCCGCATAGCGCTGCTCGACAGGAATGTGCGCGGGGACGGACATGCTTGTGGTTGATGTAGAGCAGAGAGAGGCATGCTTCTGACAGCTGGCCACGTCGCCCCTTCGCGCTTCCCCGCACTAGCATCGGGCGCAGCTCGGTCAGGCGTGGGACGCGGCACGTGAGCGCGGGAACAGGTGCGCGCGTGCTGGCGCCTCCACATGGCCGCCGCGTCGGCCCGGAGCTGCTCTCCGTCCAGCGCGGCCATCAGCCATGAGCGCCGCCGTGCCGCAGAGATGATGGCGAAGAGGAGGAGATGTCAAGATCTGCCTCTTCGAGCGGTGCTCGGCTACTTGTTGCCGTGTCTCCGGCCCGCACGTCGTGCCCGCTGGCGGCGTGGAGAATGAGAGATCGGAGACACTCTGCCGCACCGGCATCTCTCCTGAGCTGCGCTGACCAGCTTTGAAGCGGCGCAGCACCAGGTAGGCTGCCGTGGCCTGCGCGCTGCGGTTGTGCGAGTCCGGCCTGCGGAGGTGACGGCGAGGCGGCGCTGCAATCTGGATCGCCCGCCGCCGAGCTGAGATGCCAGCTGGCGAGCGGAGGTGGCGCTGCCGAGACGGCGCGGCGGCGCGTGAGCTGGCGGTGCGGCGGCGCACGTCACCGTGCCGTGCGGCCCGCCTCGCCTGGAGAGGAGGCCGCCTTCGCGCCTGCCTCGTGCCCTCCATCCCCAATCCAAGCCCCGCGTCTCGAGCTCCCCGCCAGCACTGCTGCGGCCGGCTCGTCTCAGCACATCCACCACTCTCGCAGCGCACGCTGCACACCTCGCCGCAGCCATGGGCAATCCACTGCCCGTCAACCTCTCGCAGGAATGCAGCAAGGCCAACAAGGTGCGTGCGCGGCGCCAGCTCGTCCAGCAGCAGCAGCAGCGTCGGCCTCGCAGCTCGCAGCGCTCACACGCCGCTGGCGCAGATCCTGACACAGATGGTCGATCCCGTCAATGGCGTTGACGGCGTGGTCCGTGAGTGGCCTGCGAAGGGCCAGTGCTGCGAGCAGCACTGACGCTTACCCCGGCCTGCAGCGCTCTCGGTGCTGCGCAAGGCGCGCGGCTTTGCCATCTTCAGTGTCTTCCGCATCGGTTTCCGTGAGTGCATCTCTGCAGCTGCAGCGCTCGGGCTGCAGGCTCACTCTGCTGGCTCTGTAGTCATGTCGGCGCGAGCAGGCTCTGGCCTCGTGATTGCGCGGCTGCCCGAGGACCGCTGGTCTGCGCCCGCGGCCCTGGGCATCGGCGGCCTGGGCGGCGGCTTCAATGTCGGTGCCGAGGTGACGGACTTTCTGATTGTGCTCAACACCGACGCGGCCGTGCGCAGCTTCATGGCCAGCGGCTCGCTGCAGCTCGGCGGCAATCTGAGCGTCTCGGCGGGGCCCGTGGGCCGCAGTGCCGAGGCGTCGGGAAGTATCAACAGCAGCGGCAAGATGGCGGCCATGTACAGCTACTCGCGCAGCAAGGGCGTTTATGCCGGTGAGTCCGCAGTGTCTGGGCCAAGCAGTGGTGCAGACACTCATGCCAAACTGCAGGCATCTCGGTGGAGGGCACTGTGCTGGTGGACCGCGAGGATGCCAACACCAAGGCGTACCAGCGGCCCAAGTGCACCGCCAAGCAGATCCTCTCCGGCTCCATCGACCCGCCAGCGTTCGCCTCGGCGCTCATCGGCACCATCGAAAAGTTCACCATGACGGGCGGGCGCGACGACTACATGCCTCGGCATCGCGGCTCCGAGTCGCGCGACTCGCTCTCGTCGCTCGAGACGGACGTGCGAGGCATGGGTCTGGGCCCGGCATATGAGTTCGACTCGCCTGCTGCGCGTGAAGCGCGGGCGCGCGAGATCGAGGAGAACAAGACGCGTAATACGGGCGCCTATGCGTTCAGCGGCAGTGGTGGCGGTAGCGCACGAGGCAGCTCTTCGGGAGGCAACAAGGGCCGCAGCACCGATTACGGCAAGGAGCAGCAGCCAGACTGGATGAACGAGACGGGCCACAATGGCATTGACCGCCCCAAGAATGCCCGCCACGGCAGCAGCAGCAGCATCTCGAGCTTCATGCGCAATGCTGCATCACGCAGTAGTCCCTCGAACAAGCGCACGACGTCCTACACGTCGTTCACCAATTCCTCGTCGCCCAGCGGCGCCTACCAAGCACGCGGCAGTTCTCGCTCCTTTTCGGCGCAGTTCCAGAAGAACGCAAGCGACGATGAAGATGCGGCGGCCTCGCCGTTTGCAGGTGGCGCGGAGCAGACAGCCCACAGTGGCTGGGGCGCCGATTCGAGTGCGCGCGAGCAGAAGGAGCGTCGATTGGCTGCCAAGGAGGACCGCGAGTACAACGGTGCCTGGGCACTCGATCGCGATGACGACAAGCGGCGCATCGGCGACATGGATGCACTGGATCGCGAGCTTCAAGGCGGCGACACCTCGCGGCGTCCGGCTGCCAAACGCACGGGCTCGGGCGCATCGGGCATGCAGATTGGCGCCGAGGGCTGGCGCGAAGACTACGGCCTGCCCTCGCCGACGCGTCCAGGCCTGGCGGACAAGCGCACGTCGAGCGCGGGCAAGCTGTGGAACCGCGTGCGCGGCAATAGCTCGGTCAGCATGGGCAAGACGAGCTCGTCGGGCAGCATGTGGAAGGAGGAATGGCCGGGCGCGGGAGGCTCGGCGCGCGAGGAGAAGAACACAAACAGACCGCTGGCGGACACGCATGTCGCATACCCGGCGCCCACCGATCCGCGCTTCAGCACGGACACGCGAAGCAGCGACGAATGGGAGACGTCGCGGTGAGTGCAATTCTTTGATGCACGAGGAGCTGAGTGGGCCGAGCTGACTCTGCCTTTCTTGATCAGCGCTGCTCCTGTCCGGCCGCACTCGCCGCCAGCGCTCATGGGCGACACTTTCCCTGCCTCAGCCGGGTACGGCAACACCTCGTTTGCGCCTGCAGTAGCGCGCGGCGTCAGCAACGACGGCTCGATGTTCGGCGATCATCACGGCGTCGAGCCCTCGGCGGCGCCTGCTACCGTGCCGTCGGCGTCGGCACAGGTGGTGGCGTCGTTTGACTTCCAGGGCCAAGAGGAGCAGGACCTGTCATTCCGCAAGGGCGATGTCATTGATGTGCTGCGCAGCACTGGCAACCGCGAGGACTGGTGGCTGGGCCGCGCGAGGGGCAAGATCGGCAGGTGAGTGTCTCCGCATGTGCGCTCCCTGCGCGTGGCTGACGCGCGCCGTCTCTCTAGCTTCCCGGCCAACTATACCGAGGACATCTGAGGAGCCTGGACCTCAGCGCGCCGAACATCGATTCTCCACAGCACACTGCTTCTCCTGCTCTCCCCCGCCTGTCTCCCGTTCCCTGCACTCCATGCTCCCATGCGCGTGACTACTCGTTGCATTTTGCATTTGCGAAGGGGACTGCGGGCAGAGTACGCGAGCACAGGCGGGGCATGAAAGGGAAGAAGAGAGAGAGAGGGGTGCTGCACGCTAGTGCGGGGCAGGGTGGAGCAAGCAGCTGCTTCACTGTCCAAACGACTGCTGCTGCTGTTGCGGCATGCGCTGCGGCATCTGGCCCGCCATCGTCGGGCCGGCACTGAGAGGCGTGGCCCAAGTCTGGCTGTGCGGCTGCTGCATCTGCGGCGTGCGTGCCGGCGTGGCATATGGCGGCATGGCATTGTAGCCCATCGCGCCTTGCTGCTGCTGCTGTTGCTGCGGAGGTGCGCCGTTCCACTGCGGAGTGCCCTGCTGCTGCTGCGGGTAGCGCGCGCCGCCTTGGAAGGCCTGCCCTGCGGGTCTTGGCGTCTGTGCTTGCTGCATCGGCTGCGCAGAGGCGTACTGCTGCTGCTGCTGCGGGTACGGCGATGACGTGGCGCCGACGGGCCGCGGGGCGTGCTGCGGCGTAGGAGGAATGGACATCGACGAACGCTCGGGCGACGAGTGCACGGGCAGCGGCGGCGACTGGGCGCCAGCCGCGTTTGGCGGTGGAGCGGCCGGGTTGTGCGGGTCAGGCCCGTCGGCCGAGTACGTGCGTGACGAAGCGAGGCGCTCCAGCAGGCCGGCTGGCTTCTTGCTCTTCGAGTCTGCCGCCTCCGCTGCTGCAGAACCGATGGGCAGCCGTGAAGCCGCCTGCGCAGCGGCGTGCGTCTGGCCCTGCTCGGGCATGCGTGCCGTCTCGTTGTCTGCCAGCGCAGCCAAAGGCAGCGGCTCCGGCAAGTGCGTGAGGCCCGACGCCGCGGCGCGCTGCACGTACAGGCGGCGCACGCGTGCTTCGGGCCCGCAGCGCGTCTCGTCCAGCGTGCCCCAGTAGCCTGGTGCTGCTGCCGCGTCCCCGTCGAGGAAGGCGGGATCGATCGCGACTGAGCGCGAGGCGGCGCGCAGAGAGGCGGCCGACGGCACCACTGAGGCTTGCGCATCGTCGCGTGGCCGCAAGTGCACGAGCTTCGCGAGTCCGTCGAGGATGGTTCGTGCTGGGCCGGCGAAGGGATGAGCACCAGACCTGGCCGCGACTGACGCATTGACTCACCGAGCTCCGCCTCTGCCTGATCCGGCACGTCGCCTGCCGCCGCGTCTTTGGCACCGAAGCTCTTGCGCAGCCTTGCCGCCTGAGCCTCCTGTAACCGCGCCAGCAGCTGTGCGTTGCGAGCCAGCTGAACGCTGACCTCCTCCTCGCGCTCGAGGTCCTCGTAAGCGCGCAGCAGGCCATCAGCATCGAGGTCCGGATGGAGGTCTGCGAACGCTGCGCGATCCAGACGCGAGTCTTCTGCGGCGTCTAGCGGTGCTGGTGGCGCTGGTGGCACCTCCTTGCCCGCACGAGAGCGCACAGCTGACGGTGCTGCAGCAGAAGGGGCGACGTCTCCCCAGGCGCGCGCCCGCAGTGCGTCTCGTGCGTTGCGCCCATCAGTCCAGAGCAGACGCGAGGCGCCGAGACCCAGCGTGCTGTGCGTCGTGTCGTAGCTTGGCGCGAAGCTGGCCCAGGCGTGGTAGTAGAGATGCATGGCTGTGTGCGCACCGTCAGCGCTGTGCGCACAAGAATCGCCTCGATGCGGACTGACCTGGCTTCGCGCGCTCTGTCGTCGGCAAGGGCGCCGCAGCGTGCGACTTGTCGGCACGGAAGACTCGCGAGCCGAGTGTCGGCACCGGCTCTCCTCGAGGCGCTGGCTTCACGGCGACAAGATCTGCGACGCCTGCAAACCGACAGGTGTGAGCAAACGCTGCACCATCTAGCGCGCCAGGACTGCAGACGCACCAGACTCGATCTCCTGCGGATCTGCCTCTGTCGCGCTGGTGAAGTAGTCGCCGCCCGGCAGCAGCATGTGCAGTGCGTACTTCTGCGGCGGCTTCATCTCGCTGGCGTCGTCCTTTTGCACGTCGTCCTCGACCTTGACGCCAGTGGACCCCGCGGCTTCGGCCTTGACCGCTGTGCCGCTGCTCGCTCGCCGCTTCGACGCAAGCGTGTCCACGAGCGTCAAGAGCACCGTCAGAGCGCTCAGCTGGGCGCTGGGCTCGGCCGCAGAGCCTTGCAGTGTAGACGTGCGCAATGCGACGACATGCGCCTGTGAAGCCGTGATGAGCTGCGCCGCGCCATGCCTCCGAGACAAGCTGACTCACCCGAAGTTGACGCAAGCCCGTGCCTGCAGTCTTCAAAGCCTCAGCCAGAGAGGCGAAGCTGACGCCTGCGTCCAGCTCCTTTGCCTTTCCTGGCGCTCCGGAGCGCGTGGCATCAAACAAAGCAGGTGCGAAGCTGCGCAGAGCAAGCGTCAGCCGCGACGCGTGACAAGGCAGAGCGCGGCAGTCCGACAACGCTGCACTCACCTCGAGAGCACAAGCTGCAGCTGCTGCCGCTCCGTCTCCGTCAACCGCAGCTCGTCGTCGTCGCGAGCGCCAGAGTGCGGGGCGTCAGATGCAGCAGAGGGCGCCGCCTCGAGCGCTGCAGCGGTGACAGCGTCGCCGTTGCTGCGCGCAGAGGCGGCACGCTTGGCGCCCTTGGCGGACGGCACGGCCAGCGACGATGTCGAGGCGACGGCAGCAGAGGCTGCTGCGCCGCCGTCGGCGCGCTTGCGCTTCGTCTTGGAGGGCGACGTGCTCTCGAGCGGCGGCGGCGGCGAGGCCGACGTAGCAGCCGCCGCACGCGTAGAGCGGCGCAGCGAGGACATGGCAGCGGCTGAGCTGAGAGCCGAGACGCGATCAAGCGGCTCTTGCGCGCTGAAGCCGACGTCGCGCGTTGCTGTTGCTCACGCGACGGTGCAGAGGCAGCGGGGTGCGGCCGGCGCGCGTATCAAGCGGCTGCTTGGCACGACGAGGGCGCGGTGCAGCTGCGTGGCAGATGCGGCAGCCTGCTGCGATGACCCACGAGCGCTCAGGCCTTGGATCTGCGATGCGCGCGTGCGGCGAGCGTGGGCCGGCCGACGATCGGGCGCGCGCGTCGAGAGCGAGAGCGAGGAGCAGGCAAGGCAAAGCTTCGCGAGAGAGGTACGCGCGCTATGTCCGCGGCGGCGCGGCGAGGCGCGTCAAGGGGAGCGGCGGGAAGGCGGCGCAGGCGGCAGCGTGCGCGCGGCAGCGGCAGACGCGCGCGTCAATCGGCGAGAGCGGCGGCGGAGGCGCACGGAGAGGTGCGAGAGCCGGAGCAGGTGGGAGCGTCGCACGGACAAGGCGTGGGGATGGCAGAGGGTAAGCGAGGGGTACCTGCGATGGAGCACCGGCAGAGGCAGCCAGCAGCAGCAGAGCGCGCCCCGAGGCCGGCGGCAGGAGCCGGCGCAGGCGCAGGCAGACGCGGCGCGTGTGCCTGCAGGCCGGCGGCGGCACAGCAGCGAAGCGGCACGCGCGCGCGCGGCGCAGGGGATCTGCCGCCGTGCGCGCGCGCGCGCCACGCCGGGACACAGCGCTGCTGCCGGCGTGCCTGGCGTGCGAAGGCGGCCAGCGCGGCCGAATGTTCGCGTCGCGCCTGGAAGCGCATGGCGCCTCCGCTCCCTCCACCTCGCGCGCCTCGGACCTTGAGGCGGCGGTACGCTGATCGAGGAGCGGCTCGCGTGAGCAGCACTGAGCCTCTCACCCTCATCACCCATCACACAGAATGGCGAACAACAAGAACATGGACGCGCTGCTCAAGTGGAGCATCGCGCAGCAGGGCGCCGACGACGCCGCCGCCGCCGCCAACGGGCAGCCCTCGATGGCGGCCGTGGCGTCGGACATTGCGGCGGGGCGCCGGCCAGACCTCGCCGACCCGGGCCTCTTCGACGCCATTATGGGCAAGAGCGAGGCGACGATGATGCGCGAGGAGCTCGGCGCCGCGCTCGACGAGAAGCGCACCGAGCAGGACCGCGTCACGGCGCTCGACAACTTCGAGATGGTGAGTGCGGCACGGTGGCGCAGTGTGGCGGAGGAGGATGAGGGCTTCTGTGGTGATGGAGGCCGGGCGGAGGGGTGCTGCACATGTGCGACCCGTGGCGATCTGCGATTCAGACGCTCTCTGTGTGGCTAGGCGCTGACACACGACCTCTGCGCAGCTCATCGAGTCGATCGACAACGCCAACAACATCGCCTCGATGTCGCTGTGGCCCTCCATCATCTCGCTGCTCTCCTCAACATCCGAGCGCATTCGCGCACAGACGCTCTGGATTCTCGGCACGGCCGTGCAGAACAATGACAAGGCGCAGATTGCGCTGCTGGCACAGGGCCCTATGCCGCGCCTGCTCGAGCTGCTGGGCGACGCCGACGACGAGGTCCGCGGCAAGGCCGTGTATGCGCTCAGTGCGCTGCTGAAGCACAACCCGGCTGCCGTCGTCGAGTTCGACACGCAGGATGGGTGGAAGGCGCTGAAGACGAGTCTCGAGGGTGAGTGCTTTGACTGCGAGTCGTTGCTCTCTCTGCTGACGCAGCATGCTGCGCAGACCCCATTCTCACGATTCGGCGAAAGGCGGCTTTCCTCATCAACACGCTGCTGATGCAGGAGGCACAAACACCCAACGTTGAGGCCGCTTCGGCAGCCGCCTCGCCCGTTCTGCCATCAGCACCTCTCGCAGCGCCAAATGGAGCTGCCAAGGCATCGACGGCGCTCACCCTTGTGCCGGGGCAATCAGCCTCGACGCCACCAGTGACTCCTGCCTCTTCGGCGCCGCTCGAGCGCGGGCCAGCGACACTTGCCGCCGGTGTTTCATACCCGCCCATCGCGCCTGCGCTGCTGCAGTCTGGCGCGCTGACGCAGCTCATCTCAAGCTTGTTGCCGGCGGCAAGCGAAGGCGCCGCAAAGCTGGCGCCGCTCAAGGACGGCTCGGAGGCGCGCGCCGATCTCGACTACTCGGAGAAGGCGGCTCGTGCTATCGCCTCCTGGGCAGACGCTGTGGCCGCGCGCTCGGCTGGCCGCGGTGCATCGGGCGCCGTCAATGCAGTCACCGCAGCACTGCTGGGCCGTCTGACGGACGAGCTGGAGGGCCCACCATTGGACGCGGAGCACGAGGCCGACGTCACAGCACGATGGCAGGAGGTCGGCCTTGACGCCGGCGAGTGGGAGCAGCTGCGGGAACGCAGCGCCAACCTGGCTGCCGAGGCATAGATAGACGCGGCCCTTAATGTCACGCCTCCACCCTCCACCATCACGCTGATCGACTGGTATACGCTGTGGATTCCGTGCGGCACGGCCCGGATGCTCTATAATACATGAGATGAACGACGAGGCGCTCTGCTACAGCAGGCCTAGCCTGGCCAGCTCGACTGACAGCTTCGACCGTGCGCGAATCTGCGGTCCCTTGAAGAAGAGCACAAAGGGCGCCTGGCGCGGGATGGTCTGTCAGCAGGCAGCTCTCGCCACAGTCCAACAGCGTATTCACGATGCCGAGCACGGCGCCGAGCAGGCCGGCGAGCGTCGAGGCCCACTGGTAGCCTAGCCGGTGGTACATCTGCTCGCAGAACAGCGGGAAGGCCGTGCCGGCCAGATTCCGCGCGAACGACTGCGCAGCGAGGGCTGACGAGGCGTATGGACCGTAGCTGCGAGGACGGAGCGAGGTCAGCACCTGGCGAAGGGAACACTGCCGGGCAGCACTTACGAGTCGGAGAGGTAGAGGAAGCAGCTCAGGTACACCTGATACACGCTCGTCATGAGCAGAGTGATGCCGACGACGGGCCCGGCAATCGAGACGTGCGAGTAGGCCGTCCAGCCGTAGATGAAGGCGCCGATCGGGAAGAGCGGGGCCGCGGCACAGGCACTGTACAGGCGAGCCTCGGGCCCGCGCTTGCCGACGTGCTTCTTGTACATGTACTCCTGCAGCGGATTCAGCGCGTTGCCGAGTATGGCAGCGCCGCAGATGGACAGGAAGACGAGGCCGGTCTGAGGCAATGTCAGCGGGGCGCACAGCCACAGGAGGCGGTAGATGCTCACCTGACCCGGCGTGAAGTTGTGCAGCTGAGTGACGAGGCCGATCGACTCGAGGAGCATGTACATGAAGCCCCAGAGGAAGGCCACCCAGAGCGAGAAGGCCGTGACGATGGGCTCCGTGAAGAGCATCTTGATCGGCCGCGTCAGGCTGTGCGTCACTAGCACAGCGACCGATGCGCGCTCTGCCTCGGCGCGAGCACGGTAGCGCTGGTCGCCAGTCTCTTTCCGCAGCCGCTTTGCCCGTCTGTACGAAGTGTCAGAGAGCGCTCACACAGCCGTGTCTGTCGACGCACCTGGTCAGCAGCACGCTGCCGCGAGTCTCCTTGAGGCCGAAGAGGAGCACGAAGCTGCGTGGAGCTGGTGAGCCTGCTGGCTCAATGCGCATCACACGGAGGACTCACAAGAAGGCACCAGTGTAGATCGCCTGCAGATACTGGATCCAGCGCCAGCCGAGGTTTGGATTCTGCTCCACCCAGCCGGCCCAGACGGGCCCGACACCCGTGCCGAAGATGGCGGCCGTGGCGAAGAGGGCCATCGGCAGGCCACGCTCGTGGGACTGCCAGATGTCTGTGCGCATGTCGCGTCAACGCTGCTGTCCGCGCCGGGATGGAGGGTGCATGCTCACCAGCAAGCGAGCCGCCGACCATAGTGCTTCCGGTGCTGCCGAATGCGCCAGACAGGAAGCGAATCACGATGACTGTCGCGATGTTAGGCGCGCGGCCGAGAGCCACGAAGAGAACCGTGTAGAGCAGATGTGAGACAATGTAGATGGTGTTGCGTCCGAACACCTCAGAGAGCGGTGCGAGCACTGCGCGCAGCCTTGTCAGCGGCCAGTCAAAGTCCTCAGTCTCGAAGCAACACACCCATGGGCGGCAGCGAGAAGCCAAAGGCGTAGATGCTGATGCCGAGCAGCGAGATGATGTGGCTGTTTCCCAGCTCGGCCTCCATGCTGGGGATGCCCGGCACGTAGGCGCTGGCCGTCGCGGCCACCTCGGCGGTAAAAAAGGTGGCGAGGAACGTGGCTGCGGCGGCGACACGTCGTGTGAGCACTCTCGCCCACTCCCGCTACGCCCTCTGAGGCTGCTCACTCCACCATTTCCGCCGATTTGAGAAGTTGAATGGGTTCTCCGGGTCTGCCGAGCCAGGTCTGTGAGCTTGCCCTCAGCTGCCAAGCCAGCTCGGGCGGCCGCTCACCGTTCTCTTCCCACTCGACCCAGATCACGTCCTTCTCCTGCCGCGTCTTCTCATTCTCCAGGTGCGCATCGCGCTCCACATCATCTTCCGTGCGTGCCGACACGGGCAGCTGTGCAGCAGCGACCTCGTCTGCGGCGCTGCTGCTGTGCTCCGAGAGCGAGGCGCGGCGCGACGAGGGCATGTCGGACTCGGGCGGCGAGGAGGCGACGGAGCGCGAAGGCGGCATGGCCTGGTGAGCGAGCGGCGCGCGCGCGATGGTGCGAGCAGGCGAGCAGATCGGGATGGCGCGATTGGAACGATGAGTGGTGGTGGTGGGTGATGAGGAGGTGTGGTCTGCCTGACTTCTCGAGGCGCCTTGGCCGGCCCTGCCGGTGGTGGCCGCCTCTTTTAGCGCAGCCGCGGCACGGCGCCGGCGGGTGGAGCGGGCGGATCTCTGGCGGCGCAGGGCCGGCGAAACCGCGAGACGCCGCACACGGCAGAAGCGGCAGCGCTTCACTCACGCCTTGGCCGTCTCGTGCTTCGCTTGCTCGCAGCAAGCTTGCCCGTGGCGAGCATGACTCTTACTCGCGTTCTCGCGTGGATCCCTGCGACTCGGTCACCGAGGCGCTACTCGCGTGGATCCCTGCGACTCGGTCACCGAGGCGCTACTCGCGTGGATCCCTGCGACTCGGTCACCGAGGCACAGCGCCTCGCTATCTCCGGTCAACGCCCGAGGGCATGCGTCCATCCGTGATGCTTCAGCGCACGCATGCAACACCTCTCGCCGTGCAGGAGCTCGTTACGCCGCGTGCACGTCGGGCCGGTGCCGCTCATGCACCTGCCAGTACACATCGCGAGCTGGGTCTGCACGCCACTTCGCGACGAGACAGCAAGGAACGGCTGCCGTCGAGTCACCCTCAGTCAGATGTGTGTGGGCCGTACGAAGGCTGGCCAAGGTTTCACATTGCGCTACACGCGCGGGGGATAACGGCGATGGGGCCGGAGCGGAGGTGTTACAGAGGAAAGACAGCGGACGCGTGACAATCACTGGCCGCCACGCAGACGCAGCACGAGGTGGAGCGTCGACTCCTTCTGCAAAGCGAGGAAGCGAGACGGGGGCATCGCGTCAGCGCAAGCTCGTGCAGCGGCGTCGTGATCGCGCCGGGCTCACCTGGATGTTGTAGTCCGAGAGCGTGCGGCCATCCTCCAGCTGCTTGCCCGCGAAGATGAGACGCTGCTGGTCCGGCGGGATACCCTCCTTGTCCTGGATCTTCGCCTTGACTAGGAGCGCGCGAGAGGCGTCAGCATGATGCGCCGCCGCCGACGGCGCACGCGCACGGCTCACCGTTGTCAATCGTGTCGCTCGACTCGACCTCCAGCGTGATCGTCTTGCCGGTGAGCGTCTTGACGAAAATCTGCATACCACCGCGCAGACGGAGCACCAGGTGGAGCGTCGACTCCTTCTGAATGTTGTAGTCGGACAGCGTGCGGCCGTCCTCGAGCTGCTTGCCGGCGAAAATCAGGCGCTGCTGGTCCGGAGGAATGCCCTCCTTGTCCTGAATCTTCGCCTTGACTGAACGAGGAAGAAGACGCGTGAGCACGGGACGTGAGCGGCCTGCGCGGACGGGCACGCACCGTTGTCGATGGTGTCGGAGCTCTCGACCTCAAGCGTGATCGTCTTGCCGGTGCTGAGAGGCGATGGTGAGCGTGAGATCATCGACAGCCGCGTTGCGCGTGACTCACAGGGTCTTGACGAAGATCTGCATGCCTCCACGCAGGCGCAGCACGAGGTGGAGCGTCGACTCCTTCTGCAGACGGGATGCGCGCGTCAGCAAGGTGCTCGCGCTGCGAGGGTGGCGCGTACGTCGCGTCTCGTGCCCTACGCCGCCGACCTGCACCGCCATCCCACTCCCTCTCCTACTCCATCGCGCTCGTCTCTCGCGTCGCGACGCACCTGAATGTTGTAGTCGCTCAGGGTACGTCCGTCCTCGAGCTGCTTTCCAGCGAAGATAAGACGCTGCTGGTCCGGCGGGATTCCCTCCTTGTCCTGAATCTTGGCCTTCACGTTGTCGATCGTGTCGCTGCTCTCGACCTCGAGCGTGATGGTCTTGCCGGTGCTGCGCGGCGAGGGCGTGTGAGCGAGGTGAAAGGCGGCGAGGAGGGCGAGCGAATGTGCAGCGGTGGCGCACGCGCGACGCGGACGTGCTGCGCGTGCCTCCACCACATGCATGCTCCTCCATCCACTCGACGCAGGCACTCACAGCGTCTTCACGAAGATCTGCATCTGAGAGGGAGTGCGACGTGTCAGCAGTGGGCAAGAGAGGCTGGCTGGGGCGTGGATGGATGCTGGGTAGGGGTGGCGAGCACGCCGCGATAGCGAGCGCATGGGCCGTGCGCAGCAGCGCGCCGACGCCGCGTCCATCCAGCTCACGCGGCAGGCGTACTCACTGTGGCGTGTGTGTGTGTGGTGTGTGGGTGGTGGGTGTAAGGAGTATGCCGAGGCGGGATGTGGTTGACACGATGGACGGCCGATCAGCGGCGCACCGCCTTAAGTAGGGCTCAGCCAGGTGGATGCAGCGTGAGCTCAGCGCGGCGGCGAGCGGTGCTGAGTCGCACGCTCGCTGGCGCCGCGCCCGCTGCTCCCGTGCCCGCGCCGCCGTGCCTGGCCGCGAGGGTGCACGCCGCGAGCGCTCGATGCGGGGCGCGGGCACTGCAGCGCTCTCGATGCGCAGCGCATCGTGCAGCGCTGATCTGCCGGGCACCTCGCGAGTGTGCTTCGCCGGCACGGCCGCGCGTGGCGTGCTCTCGCCGCGGCACGGCAGCAGCCACCGCCCTTGGCCCAGCATGCAGCCTGAGCCCTGGCGGCATTAGAGCTTGCCGTTGAGAGTTGTATTACGCACTACAAGCGCTGGACTCTAATCGGGCAACACCTCCACCCACGCACCGAGCAGGCGCCACACTGCTCTGGTGCCCGTGCTGCCCCTGCGCCTCGCAGGCTGATCCCACGCCTCGAGCGCTTTTTTGGCCGCGGCTGCGACTCGACTTCGACTCAGACTTGAGGCCCAGGCTGGGCCTGCCTCCCGCTCTCGTGACCGTACCCGCCGCTCCTCGCGACGCAGCATGCCCAGCCTGCCGCCGTCAGTCTCTGCCCAGCGTGAGTGACTCGAGGCACCAGCGCTGGAGGCATGCCGCACATGGCCCGGCTGCTGGGCACGAGGCTGACACTGCTCGGCAGTGACGCTGTCCAACCTGCTGCTCGCCGTGCTCTCCTGCTCCACCTCCTACCTCTTGTACTCGCGCCAGACGCTGCTGCAGACGCGCGCCGCACAGGCAGCCCAGAACGTGGACGAGGAAGAAGACGAGTCGGAGGACGAGGAGGACGACATCAGCGAGGGCGAGCACAAGAACATGCAGGCGCTCAAGGCCCGCGTGATGGACGAGTGCAAGCTGGTGCGTGACGCGAGCGAGAGGGATCTGCCACGGGCAAGGGCAAGGTGCTGCAGCAGCCAGAGGCTGAGGCTTCTGAGCAGGTGCTGCTCGTCCGCACGGACTTGAAGATGGACAAGGGCAAGATCGCGGCGCAGTGCAGGTGCGTGCTGTGCGCATTCGGCGCGACCCGCCAGCTGACGCACCCGCAGCCACGCGACGCTCGCATGCTACAAGGCGATGCTTGTCAGCAACCCGACAGTGAGTATGCTGCAGCTTGAGACGCCCGCTCTGCTGACACAGGCCGGCTCTGCAGATCCTGAAGCAGTGGGAGCGGATAGGGTGAGTGCGCGTGCGGGCGTCTGCGTTTGCGAGAGACGCTGAGCAGCGGATCAGGCAAGCCAAGGTCGCGCTCAAGTGCCCGAACGAGGAAGAGATGCAGCGCCTCGAGGCGGCTGCCAAGAAGCTCAACCTTTGCGCACGCAGCATCAGAGATGCGTGAGTGCGGCGATCGTGTGACGGTTAAAGCCTTGCTGAGCTTGCCCTCTGGCTAGCGGACGGACACAGGTTGCGGCAGGCTCGCGGACCGTGCTGGGCATCGGGCCAGGTGCGTAGCCCCTCGAATTGCAGGCATGACTGTGGCCGAGTCAGCTAACGCATAATCCAGGGCCCGTGAAGCTGATCGACCAGGTCACCGGCCATCTCAAGCTCCTGTGAGGAGCGATTCAATCATCAATGACTGCGGATGCGCATTCTGCAAGAGTTGCTGTGTGTGGAGTGGAGGGTGGCGCGTCGATGCAGTGCGTGCGGGGCCGGAACTGGAGGGAGGCGAGCCGCGCGGAGAGCCGGGCAGCCGCGAGGTGAGTGGAGCGAAGTCGTAAGGATACAGCGTAAAGGGGACGGAACCGGACGAGGGGCGAGGACTGGTGATGTTGAGCCGGACCCAGAGCGCTTGCCGGGCGCTACTTGACGCGATCGCGGCGCAATGCGTGCGCTCGCGCCGTCTCAGCGCGGCGGCGAGCTAAACAGCGGTCGGACACGGGCGCCTCGCTCCTGCTCGAGCGGCTGGACGGGCGCGCTTCGCATGCTCGAGCTGGATGGCGCTGCGCCGGATCGCACCGCCTCTTCGCGCTCATCTGGAAAGGCAGCGTCAATCACTAGCGCTCCTGTCGCTCTGGCGGGGCACTCACCCTGCTCGGCGTCTCCCATGGAAACGCGCTTGCGCTTCTTGGTGCCGAGCGCTTTGGTCGAAGTGCTGAGCGCCGAGTCTTGCTCTTGACCGAGAAGAAGTGGTTTGAAGACGGGACTTGCGCTAGAGCTTGCATGACTGGCCGTGCCGGCAGCCTCGCCCGGCGAGCCGTGCAGACTCTGATCCGAAGGCCTGAGCTTCAGTTTGATGCGGCGGACTGGTGCAGCGGCGTCGCCGGCGCGCGAAGCGGCAGCAGCAGCTGAGGCATCGTCAGGCGAGACGCCCTCGCGGCTGAAGGGTACTGCTTTCGAAGGTCCGGGCGCCGGAGATGGTGAAGGTGCAGGTGCGCGTCGCAGCTGCTGAGCGACCGGTGAAGGGCTGGGACTTGAGCGTGACGCAGCCCGGGCCATGCCCGGGCTGGGATCGGACCAGGCCGGCTTCGGAGGCACGTACAGACCTCTCTTTCGGGCAAGATACCGGCGGGATATAGCGCGACGGTGGTCTGTCTCGCTTCCTTCCGGACCAACCCAGTAGTACGCAAGCAGCTCTGCAGCCGGAGCGCCCTCGGGCGGAGCATTTTGGCGAGCACGCCTACCGTCGCGCTGATACACTAGGCCGCGAGAGTCCTCGTCATGCACTGCTTCTGACGCAGCTGCACTCGCGGATCGGCGCTCTGGATCACCGTCGAGGTCCGTCAGCTCTTGCTCGCTGTCTGAGTCTTCGGATGCTTGAATGACGCTTCGCCGTTTCGCTGCTGGCCGTGGAGCGTCTTCCTCATCTTCCGAGTCCGCAGCGCTACGCTTGCTTGACGATGGCGCCAGCTCTGCGTCGATGGCGTGGTTGTCGAGGTCTTGCCTCTGAATGCGTTGCAGAGCCTTGTGAGCGCTTGCGCGGCTGCTGAATGGCGCAACGATTCGGAGGACCTCCGCCGTGGGCGCTTTGGCCTGCTTCTGAGAGGAAGCACGCTTTCGGCCGCGTGCCACTTTTGGCTGCTGCTGCTGAGCGGGAGCACTCTCGCGCTCTGGAGCGGCCTGATGCTTGGCGAGTGGCGGCCGCGGCTCGAGCTCTGGACTCGCACGAGCCGCGCTGTGCGCCTGCACCGCCGCTGCAGAACTCTGAGTGCGAGTGGCGAGCGGCACATCCGAGCTGGCTGGTGACGCTGCTTCGCATGGACCGTCGGCAGCCTGCTCTTCCGCATGTTCCGTCGTCGGCTGCTCGCCCGTAGCTGCTGAGATGGCGAGGATGTCAGCTCTGCCGCGTGCTTGCCTACAAGCCTAGCACTCACTGCTCATGCCGCCTTGCATGACTTTCAGCCGCTCTGCAGCGAGGCTGGCCAAGCCGCCCCACGCGTGCTGGTAGCGGCCCAGCACCGTCTCGCTCGACCGCAGCTTCTGCGAGAGCTCGCTGTCTTGATCCTGGCGCGCCTGCTCTGCGGCTTCCCTGGCGCGATTAGACGCTGCCAGCTGCTGCTCCAGGTCGGCAATGCGCTCCAGAGCCGTTTGGAGCTCACGCGCCTGATTCTTGTACGCGTCGGAACGGAGCGCATCCGCCTCGAGGTCTGCGGGCCCGGTGATGATCGTCTGCGCCTCGAGTGACTTGCGCGTGCCAGCCTGTCCAGCGGTCGTGGCCGTCGTGGCGCACGCCGAAGTCGAGCTTCCGACAGAGGCTTCGCGCGCGACGGACGTCAGCCGCTTGTTGTTGCGCTTCTTGGACGACGGTCGCGTGACGATCTGCCGGCGACGTACGGGGTCTGCCGGCTCCGCAGCAGATGCAGTACTGCCGCGAGACTCGGACCGTGCGGCGAGACCCTCCGTGATCGCGCTCGGCCCGGCCTCGATCGACGGCAGCGGCGCGTCGCCATGAGCAGATGGCGAATGACACACGGTGCGTATGCCGACGAGACGTGCCGAAGAGGCTGGAGAATCGATACGCGGCAGCCACGTCTGTGTTGCGCAGGAGAAGGTGAAGTCGTGCGACGGCAGAGTAGCAGGCGCAGCGACTTGAACGGGTCGCATCATGCTCTTCACCTTGTCCCGCTGCGCCTCGAGAGCGGCCACGCCGCGTGTGACGCGCCGCCGCGGACGATACGCGCCTTCGAGATCGCTCAGCCAGGCAGCATGGTCGGCATCGTGACACGCGTCTAGATGGAGCGCGACTTCGTGGTCGTCCAGTGAGCGATCGCCCGCAGGCGATGATGCGGCAGAAGACGTGGTCAAGTTGAGGGCCTCCGGTGCAGGACTCAAGGATCGCGAGTGAGGAGAAGCGTTGCGCGCGCCCTGACTTGCTGTGGTCGCTGGCAGAGATGCTGCGCGCGTGCTGCCGCACTTTGCTGGCTCATGATCCGCCAGAAGCTCAAGACCAGCCGAACGTGCGCGTGCTGGACTCGTGAGAGGCGAAGAAGGTAGAATGCTGTCGCGCAGTCGCTCGGAGTGCGTGCGCGAGTGGATGAGCGCTCGTTCACAGGCACTGCCCTCGACTCGGTCAGACAGCGACTGCACGAGGGCCACGGAGCAGCTAGTCAAGCTCCGTTCCCGGCGTGGACTCGTCAGCTCGATGCCCTGCATCTGCTCTTGCGCAGAGGCGTTGACATCGATCGCGCTCAGCGCGCATGTTTGTTCGCCGTCATCTGGGGCCGAAACGGCACAGTCGACTACAGGCCTCGCGTCCGGCTCGCAACCTTCGTGAGGTACGTGAGACGTCGGAGCACTGCTGGCTAGCGACGCCGTTGACGTGTCGGCGATCGAAGACGGAGGACCATGGACAGATCCTTCTGAGGCGGTCCGCACTGCGAAAGAGTCAGCATTTGGCAGTAGCGCGTCACTTGTTAGCACGAACGCACCACTCGTCACGGATGAGCTGGCGTCCGGCGAGCTGCCATGCGCAGCAGGCGGTGCAGCACTCGATGGGGCAGGCTGATGCGTGCTGCCATCGAGAGGCACATCGTCGAGACGCGCGTCGGCGAGAGGTACATCGAGGAGGCGCGCGTCGTCAAGAGGTGCCCGGTCGGGTGGATGGTGGTCGGGCGCTGCTGAAGCTGGTGGTCCGGCTGCAGCTGCGTCAGGAGCTCGGCCGCGAGACGGCGAGCAAGTCTTGCCTGCCTTGGTCGCCACTTCTTGACTGGCGTGGCTCGTATGGCCCGGTAACGACGGGCTTGCAGCATCGGACGACAGGTCGCCAGACTCGTCACTGATCGACATGTCGCTCGAGGTCGTGCTGATCGACATGTCGCTGAGCGTGCGTGCTCTGCGAGGGCGAGCGACCGGCTGGTCGCTGGGCAGAGATGCGGACGCCGCGGTAGTCTCGCACTCTGCGTCCGCCTGCGCCAGCTCGGCCGGAGCTGGCGATGCAGGATCCTCGACATCGTCCTCAGCATCGAGCACTTGCGCGGCTTGTACCGTCGTCGGTGCGAGGGAGCCGTAGAAAGAAACAAGAGGCGCAGCTACTCGACGAAGCGACTCCTGCAGCGCGAGCACGGCCGCACGCAACTCGCGCTGCTTCTTCGCCGAGAGCTTGTCGAGTGGCGATCGCTTCTTGCCCTTGCGAGGCGCTGCGACGATGTCGGACGTCTCGAATGGGCGAGATGCGTGCGCAGCTGCCGACGGAGAGGAGCACGGCTGGTGGCTGGTGGTCGAAGCTTGGCCCGCCATCGAGCGCGTAGGGCTGGGAGCCGCCGCCTGCGTGGGTGCAGACGCGAGGCTTGGTCCAGGGCTGATTGACTGAGGTTGCGGTCCAGTTCCCGGTGAGCTGGCCTCCCGGCTCGCAGGAGAAGGTGCGACAGGTGGAATTTGCGTAGGTGCGTTGCGCTTCGCAGCCGCGGTATCCGCAGCAGCTTGCCCGACGAACTTGGAGATGGGAAACGACAGGTGCGCGCCTGCAGTAGGAGCCGGAGCTTGCTGAACTTGCCGAGGTGTCGAAGGCGCGGCTACAGGCGTGCGAGGCGATGCTGCAGCCACCTTTGACGTCGAAGGCGCTCGTGTAAGGACGAGTTCACGGCGAGGCTTGCCTGACTTGGGCTTGGTGCGCGGACGGACGACTTTTCGCTCTCCTAGCTCGGCAGCTCGCTGCCGCATGATCGCTGCAGCCGTGAGCGGTGCGCCTACGGCAGGAGGCTCGTTGACGCCGACGCCGCGCGACGATGATGGTCCGGAATGGGCTGGAGCAGAGGCGGGACCCGCAGCAGGGCCCGGGCTGGCGAGCGCCTCTGAGGGCGCGCGATCGCGCTGCGGCGACGCAGCGGCGGCCGCGGCCTCGTCGCTGGGCGGCGGCACTGCCCAGCTGAGGCTCGGCGGAATGCCCATGGTGGGCGTGCGCGGCCACATGTGTGTGGAGAGAGCGGTGTGAGGCCCGGCGACAGGAGCAGGGCAGGGTGCAGGCCACAGGCCGGGTGGAGGGTGGGAGGCAGCCTCGTACTTGGGGTCCGAGCCCTCTCTTATTGGGTGCGCCTCACGGGCCCACGCCGGCGAGTCAGCAGCAGCACGCCGCGCAGGCAGCCGGCCCTCCTGCTGCGCACCCTCCAAGCGCAAACACTGAGTGCGTGCGGGCCGAGATGAGCGGGTGATAGAGTGGCGGCCGCCCGCGAGGCACTCTATACACGTTGACGCGACGCGCCCCGTGCGCGCTGCGCGCTGCCTGGGCGGGCTGCACGACAGCGACACTTCGAGAGAGGCGTCTCGCAGCTGCAGCTGCTGAGCTGAGGCTTCGCTGCGCAACTTGTTGCGCTCTCGCTCTTGGGACACTTCCCAAACAAGCAGACCCACGGAGCGGCTGCAGGGCTGCGGGGCTGCCTGATCGGGCAACGCGCCTCGCCGCGCGCGCGGCGGCCCGAAGTCTAGTGGTCGTCCCAGAGACGCAGCCACCCGCCAACCTGAGACTGTTGCCACATCCGTGGATGTCAACACAGCTGTCGCCGCGCGCACATCGGTGGATGTGTCCCTGCCATGCCGCGACGCCGTGCAGCTGTGCAGCTTGGCAGCTTTCGCAGCACAAGCGATACGCAGCCTCTTGGCCAAAGAGGGCGTCGCTGTTGCTTGGGACGGCGTCGGGAAGCCGCGCTGGTGCGGCCTCTGCTATGCACGCACGCGTGCATTGGCGCCCGGCGCCGTCAGCTTGTCTTTGATGCTGCAGCTGCGCGGCATCCTCCATCCTCGCTGCTCGCTGGGTCGCTCGCCTGTGCAGCATGCCGGCCTTTCGAGCGATGGATGCCTTGCGGGCGGGGTTGAGGCGGTGGCTAGGAGAAGCCGCTCTCTGCGCGCCACGCTGCACGTTCGCTGCGCCAGCGTGAGCCCAAAAGAGGCATGCCGCTGCGCTGCCATCAGCACCTCTCGCTCGAGTCCATCCGTTGCCGCTGCCGTGCCGGGTGCTGCGGCACTGCCGCTGTGCTGCGGCGATCCCATCGCAACGACGGGCGTCCAGCAGACACTGCTCCCGTGCTGCTGCGGCAGCCTGCTGAGTCGGACTCGGCGGCGATGGCGGTTGCTGGGGCGCGCACACTGCTGCGGTGCTGCTGCGGCACGCACCCACGCGCCGCAGCAGCCCTCGCGCCGCCCTCCGCGCCCGCCGCGCGCCTGCCTGCGCGCTTTGCAGAGGCCGCCAAATGCGGGCTCAAGCTGCGGCGGGGCCACGGCTGCGGCAGCCGCGCTGTCTCGGCGCTGCTGCGGCGCCCTCGATCGGCGTGGGCGCAAGCGTATAAAGAGCTGCGGCAGCGCTTGCCGCAGTCCGTCGCACCTGCCGCAGCACCCCATCCCCCTGCGCACTCCCGCCCCGACTGCGGCAAGCACCCCCTGGACACTGCCTGCCCACGCAGCACTTTCGGTGAGTAGGCGTGGCCTGGACTTCTCGGCGGAGGTGGGACGGTGCACTCGGCGGCGCTCGCTCGGCTGCTTGGCGCGCAGCACGGTGGCCGTGCGAAATTTTCTGCTCGTCGTCGTCGCCGGCGCCATCGTGCGCCATCCCGGCGCGCCAGAGGTGCCGCAGCACTTGCCGCAGCATCCGTTCTCACGCACAGCATGCTCACCCTCGCCGCTCTCAGCTGCTCAGCATCAAGCATCGCGCATCGCTCACCTCGAGCGTTGGCTTCATCTAGACTCGCCTGCTCTGCACCTTCGCTTCATCAGCGGCCTGCTCGTCGTCGCACTCGACTTCATCACCGGCGCTGCAGGACATCCGGCCCGCGCCACGGAGAAGGCACACTCATGGCATTCGCCTAGGCCGCGCTCTTCACTGTGTCGATGGCGGACTCCGAGAATGCAGCAGTCGGCGAGGCCGATGTCGCCATCCCAGCAACGTCGAGCGAGCCTGAGCTGCAGCCGGCCGCAGGCACGGAAGACGCCACGGACGCTCCTGCAGACGACGCAGCAGAAGATGCCTTCGACGCTGCGGACTTCGACGGCATGGAGCTCGACGCTGCAGCCATGGCCGAGGCGCTTATGAGCCAGGCGTTCGAGCAGGCGCAGCTCTTCGGCATGAGCGAGGCGCTCGCAGGCGGCGGCGACGATGAGCAGCTCGCTGCCGAGCCTGATGCACAGACGGCGGAAGAACCCCAGGACGCGCTGATGTCGAGCGCCGACGTTTCGACGGCAGCCGCCACAGCGCAGGACGACGTCAGCAACGGCGAGACTCTTCCCGCAGCCGAGGCGAGCGAGACTGCGCCGATCGCCGAAGCAGCAGCTCCAGTGCCGCCAGCAAGCCCGCCGCGTGGTGTCAAGCGTCCACGCGAGGACGACGCGCTGCCCGCACCAGAGGTTGCTGCGCCTCAGACCGAGGCGGAGAAGACCGAGGCGGACCAGATGCTCAAGGCCTTCAGCACTGTCCCGCCGAACGAGCCAGTGGCCGGCACTTCAGAAGCGGCCCAGCCGCCTGCGAAGATCGCGCGCACTGAGGCACCGCCTGCTGCGCCTGCCGTCGCACAGGCGAGCCAGTTCCAGAGCTCGTTCGCAGCTCTAGGCCAAGCAGCACCGGCAAGCAGTGCTGCCGCACCAGCGGCAGGTGCTCGTGAGTCCCGAGCGCTCGCCGTTTCCTGTGCAAGCTGAGCTGACCCGCACTCGCTCCAGTCCAAGAGGCTGCACCCACTGCCACTGCGACTCTGGCCCCGCCGGTGTCTGCTGCTGCTCCAAACACGTCCGCAGCAGCGCCTGCGTCAGCAGCCGTCTCTGCTCCACCTGCGCCCGCAGCAGCACCTGCGTCAGCGGCTGTCTCAGCCACACCTTCTGCAGCGCCGGCATCTCTCACCGGCACATCTGCTCCATCTGCGCCGGTCCAGCCAGCCGCGAGTGCAGCGGCCGAGACCAGCCAGAGCGCGGCCGTCGACGACGACGCCGAAGAGACCGATCAGCTCATGGACTTCTCTGGGCACGACTTCGAGGCGATGGCTCAAGCCGCCATGGGCCTCGATGCCCAAGGCAACCCGCTGCCAGGCAACGAGGAGACGCACCGCGAGCTCGCCGATGCGATGCATCGGCTGTCCGACCAGCAGGCGCTCGAGAACCTCTACACGGACAGTCCGACCCTCGCAGCCGAGAGCAAGGCGAGCAAGGAGAAGGATCGCATCGCGCAAGAACTGCGCGACCTGCAGAAGCAGAAGAAGGAGAACGAGGACGACGAGCAGGCACAGCGCGAGGAGCGCGAGGACAGCCAAGGCCAAGAGGGCTCGGGCGGCAAGCGCTTCCAGTGCCCCAAGTGCGATCGGGCCTTTGCGCGTGCCTACAACCTCACCACGCACATCTCGACGCATGACCCCGACCCGAATCGCTCCAAGCCCTTTCCCTGCCCCTATCCATCCTGTAAGGCCGACGGCGGCCGTGCCTTCAGCCGCAAGCACGACCTTCAGCGCCACGTCGCGAGCACGCACGAGGCCGAGCCCGAGCCGGGCATCCACGGCGTCGCCGAGGAGATCGGCGAGGGCCGCACTGGTGGCTTGGCAAGCCTCGGCCTCGGCGCACCAGGACGCAAGTTCCGCTGCGACGAGTGTGGGCGAGGCTTCGTGCGCCGTGACGCGCTCAAGCGGCACCAGTGCAGCAAGATTCGCGGCGGCAGCGACAGCGAGAGCGGCAGTGTCGACCTGACGGACATGGACGCCGCTGTTGCTGCTGCTACGGCTGCGGCCATTGCGCAGGTGCCGGCTGGACTGTTCACGAACGTGCCCGAGAGCCTCTACAGCTCCCTGCCTCAGCAGCCAGCTGTAGCGAGCGCTCCGCCGCGTGCAGCACCGGCGCCGGCACCAGCACCCGTGCAAGCTGCCGCGCCAGCACCCGTCCGAGCGCCCGCGCCCGCGCCGAAGCCAGCGCCAGCGCCAAAGCCTGCACCAGCACCTCCAGCGCCAGCGCCCGAGCCCGAGCCTGACTCTGTCTTCGACATGGAGCTGCCGAGCGGGCTCACCGCTGAGATGATGCACGCCGCCACGCTCAGCCTCGTTGCGCAAGTGCAGGCCGAAGCTGAGGCGCACGCTAGGCAGCAGGCCGCCAAGGCTGCCGCAGCTCAGGCGAGAGCGCCAGTCCGCGCTCCCGTCGCCGCCTCGTCGGGCTCGCCGGCGGTGGCTCGCCCTCCAGTCATCCTTCCGCCCGGCGTGCGACCTCAGCCAATCGCGACGAACCGTCCCACTGCCGCTGCTCGCTCCGGGCCGTCGACTTCGGCATCGCGCGCTGCTGCCCCGGCGACGTCGCAGTTCCGACCGCTGCAAGGCGCAGCGCGTCCGGCAGGCGCTCCAGGTGGACCAGCACGCCCACCTCAGGCTCCACTGAAACCGCCGGCTTACGGCGTGAAGCCGGGCACTGCGACGCCGCCATCGGGACAGCAGCCTCTTCGTCCGCCGCCTTACGGCAACAAGCCGGCTGGCTCTGGCCCGACGTCTTCGCAGACGCCTCTCCGTCCGCCGCCGTACGGAGGCAAGCCTGTTGCCGCCGCTGCAGGCTCTGCAGTGAGGCCGCCGGTAGCAGGTGCTGCGCCAGCTCCACGGCCGGGTGTGCCAGGTGCCACTGCTTCGCCAGTCGCACGGCCGGCCGGTTCCCCTGCAGGACCTAGTGGCATGACAGGCGCGGCTCGGCCGCCAGTCGCTGCCGGAGCAGCAGCCACTGCGACAGGCGTCGTTCGATCAGCGCCGGCTTCTTCGACACTTGCGGCGCCCGGCGTGAACGGCAAGGCCACCATCGCCGCGCCTCGACCAGCGGTGCCGGGAACCGCACCCTCGACGGGCGCTACTGCACCTGCTCGGCCAGCGGCGCCTGCAGCAGGAGCATCATCTGCCGCCACTGCTCCCGTTCGAGCGCCAGCAGGCGCTCCAGTGTCGCGCCCGCCGACATCTACCGCTCCGGCTCCTCCTCGACCAGCATCGTCCGCTGCTCCGCTCGCACGACCTGCGACGTCAGCCGTCCCAGCTCCGCGACCTGCTACGGCCGCTACTCCAGCGACCCGTCCTCCAGCGACCGCTGCTCCGGTCTCGCGGCCTCCTATAAGCACATCACAGCCGAATGCGCCGGGCGCGACCGTCACCTCCACACCTCTCAAGCCTTCGGCGCCTGCTAGCGGCGTCAGTGCTGCCTCTGTGACGGCCGCGACACAGCGGCCTCCAGTGCAGCCTCCGGCAAGCAGCACCCCCATCAAGCCCGGCTCTACCATCACTGCGGCGCCATTCGGGTCCAAAGGTCCTCCAGCCTCGCCATCCGCTCCAGCAGCTCGACCTGCTCCTGTATCATCTGCCGCCGCTTCTGCTCCCGTCACCACGTCCGCACCTCGAGCGTCGGCACCAGTCTCGACTGCGGCTGCCGGCAGCGCTGCGCCGACCGTCCCTTCGGCGTCCGCCTCAACACCTGCAGCGTCTAGACCCGCCGTCACCGCTATCCCGGCCGCCAAACAGGCAGCGGTTGTGCCGCAAGTCGCCGCGCCGAAGCCGTCTGTAGCCGCGGCGCCGCCGGCTGTGCCCAAGACAGAGCCTGGCACCGCCGGCGAGGCGGCACCCGGCCTCGCAGGCGAGTCGAGCACCAAGACTGTGGCTCCGGCCTCGCCCGTGTCTGGTGGCCCTCCTGCCTCTTCTGCCCCCTCGGCCGCAGTCAAGCTCGAGCCCAGCTCCTAACCTGATCCCGTGTCACCGTCTTAGTACCCTCGGCTCTCCGTGCCGCCTTGTACCTGTGCCTTCGCATCGCCATAATATCCACTCTCCGTCCTGTGTCTCTCAAGCTAGCTCTAGTCATTGAGGCAGCGTCGTGTAGAGTAGTGACAAGGTGTGAAGACGAAGAGCGAGAGTGTGGCGCCGCGCGCAGGTACATCAGCGCAGGCGGGCGCGGGTATGCGTGGAATAGGTCGTCAGGGGCCGCGAGTGCGGCGCTCCGGTGTCATAAGGTGCGGCTCAGCGCGAGGGCGAGCCGCAGGAGGTCCAGAGAGGGGATATCAGGCGGCAGAGACGGCGGCAGCTGCAGGCGAGCGCGTCTCGAGGCGCGCGATAAGGTCGTACGGGTTCTCGTCCTCAGCGTCCTCGTACTCCTCGTCGTACTCGAACAGCGGCAGGGGCAGCTCAGACTGCGCATCGAGGAAGGGCATGTCTGTCGACTGCCGTGCGTGTGCATGTCGCATGCCGGCCGCACCGCCGAGGCTGCTGCTCCGCCCGAGCACGCTCTCTTTGGCGTCGTCCCAGGACCACGCCGCGAGGCGTTCAGGGCCCCAGGAGCGCGTCTCGCGCATTGTCGTCGCACAGCTCGTGTCGGCATCCGTGTCCGCGCCAGCAGCGGCGTCCATCTCGATGTCGGAGTCGCAGTCGTGCTCCAGCTCGACGGCCTCGTCGAGCATCTCATCGAGCGAGTCGTCGGCCTCGGCACGCTGGGTCTCGCGGCGCTTGAGGTACCATTTGAGGCCCAGCGGCGCCAGCGAGAGCGTGGAGAGCACCACAAGCTTGAAGAGCATCTCAGGCTTCCAGATGTGCGCGGCGATGGCGCGCGCGCCTGTCTGCGCCTTGTGTGCGACCGCCTGCAGGCGCTGGGACTCGAGCGGAGAGGTGCCGGGTGCCGGCGCATCGACGAAGCCGCCCGACACGAGGCCGTCGCCGAGCGTCGTGCTGGCAACAGAGGCGGGCAGCGCCTGCAGCGTGTCGATGAGCACCTCGCCGACCGTGGCGGTGACGCCGTTCCAGGCGACGGAGCCGAGCGCCAGCGTGCCGGCGTACGGCAGCAGCGGCACGCGCAGGATCGAGCAGGCGATGTTCATGACGCCGTACGGCACCACGGGGATGACGCGGAGCACCAGCAGGTACGACCAGATGTTGCCGCTTGACTCCTGCGCTGCGGCAGCTTTGCTGCGGGCCGAGCCACGGCGCGAGAGACGTGATCTCCGTGCACTCGCTCGGCGGCTGGCTGCGCTCGCCGGACGAGCGATGCCTGTGCTCCGTCCGGCAGGTGCAAGTGCTCGTCGGATCGCGGCGAGCGGCTTGCTGATACCGGGCATGGCTGCGAGAAGCGGCGCAAGCGGCGCCACCAGCAGATAGCAGCCGACGCCGCCGACGGCCGTCAGGATCGAGGTGTAGAGCGTGCCCCAGAAAGTGCCGTACATTGCGCCGAACACCACGTTCTGCAAGACTCATTAGCACAGGCACGAGAAGCGGAAGAGCGGGCCGGCTCACCATGATGAGGCTGCCCGGAATGGTGAAGGCCTGCTTCCAGGCGAAGAAGATCGAGAGCACGGCGAGCGTGTGGGCGCCTGCTTGCCGCGAGCTGCGGCTGTAGTTGCGCAGGCTGAGGCACGCCTCGCGGATCTCATCGAGCGTGAGGCTAGTGATGTGCTTCGGCATGACCATGGGCAGCGTGGAGAGCAGCATGACGATGCACATCGTCGAGCCGACGAAGCAGATCAGCAGGAAGAGCAGCGCCGGCAGGTGCGGCCGCAGCGGCGGCAGCTGCACGCCCGTCACGCCGCGGCGCACGCGACGTGTGAGCATGCTGAGCGCCGTGCGCGGCGAGACGCTGAGCGTGGCGGAGATTGCATCGAAGCGCGAGGCTGCCGATGTGCGCTGAGGTGGTGCCGGACTCGTCGGAGGGCTGAGCATGTGGCTCGGCAGCAGGCCACTCATCGCCGACGTGCTCTTCGGTGCGGCCTGCGCCGTCGAGGCGGGGCGCGTCGGCGGCGAGAAAGTGCCGCTCGAAGAGACGGAGTAGGTGCTGAAGATGGGGCTGGCACGGCCAGACGTGGCGCTGCTGCCCGACGGCGTGAACATCGAGTCGCGCTGTGCATCCGCAGCCGCCTGAGCCATGCTCCAGGCATGCCGCGGCGCAGTGTAGTGCGGGCGCAGGCGCTCTTCGCTCTCGCGGCCCTCGAAGGCGGCTTCGAGATGCTCCTCGTCCGAGGGTGTCAGCGGCGGGCTGTCGTCGTTGAGGCCGCGCATGCCTTGCGGGCCAGCTTGCCGGGCGGCAGGCATCGCCAGCGGCTGCAGGCGCGCCCGGGACGTCGAGGCGCCAGAGTCATCGGCCAGCGCCGCAGCCGAGGCGCCGAGACCCTGAAAGCGTCCGGCTGCGGCGGGACCACCAAGCTCCTCGCTGTACTCTCCGCTGGTGCGCAGCTTCGCCGGCGGAGGTGCCGAGTCGGAGGAGGATGCATCTGCGTCGGCGGATGCGCCCGTGAAGGAACTGAAGAAGGAGCGCAGCTGCGATGTCAGGCGCGGCCGGGCTGATGCCTTGCCGAGTGTGTCTGAGAGGGCCAATCTGTGTGAGCAGCGGCCACAACAGGAGGTGTGGATGAGGCGTGTGCGTGCGCATGACGCACGCGCGTCCAGGTCACGCGAGCTGCCCGCGTGGCGCCAAATTCTGCGACCCTGCACCTGTCACGCGCGCCGCGTGCTCCGCCCTGCCCTCCTCCGCCCAGCCATGTATGCCGCGCAACTCACCGTTCCTGCTGCTGCCTTGGCCGATGTGCTCCACGCCCGAGCTGGGCTGCGGCCGCGAGCTCGACGACGCCGGGCGTGCCAGCGTGAAGTCGGGCGTGCCCGGCCCGCGGTCGTAGTCGTGCAGCGAGGGCACAGCGCTGCGCGGCGCCGCTGCGTCGCCCTCCGCCTGGCTGATGGAGCGTGCGCGCGAGCGCGTCGACGACGACGAGGCTGCAGCGTCGGCCCGCAGCGACGTGAGGATGGGCGCGAGGAGCGTGTTGCTGGCGGCACGGCGGGCGTAGGCTGGGCGAGCGCTGGCCTCGCCGGCGGTGGAGGCTGAGGCCTCGGCGCTGGGCTCGCCGCTGCTGCTGCTGGTGGAGGCGTCGGCGCCGCTGCTGCTGCTCGCCGGCGCAGCGTCGCGCATGCCGTCGCTCCACGCGCGCGAGTACTTGGGAGGCATGCGTGGGAGTGTGAGGTGGGTGTGGTGAGGAGAGAGGGATGCGCCGGGCGCTGCCTCGCCGAGAGGGTTTCCAGGACGAGAGCGCCGCGCGTGCTGTGCTGAGCGAGCATCGAGGGGCACAGCCGCGGGCCGCGGTCGGTGTGATCGCGGTGCTGCGCGCTGCCCTCGCTGCCGCTGCTCGCGTGCCGCGGCCCTCGCGCGGCGGAGCAGCAAGATCGGCGGGCGGAAGCCGCAAGCCGCCGCGTCACAGCAAAGGCACGCCGCGGCAACTTGCCCTTTTTGCGCTGGCGGCTGGGCGGAGCGCGGGTGTTGATGCTGCACATCCGCGGGCCGCGAGCCGCTGCTGCTGCGTTCTGCCGTGGTGCCTCCGGATGCGCGGACCCGAGACAAGTAAGGCCCACCCGACCCGCCGAGCGTCAGCAGAGCAAAGCTCGACCGGCCGCTCCGGCCGTAGCGCGCGTACGTCCTGCTGCGTGACAGCCACGCTCTCGCCTGCCGAGCTCTCGCCTCGAGCTGCCTTCTGCACGCTCTGCGCTGCGTCTTCAGCCGCTCAGGAGGTGCAGCGCACAGCGAAGGTCCATCTGACGCCCCTGTGGACCGTTCGGAAGCGCGAGTGCCGGCCTTCTCCCCTCTGCCGTGTTCGTGAGCCTCGCCGCTAGGAGACTGCAGCGGAAAGCTCTGGACACCGACAAGCGGCTCGCTGTGGCTGCGTCTGCTCGTCGGACGCCTTCGGCTGTACCCTTTTTGCTGCACGCTGCGTTCTTCGCTGAGGTGTTAGCCCGGCTGCGAAGACTGGGGTCCATCTCGACAGGCGAAGAGGGGTCCAGCATGCAGAATGCAGATGCAGGGTGCAGCGGAGGCCGCGGCTCGACTCGGGATGTGACTTCAGGCAGTCCGGCTCGCAGCGACGGATCTGCCGGCGCTTTTTTCGCCAATCACCTCGCCTTGCCGGCGGCTCGAGTCGGAGCATGCGGCGTCTCCGTCTGCCCTGCATGCTGTGGCTTTGCTTGCCTCTGCTGGCAGGGCAGAGGCGAGGCGGGCGCGTGACCCAGCGCTCGGTTCGCCCTGTCCAAGGGGGCTCGCATGAGATCTGCACGGACCGGATGACGAGTACTGACTTGCCAGCGGACGATAGACGGCTGCAGCACCAACGGTCCGTGCACAAATGGAGGCCAAGAGCAGCGTGATCAATTAACATCAGGACCGGGGACAAGAAGGAGCTGGATGAGCAGGTGGGATAGTAGGGTTCGCAAGGCGAGGTCAGACAGTCGACGGCGAGGCGGACGAGGGCAGAGAGAGCAGGCTGGCAGACGCAGCCTGCGAGCAGAGGAGCAGCATCGGAGAGGAGGTCGGAGTGCAGTGGCGCTCTAGAATGCACCACTGCGACTCCGGCCACTGGTCTGCGCGCTCATCAATGCTCGAGGCATGGCGTGCGGGACTGCAGACAGCCGACGAGGTGCATCGTCGGCCGCCTGGCCAGGCGTGATGGTATATGGTCGGCCTGGCAGCGTCCGCGCAGCCCGGTCCGCGTCTACGCCCTGCACCGCTCGGTCCTCGTGTCCGCCTGCCGTCGAGACTGCGCAGGCCAGCCTGGCGCAGACGCAGACGGGCGCCGCTCATTGCATCTTCTTGCCCGCCATCTGCTCCGCCTTCTGCACGTCGAGATACGGGTCGTCCTCGGCCTTGGGCGCGCGGTACGATCCGCCCATCCGGTCGCAGCCGGTGAAGTACTGCCCGTAGTTGACGTTGAAGTGCTGCGGAGGAGGTGTCAGCACAGGCACTCGCAGTGCTGTCGCCGGCGCGGCTCACCAGGTGGTGCAGCGTGTGGTGGCTTGGCCCGTTGATGATCTTCTCGAGCGGCGAGTTGCAGATCATGTCCGAGTCGTGGATGAGGATGCTCCAGCAGTTGACAAAGACGAAGAGGCCCATGTAGATGAAGCGGTGCAGCGGGAAGATGAAGACGAAGATGTGGTACGGCAGCGACTGCAGGTAGCCATCGATGGGGTGGAAGGCGTGCGACGCAAAGGGCGTGGGCACTGCGCGTGGCGTGAGCAAGAGCGTCAAAGTAGGCACGCACGCGCTACGCACCGATCCACTTGTGGTGCGGCTTGTGGATGTACTTGTACAGCCGCGGGTGGTGCTCGAGGCGGTGCACCCAGTAGATGCAGAAGTCCGTGAACACGAGGAAGAGCGGGATGCTGAACAGCGCGTAGGCGATGCCGTAGTCGCCGATGTGGTCGTACAGCATCGAGTGGCCGCGCACCTCGGCCAGGAACCACGGCAGCGTGAGGGCGTCGAGCGGCGCAAAGGCGTTGAGCGACGATTCGATCTCGAGGCGCACCTGGTTCTTGAGGAAGCGCGGGTGCTTCTTCATGTCGTGGTTGAAGAAGGTGAAGTAGGAGAGCGAGGCAAAGGAGAAGTACAGCAGCAGAATGCCGAGGTATGTGATGCCGTACAGCGAGATACATTGCCTGTAGGCGCCGCTTGTCAGTATGCGCAAAGCCAGCAGCAAGGGCAAGGGCGCCTGAGGCAGGACACCGAGCCCTTCACCTGAGGCAGGACACCGAGCCCTTCAGAACAAGCCAAGCGCAGGCGCTTGCAGCAGCGCATGGCGCCTCGGACACCGGCACAGCGCAGGAGCGGACGTCTGGGCTGGACCGTGCCAGCGCAACATGCCACGCTGAGCCGGCTACGAGCTCGCCGCTGCCAATCCACCGCGCGAATCGCTGTGGCAGCACGGCTGGCAACGCTGCTGGTGATCGAGGCTGGAAGCTGAGGCGCCTCCGTCACCGTGCCAGCTACCACCTGTCGCCAGCCCCCGCTCTTATGTGGCAACGCGACTCGCAGGCCAAACTCACCGCAGCCAGTAGTCGCGACCCCACGAGCTGGCGTTCAAGAGGCGCACGGCGTTGCGCTCGTCAGCTGCGGCGGCCTGTGCGGCCTTGCCGGTCCAGCCCATGACGTTGGAGGTGAGGTTCAGGATGGCGCTCGGGCTGGCGCGTGCCACGGCCTTAGAGATGTCCTTGGGCACGGCGGGCAGGGCCCACGCGTAGACATCGTCGAGCAGGTAGTGGTCGAAGATCTGGAGCACGACGTCCATCGTGGGCAAGCGGCGAGGCGGCTAGGCCAGACGAAAGGGAGGTGCGAGGCAGAGAGCGAGGAAGCGGCACGCGCGTGAGAGAAACACACGAGAGCGAGGCGGCGCGCGTAGAAGAAGGCGCCGCGGGTGCGAGGCGAGGCGGTCAAGGAGCGTGAGTGGGTGAGGCAGGTGCGAAGGTGGTGGCGGGAGGGTGAGCAGCACGCAGAGCAAGGTCGGCGGCAACAAACGTCGAGGGAGCCGAGTCAGGTGATGGAGAGAGAGGTGCGAGACACGCCTGCGAATTCGCGAAGCTGGCGCTGCCACAGACGCCGGAGCGGCGCGGCGCGGAGGCACGGCACGGCGGCAGCGGCAGCGCGCTCGAGGCGCCTTGCGAAGCCGCCTTGCACCCGTGTCGCGCGGCAGGCGGCTCGCCGGCGTGCGGGCGCTGGAGTTGGAGCAGCCGTCCTGCGCCGCCGCGCCGCCCATGTGGCGTGGTGCAGCGCCCTTGCTGCGCTGCGTGCCGGCCGGCCTCTCACGCGGCACGCCGACAGCACAGCGGCAGTACCGCGGCGTGCTGCTCTCCAAAATATAAACGCTCGGTGGCGCCGCCCGCCGCGAGACGGGGCACGCCACGAGCAGGCGGACGCGGCGCATCAGGCCCCATCAGGGCGGCAGCTCGCGCTAGCAGCGCCAGGCAGGAGCCCAGTGTGCGGAGGGTGGCCTGACAAGATGCAGCAGGCGTTCTTCTGGCGCGCGGCCTGCTTCCTCCGCGCGCCGCCGCGGCGTCCGCCCCGTCTCCGCTCGCTCGCGCCTCGCTCGGACAAGGCGCACGTGAGGCAGACATCTCCGAGGCACGCGCGCGACAGCCACGAGAGGTGGCTGGCGATGGCAGGCTGCACCAGCTGCAGTGGAACGACGGCGAGAGGCGAAAGAGGCGCGAGGGCACTCAAGCAAGTCTGATGAGTGCAGAGGCTTGGCTAGAGCGGCGACAGGAGACGGGGCGGGCGCAAGAGATGGGATGCGGCGAGGCCAGCGGATCAGATACGCGCGCGGAGGCGAGGCGCGGCCCAGCAGCGCATGGCTCGCTGATGCTGAGGGGGCCGGAAAGGCGTTGCCGGCCAAGTCAGCCTGCCGCACGACAGGAGCATGCTTCAAAGGCTGGCCGCTGCTGCTCTCGAGGGGTACAGAGCCCGAGATGTCAGCATGAGGCGGCAGCGGCGGCGGACGAGCACCGCAGCACCATCCGGACCCGTCATGCGTGGGCACACGACAGCACGCCGCCGTGCGGGGCGCGGAGAGCCGCCCGCGGCCTCCGACCTGTCCGTCGGCTGCGCGCCACAGCGCCCAGCAGCAGCAGGGCCCCATCTCTGGCTGTGCCAGCGCTCGCTTGCGTGGCACGTCTGCACAGCCCTTCGACAGCGGTGGCATCGGCATGGCGTGTGCGGATGGACGATCAGGCCACTGCTGTCGAATCGGGCCATCGAGGAGGGCGGATCTCGGCGGCCGCTCGCGCCGAAGCTGGCGCCGTGTGCGGCGGCGGGTGGAGCTGACGGCGCACGGCACAGCCACCTGCTCCGCGACAACCAACACTCGGCGTCGACATCTGTCAAGCATCGCATCAGCAGGGCCGCGCAAGCTCCCGCACCGGCATCCGTCTCGCGCCGGAGAGCGTGGTGCAAGCGCACGGCCCCGCGAGGACGAGTCGGGCTGTGCCAAGCGCCGGACACGTCTGATGGCCCTCCTGGCGCTGCCGCTCGAGCTGCAGCTGCACATCCTCGCCCTGCTGCCGCTCTCGAGCCAGCTGCTCTTCACGTACCAAGTGTGCACGGTGCTGCGGCAACGCTTGCACCCGCTGCTGCTGCCGGCGCACACGCTCTCGCTGGCGACGTGGCGCATTGCGGCTGAGGAGACCCGACATGTGCTAGCTCGCGGCAGCGAAGAGGTGGTGTCAGATCAGACGGTCGCCGGAGTCACCAAGCACGCCTCGAGGGTGCATCTGGGCGCACCCACCTCGCCTGCCACAGATGCACGCTTGCTCGTGCGAGTACTGCGTCTGCTATCGCTGCTCGACGAACCCGAGACGGCATCAAGCGTCGCTCCTCTGCCGTCGCCGGCGCCGGCGCATCCGCTGCGTGCTCTTTGCCTCATCGGCTGGCGCGGAGTCGGAGCAGATCTCGTGCGCCGTCTGCTCTGCGAGCCCGGCCTGGCAGACGTTCGCACCGTAGTCAAGACGGAGCGCTTTGACCGACGTGAGCAGGAACAGCACCCGTTGGCTTGTCTCGCCAGCTGACTCCTTTGACTCAGATGCCTGGACACGCCCGCTCGCGCCGCACGAGCGCAGCGCACCCATCAGCGTCTCCGAAGGCGGCAACAGCGCCCTGGCGCAGCACTATCTGCCCGCCTCTGTCGTGTCTGACAGCGAGCCTGGCGGTAGCGACAAGGCCGCAGCACCGCTGGTGGTGGTCACGCAGGCCATGCTCGTCATCGGCAGCCGGCAGGCGCCGCACCAGCGCATCCCGGGCAAGGGCGTGCAGGTCGGCTATGAGGCGCTGTGCTTTGCGCCGAGCTTCGCGGACCAGATCACAGCGGTAGAGCCCGTCGAGGAGGGCACAGCCGCCGCCAGTGCAGTCACTGCGCCAGACGCGCCACTGCACGTCATCTTTCAGGGGCGGTACAGCGCCGCCGACGCCCTGCAGTGCGAGGCACAGCTGCGCTGCTCGCACATCCGCTGCGGCCACTGCCGACAAGAGATCTGGTTCGGTTAGCGCTCAGTCTGGACTGTCGCGGGTGTGAGAGGTCTATTGTAGCAGAACACCGGGCTTGGACAGGCGACGAGCGCGTCCAAGCCCGCTGCGTGCTGTTCTCCGCACGCGCAGTCGTTGCTTTTGATGCAGCGTCACTGGCTCAGTCCCAGTCACTCTCCTCTGCCTCCTCCTCCTCGGCGCCCTCGGCCTCGGTGCCGCTCGACCCGTCGTCGTCGTCGTAGCGCACCGAGCGCACCTTCTCGCCGCGCATGGCGGCCATCTGGCCGGCGAGGCTGCGGCGTTGCGTGAGCTAAAGGCAGATGCGGGCGGCAGACAAAGCCACTCACGTGTCCTCGTCCGGGTCTGAGATCTCGTCCTCGCGCACGTCGTCCTCCAGCACGCTCGGGTCCTCGACCTTGAGCTTGATGGGCAGCGCCGCATCGGAGCCGAGGTACGAGTCGCTCTTGAGCAGCGCCGTGAAGGTGTAGAGGCCGGGCTGCGGCGGCGCCTGGAACTGCACCGAGTACATGCGCACGGCGTCGGGCCCAATGTCCGTCACGCGCGTCGGCTGCACAATGATGCGGCTCTGCTTGGGGTCCGCGATCATGGCCCACCACTGCGGCTTGCGCTCCTGCAGTCACAGGTCAGCCTACAAGTCTCGCGGGCCAGGCTATGCGTGAGCAACGCACCTCAATGAAGTGCGGGGCGTGCGCAACGCCGACGGGCTGCTTGCCCTCCTTCGACGTCTTGGTGTCCGTCCGGCCGATGAGGTGGTCGAGCGAGACCTCCTCGTCGTCCTCGGTCGATGGCCGCACGCTCGACTCCTCGTCGCGGCGCGAGGCCTCGGTGCCCGGGCGGGCGCCGGAGTTGAGCATCACGCCGTCGCGGCGGAATGGCAGGGTGCGTGCCTTGATGACGAACTGCACGATGGCGCCCGTGGTGACGAGGCGCTCGCCGTTGACTGCGAAGGCACATATGAGCAAATGCAGAGCTTCAGCACGCAGAAGCAACGCACCCTTGAAGAACGAGTCGACGAGCTCAATGCGCGGCCACTCGCCCACGACGCGCATCAGCTCGTCGTACTGCTTGGCGCTCAGCGCATCCTTGCCCTCCTTGCCGACGCCGAGCAGCTTGCGGCGCTGCGCGTCCTCCATCTTCCAGAAGCCCTGCAGGCCGAGCTCGCCGAGCTTCGCCTTGCGCGTCACGGCCAGCGCGAGGGGCAGCGTCATGTGCGGCAGCTGCATCAGCTCCGCGGCCGGACGCAGCTCCACGGCCGGCGGCACAGCCTGCACGAAGCACTGCTGCATGTCCATCAGCTGCAGCGTCAGGTCCATCCAGTTGTGCGCCAGCGAGATGGAGAGCATGGCGGTGATGAGCCGCTCGGCCGTGGCGCCGATGACGTAGCGCTCTGTGAGGCGTGTTGCGTCAGCGAGTGGCCACAGGCCATGAAGAGCCTCAACGCACCCTTGGTCAGCGTCGCGTTCTTGGTGTCGATGCGCAGCAGGTAGGCGTAGAGCAGCACGAGCGTCTTGCGGATCGACTGCGTGCGGAACTGTGCGCAGCGCTGGGTTCAGCAACGGACCTGCCAGACGAAGCACGAGCACGTTCACTCACCGACTCGATAAGAGCCCAGCGCGGGCCGAGCGCCTCAACCTGCTCGCGGACCTGGGTCTCGAGCACCTTCAGGTCCTCCTCGTTGGCGTCCTTGCCGCGCTTCTCCAGCTTCGGGTCCACAAACTCCTCGCTGATGGCCAGCAGCGCGAGGATGCGCGCGGGCGGCGTGTCCTCGCGCAGGTGCTGGAAGAAGTTCTGTGCCGTCAAGTTGATGATGCCGTCCTTTGTACGCGCGCGCGAGCCGTACCACCAGCGAGCCTGCCAGAGATACGTGAGCACGCCTGCGCGCCAAGCAGTGCGTCTGCGACACCCACCACGAGGTACGGCAGGCCCAGGCCGAACACCAGGCCATACACGCCCAGCACCCAGCCGCTGTTCTGCGCCTCGACGACCCACGTCGGCAGGGCAATGCCCATGCTCATCTCCTGACGGCCATCGGGGTGGCCGTACAGCTCAAAGTTCTTGCGGATCGTCTCGTCGGTGAGCGACTTGTACGCCTTGGTCAGGTCGATGTAGTGCGACTCGGCATCCTCCTTGGTCTGGTTCTCGGACAGGCGGATCTTGTCCGGGTGACTGGGCGCGCACGTCAGTCAGAGGTCCAGCGCGGCGAATCGAAGGCTTTCGGGCGCGACATGGTCGGCCGGCAGTCCCTGTTCCGCTCTGTCCGCTCGCTCGTCGGCCCGCGCGTCGCGCCGATACAGCCTCTCGCCACATCGTTCGGCCTGCTCGCTCTCACACTCACAACTTGATGCTGAGCTTCTTGTAGTGCTTCTTGATCTCCTTCTCCGTGGCACTGGCGGTGATGCCGAGGATGCTGAACGGGTCGTACACGGCGTGCGAGCTGTTCGAGGCGGCGTTTGCGATGCGCTGCACGAGGAAGAAGACGGAGATCCAGCCGACGACGACGAGGAGAAGCCTGTGTGCTGAAGTGTGAGCCAGATGCTGGGAGAGACGGCGCGGAACATGTGACCCCTCCGGCGCGGCAGGTACGCCAGTCATGCTCGGCACTGCGCGTGGCCCTGCGCTGCTGTGCCTGCCGTCTGGCGCACGAGCCAACTGCCAGCCACTGGCGCCCTTCACCCTGCCGACGCTGCTGCATCTCGACGCCCTCCCACAGGCCTGCACTGCTGCCACTCACCGGCGCCCGATCTTGGGGTTGCGCAGGCTGCGGCGCGCGAGGCGGCGGATGGCGGCGACCTTCTGGCCGCGCGCATCGAGCCAGCCCTGCTTGCCCTTTGCGCTGACGCGCGACGTGAGCAGCGAGTAGGTGAGCGGCAGCAGCACGAGCAGCAGGAAGGTGAGCACAAAGGTGAGGAACTGCCCGCCCTCCTCGTCGTATTTGTACTGCATCGTGGGCGGCGGTGGTGGAGTGGTCGTGGCGGGAAGGTGCGCGCTGCGACGCCGACACGACCCCTGGGCGACAAAGCGGCCTCCTCGCGGTGCGGCGCTGCGCCTTCGTCGTGGCGCGCCGTCGTGCCGTGGCGCAAGCTCAGGCGCGCCGGCACTCGGGAGTGCGCCGCGGGAGCCCCGTGCATGAGCTGGCGACGTGGAGGCGGCGCACGTGACGCCTCGCGCCGTGCGAGTCCAACACCTCGGCCCGAGAGAGCAACATCTACCGCGGCACCCCCTCTGCTTCCTGACCCTCTTGCTCTCCTCCCATCTCTCCAGCGCCGACCTCTCCAATGGCTCCCTGCACACCCGTCCGCCGCGGCCCCGGCGGCGGCGCGCCGACCGACTCGCCGCTCGCGCTCCTCTCGAGCAACATGGCCGCCGCGCGCCTCGACGCCCTGCCCGCGCACCGCGGCGGCAAGGGCGCCGCCGCCTCGGGCCTTGGTGCTCGCGGCGGCGCATCAACGCTGCGCCAGCACATGCCTGCCTCGGCGGCCGCAGCGCGTGAGGAGACGCTGCCGCCGCCGGGCGCACACCTCGCCCTCGACCTCACCAAGGACTGGGAGGCGGACGGCAGCGCCAAGCCGCGCAAGAGCGCTCACTCGCAGAGCGTGAGTCGCATCTGAAGCGGACAGGGCAGTTCCAAATAGCAGTCAGTAGCAGTGCTCATCCTCTCTTCACAGCGCGGTGACCGCTTCATCCCGAATCGCGAGCTCTCGCGCAGCCAGGGCGGCTCGCACGACTCGCTGCTCGACAACACGGGCGGCGAGACGCTGCACAGCGCACACGCGTCGTCGTCGGCCTCGTCGACGTGCGACGACGTGAGCCTGAGCCAGAGCATTGCGGCGGCGAACCAGATCCCCACCGACGTGGCCGGCGCCGGTGCCGAGCTGCCGTCGTTCGATGATGGAGGCGTGCCGCAGCAGCGCATCCTCTCCTTTAGCGCCGCCGCACCGCCGTCGCTAAGCCAGCCCGACGTGCGAGCACGCTACGCCGCCACGCGCGCCAAGGCTGCGCTGCCGTCGAGTCTGCTCGCGGGAGGGCGGCGCAAGATCCAGACGCACGCCATCAAGACGCTCGACGCCGTCGCGGTGGCGCCCGACTTCTACCGCAACACGCTGCACTGGAGCAGCCGCAACGTGCTGGCCGTGAGCCTGGCCGAGTGCGTGCACCTTTGGAACGGCGACACGGGCGAGGTCGAGATGCTGTTGGACCTGCAGGAGCAGAGCGAGCGCTTCGGCGGCGGCGCGCACGGCGCCATCACCAGCCTGCGATGGAACGGCGATGGCCAGTCGCTCGCCGTCGGCACGGCCAGCGGACACATGCAGATCTGGGATGCGGCGTCGAAGCAGCGCCTGCGCACACTGCGGCCTTCCGCTGAGGGCGGCGCCGACTGCGTGGACGTGAACGCCTGCGCGTGGGGCGACGAAGGCATGCTCAGCCTCGGCTTTGCCAGTGGCCTGATCCGCGAGCACGACGTGCGTGTGCGCGAGAGCGTCGTCCGCGAGCTGCCCAATGCCCACGCCGGCGCCGTGTGCGGTCTGGCGTGGCGCCGCGACGGCGTGCTGCTGGCGAGCGGCGGTAACGACAACGTGGTGCAGGTGTGGGACCGGCGCTCCGATGCGCCGCGCCTGCGCAAGAACGTGCACAGCGCTGCGGTCAAGGTGAGCTCTGGCGCTGTGGCTCCTGCAGTCGATCCTCGAAGCTGATCCCTGCTTTCCCCAGGCTCTGGCATGGTGCCCCTGGAACGACAGCATCCTCGCGACCGGCGGCGGCTCTGCGGACCGCAACATCCACTTCTGGAACGTGACGGCCGGCTCGCGCACGCAAAGCATCAAGACGGATCACCAGGTCGTCGGACTGCACTGGAGCGAGCAGCACCGCGAGATTGCCTCGATCCACGGCGAGGCCGTGGGCGCAGCGTACGAGCGTGCCGGCGCCATCTCCGTCTGGGCGCATCCAGCGGGCAGCAATATCGCCACCATCGAGGCGCCGCACGACGGCCGTGTCATTCGCAACTCGGCGCTCAGCCCTGACGGCCAGACCGTCGCGACCATCGGCGATGACGAGAGCCTGCGCATGTGGGCGCTCTTTGAGGTCAGCGAGGAGGACGCAAAGAGCGCAAAGCGCAGAGGTGCACCGGGCTCGGGCGACGGCGCCGGCCGTCTGGCACATGCGTCGCGCGGCCTCAGGTGACCGTGCTCCGCTCCCTCTCTCCCCTGCGTTTCGTCCTGTTCCGTTGCCGCTCCTTCCACTCATCTAGCCTCTCTGGCGCCCCTGCCCAGTCTCTGCCCCCCACATACAGCTCTCATACCGTGTTACCCTCATTCAGCATCCCTTCTCGGCCCTCTCAATGCATCTCTACACCCCCGTGCTTCTTCGCTGGGCCGCACCTGCTGCGGCTGATGGTATATTGCGCTCTGCCCTACACAGCTCTGACCTTCTTGGCACCAGCGCCCGCGCCGGCCCGGCGCTTCTTGAACATGCCACCGCCGCTGTTGCCGCCTGCCTCTGGCGTCTCCTCCTTCGGCGCAGCAGGCGGCGGCGCTGCTTCGTCCGGCGGCGCACTGCCAGCTTGTTCTGGCTCTGCCTTCGGCTCGTCTGTCTTGTCAGCCTGCTCTTCCGGCTCGCCCAGCTCCTCCTTCTTCGGCACAGCAGCGTCTGGCTGCTCTTGCTTCTTCGGCTCGAGCTTGAGTGCCTGCCACTGTGGCAGGCGGTGCTTGCGCTCCTGCGCTTCTCGCGCCGCCTGCTGCTCCTTGCTCTCCAGCTTGATGCGCTTCTTGACGACGATCTCCGGCTTCTCATCCTCGTCGTCGTCGTAGCTGTCAAAGGCAGCCCGCTTCTCCTTAATCTTGTACGCGCGTGCCTCTTCGCGCTCCTGCTGCTCCGAGCCAAGCATCACCGCCGCTGGTGGTGGCGCGATCGGCGGGGGTGGCGGTGGCGCTACGACCTCCCACTCGCCTGCCACGCCCTCCTTGGCACGCTGCTCAGCCAGCTCGCGCGCTGCCCGCGTCTCGGGCGTCTCGCCGTCGGCATCGGCAAAGCCGAGCGAGGCGGCACTCGAGTAGGCCGCCAGCTTGTCCGCTGGCCGCCAGGCGGGCTTCTTGGCTGCGCCGGCTGCCGCCTCCTTCTCGCGCCGCGCGGCGGCCTCCTTGGCTGCGGCTGCGAGGGATGACGAGGAAGAGCCCTCGCCGTTGTTGTCGAGTGCATTCGCTGCTGCTGCGAGCTGCACAGAGGAGGTGTGTCAGTTGATGCCTGACAGCGAGAGATGTGCCTTCGTCCGATGTGCCTGGGGCTGTCTGGCGAGCAGCTCGCGCTCCCTTGCCCGCCCACACAGAGCAGGTCCGCTGCAGCACTCACCTTCTCGATCTTGCGCATCTCAGCCTTTGCCTTCTCCTCGTCGCGGCGCGCCTGCTCGCCCTTGCGGTACGTCTCCTTGAGGGAGCGCTCGACGTTGCCCTTATGGCGCATGCCGCCTTCGTGCTGCATGCGCGACGGCACATCGTCGTTGATGGTAATGTCGCAGTACGGACACGTCCAGCGCTTGCGCGACACCCAGAACTCGGACATGCTTGGCGAAGTGGGAGGAGTGTGTCGGGGGTGAGAGGTGGTGGAAGACAGGAAGGAGGTGGCTGAGGGCTGCGCACCTCGAGGCAGCTGCGCCGCCGCCTCATGTGGAGCGCATCACGTGACGCTTCCCAGCAGCACCCTCGTCCGTGCGGCGCCCCGCAGCGCTCGCAGCGATCAGTCGTCCGGTCTGTATCTAGATCTGATTGCAAGAGGAAGCACGGAACAGCACAGCAGGAGGCACAAGAGTCGAGCAGACGACTGGCAGACGCGTGCCAGACCCTCTTCGCCCCATCGCGCCAGCCCGGTCCGTCTGCGCGCTCACTTCTTCTCCGGCTCCTTCTCCTCCTTCGGCGGCACAAGCGTGTAGCCCTGCGGCTGGAGACAGGGAGGCAGAGCTGCAGTCAGTGCGATGCTCCAGCCCTCCTGTACGGCACACGCTCACCTGGTAGTTCTTGCCCTCGCCGACCTGCTCCCACGGGCTGGTGCCGCTGAAGTCGCGGAATGCCTGCGCCAGCTGCAGCGGCTCGTGCACGACACGCTTCTTCTCCTCGTCGTAGCGCACCTCGGAGTAGCCCGAGAGGGGGAAGTCCTTGCGCAGCGGGTGGCCCTCGAAGCCGTAGTCGGTGAGGATGCGGCGCAGGTCGGGGTGGCCGACGAAGAAGACGCCGTACATGTCCCAGATCTCGCGCTCGTACCAGTCGGCACTGCGGAAGATGCCCGTGGCCGAGGGCACGGGCGTCACCTCGTCGGCGTACGTCTTGACGCGGATGCGCGCGTTGTAGCGCACGCTCAGCAGGTGGTACACGACCTCGAAGCGCTGGCTGCGCGTCGGGTAGTCGGCGCCGCTGATGTCCATGCACGCCTTGAACTGCGTCTGCGCGTGGTCGCGCAGGAACAGCAGCACCGGCTCCACCGCAGACGGCGCAATGTACAGCGTCAGCTCGTCCTTGACCACGGAGAACTGCTGGATGAACTTGGGCAGGCCTGTGTGCGCAGTGTGAGCAAGCCGTGCGGCACGGTCGTCATCGGGGCATAGCGGCTGGGCGGAAGATGCACCGGCGCATGCGAGCTGGGCGAGCATGCATCGCTGTGGCGGTAGCTTCGCGCAATTGACGCAGCACACACCGTAATGGCAAGCCAGCGAGCGCAAGCGCCTTACCTTGGCCCACTGTGCGCCGAAATGAGGCCAAAAGCCAAGCCTCAGGCGCGAGAAAGCCCAACAGCTGCGTCGAGGCGATGCAGAAAGATCTGGCATGCATCTCAAGCGACGAGGACAGTGCTGGCCAGCCTGTGGTGCTGCAGCTCGCCGCCTGTGCTTCCCCGTCCCTCTCTCGACTCAAGGCTGGTCACCCGCGACTGGCCAGCCTGTGGTGCTGCAGCTCGCCGCCTGTGCTTTCCCGACCCTCTCTCGACTCAAGTCTGGTCCCCTGCGCTCGCCCGCAACACTTAGCAGTCCTCTTCCCTGTCTCTTTAGCCTCTCTCCTCCATGCCTATCCCGCTCCTGCTAGCTCTCTCTTTTGCTCCTCCGCCTGACCGGCCACGAGATACGCACAGCTGGTGATGTAGGCGCCGTAGTCGTGCAGGCCCTTGATGATGTCCCGGTACTTCTCCGCCTGGTTCTCGCCGGGCGAGAGCGGGAAGGGCGAGTGCGGGTTGACTGCGAGCGGAGGAGCGATCAACAATCGGAGCAGAGAGACGAGTGAGCGTAAGACAGAGCGAGCCCTGGGCGTTCCGAGATGCCGGACTGTCCTGGCGGCATCGCCGCGGCTGCTGCAAGCCAGGGCAGGAGCAGCAGGGCCCGCCGCTGGTCTCTCAAGCTACTGAGACCCAGCACCAGGCGCAGCTGGGTCATAGAGACAGCGCCCGAGTCGGCCAGATTGCCTCCCGCGCGCCGTCCCACTAGCGCATGTCCTCCATGTCCTCCAGACTGCGCACGAGCACGCACCCTTGTCGCCCGCCACGCCCTGGATGTTGGCACGCGGCGCCGCCGAGGAGAGGGCGCGCGAGGCCGCAGCAAGGGCGCGCGGCGCCGCAGCGCCGGAGCGCACTGCCGGTGCAGCGCGTGCGAGAAGACGCGCGGGAAGAGCCATGGTGAGGGGGAGGGGATGGGGTGGGAGAGAGGCTGCGATCGCGGAGCGGCCTCGGAAGGCTGGCCGCGGCTGCTTAGGTGGCAGCGCCGCGGCGATGAGCGTCCCACGGTGCACGCGCCCGCTTCTATTGGGCGGCGCGGGGGGGCTTGTAATCGCTCTATTCAGCACGTGACGCTGGCTCTACAGTCGCGGCAGCGCAGGCTCGCAGCCGCCGTCGGCCAGCTCCACCTCCTTCCTCCCTCCCACCCGCACCCGATACCCCGCAGCCATGGCCGCCCGTCTCACGCCCGCCTTCGACGCCCTGCCGTACGCCGACGGCGCGCCCGAGCCCGCCACGGCGCAGGCCGTGCAGCGCCTCATCGCTGCAGAGCAGGCGCGCATGCCGCACCGGCCTGATGACGATGACGCGCGCCTGCCGCCGCCAAGCGCTGTGTTTGAGGTGCGTGCTAGAAGGAGAGGCTGAGGGGCAGTGGGAGAGGTGTTGCGCCAGGTTTGCGACGTGCGATCAGGTGCAGAGCTCAGCGCAAGGTGCGCATGTCTACGGGCGACCGGTGCCTCCCGCGCGACGGTGTGATGTCTCGAAGCATGCCTCTGCGTTTCGGTGCCGCGCCTGCGAAGCGCAGAGGGACAGTGAAGCCTTCGAGGTCGCTGGAGGTGTTCAGATGCACTCTCAGCTTTCCAACTCACACTCTTCTCCACTTCAGATTTCGCCTGCTCTCGCCGAGCTCTACGCATCCACGACCGGCCCCGACGCAGCGCCAACACGCGCGATCGACCCAAGTCGCTATGCCTTGCAGCCGCCGGCCGAGAGCTCGCCTGAGGCATGGAGGGAGGCGCTGCAGCGCGCAGATGCGGCGCTGGAGTACGCTGAGGCGCGGAGAGGGACGCTGGAGGTCGAGCGGAAGATGGGCGGTGAGTACGCGCTTGATGTTCTGGCGTAGGGTATGAAGGAACCCCGGCGAGACTGGGCGAAGCGCCAGCTGGAGCTGTGCGTCGCATTCAGCGACACGCACCTCCGAGGCTCGGTCCGTTGTCCGGCCACTGACGCTTCTCCTTCACAGCCAACCTCTGGCAGCTGCACAACTACCAGCTCTCCTCCTCTCTCACCGCCTACCAGACCTCGCTTTCCGAGTCACAAGCCGCCACTGCAGCGCTGAACTCGGCGCGTGCGCAACGCCAGCGTGCTGCAAAGGCGGAGATGCAGCGGCTGGAGGGCAAGTGGGCGGATGGCATCGCGGCCGAGCTGCAGGTCGAGGTGGCGCGGTTGCAGGGCGAGCGAGAGTGCGAGGAGCTGGAGGCGCAGGTGAGGCAACTGCGGAAACAGCTCGGAGAATGAGATGCGGGCTTTGCAGAGCAAATGGGTGTGACAGCGACGCTGTCTGTTTAGGGAGCAGTCATCGGCCGCTGCACCACGACGCGGCATGCGGCGGTCGCAATCATGCGGGATGGCCAGCCGTGGTCAGGCCCGGCACAGACACGCAGTGCGATCAGGCGGCCGCACTGCCTCATATCCGGCGGCTGAAAGGCTCGCGAAGGGTATAGGATTGGCCAATGCTGCGGCGCGCTCATGGGCACATGCCGCTGCGACACGCATCTTGGTGCTCGAGTGTCATCGCGCCAGGTTCCGGAAGATGCTGGCGGTCGGCTTCCTTCTGCGCTCGCGCTCCAGCTTGATGCGGCCCACGATCGCCGCGTCCTGCGCCACGCTCAGCTCTCCCCCCTCGACGTGCGGCAGGCGCAGGGCCGGCTGAGTTATGCGTCAGCGGCAGCGAGCGTCCAATGAGGCAGGGCAAAGACTCACAGCCTCGCCGGCGTCCTCAGCCCGTCTACGTAGTCGTTCGACGCGCTCTTGCAGCGCCTCTAGCTCCTGCGCTTGGGTGCGAAGCGTCGCCGAGAGGGCCACCGTCTCCAGCGCTTCCGGCAGCAGAAGCGACTCGAGCATCGCCTGGCGAGCGCGCGTCAGCGTTGCGCGCAATGCTTGCCGTATGGGCACGTACCTCATCACCGCCTTCGCCCAGGAGACTCTGCTCTGCGTCTATCTCCTCCTCCAGACCCATGCCCGCCTCGCGCTCCGCCCGCCAGCGCACCATGCTGCCGGCAGTGCTGGCTGTGCCGCCGACACCGCTCGTGCCCGCCGTGCCCGCCGGCAGAGGCTTCGTTGGCGGCACCAGGAGACGCTCGAGCGCGCCGTCGAGGCGAGTGAGGGAGCGCGAGAGGATTGCTGATGCTGAAGCGCGATGGTTGCGCGGCAATTGCGCGAGGATTGGCCTGCTCAAGTGGGTCAGCATGGTGCTTGGCGGAGGAGTAGGCAGGTGGCTGCTGCCTGCAGGCCACGCTGCGCCGAGCTTCCTCGCTTTGCAAGCCCGTACAAGCGCTCCATGCTGCTCGCGCTACATTTGCTGTCCACTCTGCAGTCCACTCACCTAGCGCATGCCCACACGGCGCCGCCCTCGCTGCACACAGCCTCGCGCTCCTCTGCGCCGACGCGGCGCCAGCGACGCAGCTTCTCCTTCTCGCTGAGCCGTTCGCTGCGGCCGCCACCGCCGCCGCCGTGCTCCTCTGCCTCAGACGCCGAGTCCGACTCGTCTCCCGCAACAAGCGAGCCCTGCGAGCCGTCGTCCTCGCTCGAGTAGTCGTCGCTCGCCTCGGAGCCCGACGCGGCCTGCGAGCCCGAGTGGAAGGAGGACTCGTCGCCGGACGATTCGGAGGCGGCACGCGCGCGCTTCGAGGCGCCGCCAGCGGGTAGACGGCTCGAGCTGGCGACGGGAGCAGGGCGCTTGGGCGGCATTGCGGCAAGGTGTGAGACGGTGTGAGTGGGACGATATGGAGCGCAGCAGACGTCTGCGAGGCGCGGCGGAGTGGGTGTTGCTCCCACGCGCGCCGACGCGTCGGGAGGCGCGGCGTGTTGCTCGCCGCACCCACGTGGCGCTGCCTTGCCCCCTCCGACACGAGCCTGCCGCCGCCCTCCTTACCATCGGCTCGTCAGAAGCCGGCAAGGCTTCGCTTTTGCTTCGATTTTCTCGATCCAGCTGTATCTTGTGCAGGCGGTCAGCGCTCAGCGTTTCGAGATGCACGCAGTACGCGCCGGAGCGAGTGCTCCACCTTGGCGGCGCTCGCCACGCTCAAGCAATCCGCTTGTCACCGCTTGTCCTTCTGCGACAAGCAACAACTCCCGAACTCCAGCGAAAGCAATTCGATTGGTGCAGCGGTCACCGACGCAATATCCGGCCCTCTCCGAGCAATCTCAGTAGCGCTACGTAGCATCCTCATTGGCTCGGGAGGGGAGATTGCGCGTGCAACGTTGTGCAGCTCACTGTGGGCGGCACAGCTGGCGGACAGGCGTCGCCCTCTGACCAGCCAGGCGCTGCAGCCACGAGACCCACCGAGCGGATGCCGGACGCGGGCTTCCGAGCCGCAGCGGTACGTCGCAGACGGCATCGTAGACCTCTGAGCGCCAAGGATGAAGCTGATGAGGCTTTAGCCGCAGGCGCAACCCGAACGTCCGCACGCGGCCGCCGGCGCTGCTCCGCTCGGCGCGGGCGCGCATCGCTGAGGCGCGCCGCGCCAAAGGGCATGCGAGACGTGTGGCTTGGGCAGCGTGTGCCACACGCCCTCGACTCAGACCCAGCGATCGCTCCGGCAGAAGGCAGCGCTGTCTCACGCAAGCCGCCCATCGATGCAGCACCCAGCCAGACGTGGGGTATTCGCAGCCCGCCCACACGAGGGAAGCGTCTGCATCATCGCTCCGGCATAGAAGCAGGCACCCACGCATGCCCTCGCGCTCGCTCGGGCCGAGCGGAGTGCGTCGCAGCATCCGGTATGCGGCCAACTGGTCGTCCTCGGAGTCCATCACCGTGCGGTGCGCTCCTCGGCAATCTCGTCTTGTGGCGGCGCATCCACGGCTCCACATACCTTGTGCAGCGAAGAGCCAGTGGCACTGGGATCGGTACGCGGGCCGGCAGAACTCGAATGGTCTGACCCGCATCGCCACAAGCCAAGGCTGCGCAGCGGGAACGGCCATGTGCGCACGTAGGTCCACGATCCTGAAGCCTCTGCGGCATGCCTCGGACAGCCATCGCCTCAGACGGGACACGCTGGTCGGACGACTGCTCATGTCACCTGCCCAAACCGCGTCGCGCTGTCCGCCCCGGTATCGCAGCATCGAGCTCGCAGCGCTGCAAAGAAAGAATGTGCAGTGTGCGTGCAGGAGAGACGACCTGCTCGTTACATGCTTCGCCGGGGCTGTGGCATGCGCTAGGATCACTGAGGGGGCTGCTCTACAACCCAGGAGCAGTCGACGCCGCCAGATGGCCTCGGAGCCGCATGGCTGCATCCTGTACCGGCTGCTGCAGCTCAGCCCCTCTCGGCTCGTTGAGCCTCACGCTAGTCAGAGCTCCCCAGCTAGTCCAAAGCCGCTCGTGAGGTTTAAGCGAGGCCAGCTCGAGCGCTGCGCTAGCGTACCAGCACAGCCGCAGCAACTCTATTCCTGTCGATGGGCTGCAGCGCTCAGGTGCCGGTGGATGTGCGGTACAATGCGCCGAGAGCCCGTCGCGCCATTCTGACGTGCTACTCAGACTGCCTACGATCTGATGGCTCCGAGGCGGGATAGTGAGCGACTGTCTCTGCGCCTGAGCGGAGAAGCTGCCTGATGCTGCACGCATGCTTGGCTCTCTCGAGCCCTGCTTCAACTCGGGCCTCCTCTTCTGACGACTGTGCGGATCGACCGCGTGCTCTGTGCCTTGCCTCGGGGGCGACATGCGGCAGCATCGGAGGTCGCTCCCGAGGCACGGCATCCTTGGCGCAAGCGAGCACGAGTCTTGGGGCCGAACGTGCGTGCCGCGGGAGAGGGCGCCTCTCATGCACCCCGAACCGCCTCGCTTGCCGCCGCTCGGCCTCGACGAGCGCCCTGGAACGGCTCCGTCAAGCACTACCTGCCAGCGCTTGAAAACAGAAAAGCATACATAGCGTAGCGCTGGGGTCATGCTCGACGGCGCTTGATGCTGCGTGAGCAGAGCTTGCCACGCCTGATCGCCAGACGTGCGGCCTCTTGCGCTCAGGCATCTCTCCGGTGTCCGGCACCCTCCGCGTCCGCGTACCATTCCTGTGGGCGCAGCTCGACGAGGGCAACACGGAGGCAGTACACACGTGGCCGGCGAGCAGGCTGTGGCAACGCAGACGTAGCAATGGGGCGTCGAGCGCGCAGGCCTCCGGCGGAGGCCAGAGGGTGCCGGGAGGGTCGAGCAGCGTCGAAGCAAGGGCGGCCGGGGCTGCCGCCCGTGCCGGGCGGAGCGGCGGACAGTTGCGTCGCAACTCCCGGATGATCCTCGCCTCTTGGGGTCTGCCGGACGCCATGCCTCGGCCGCCGAGGCTTCTGCGTGCTGCGGTACCCGTCCCGTCGGAAGCGTGGGCAGGACGAGCATGAAGGATGCAGGGTGCATGGCGCAGGAGCGCGGCATGCGGCGCGGCGACCTCGATCGCTGCCGCATGCCGGCGGGCGGTGCGTGCGCAGAAGCCGTGCTGTTGACGCCGCAGGCTGTGCGTCAGGGCAGGATGGGCATGCTGCCAAGAGGCTCTCGGATTGCCATGCCGGATGCGAGGAGAGCGGACGTCGATGTCGGCTGTGCTGTGTGCCTGTGGCGCCTCGGGCGAGGCAGCACTGCAGCACTAGAGCACAGCCAGCCCCCAGCGCGTGGCTTTGCTCCGCCGTCACGTGTGCTGCTCCTGCTTCAGCCCCCCCTCCCCAGCCCGCTCGTCTGACGCCGTGGCGCGCAGCTTATCGCCTCGGCACTCTCTCGCTCGCAAACGTCCGAGTCTCAACGCGCGCCAGCGTCCGTCGCTGATCTCGCGCTGCACCTGCGCTGCTGCAGGCGCGAGTGGCGGCACACGTCCGCTCGGCGACCCTGACGCGCGCGCCGGCTCGTTCTCTGCCGGGTGCGGCGCTTCCAAGCCGGCTGCGTTTGCGTTTTTGGACAGACAGCTGCAGCAGCGTGCTGCAGCAGCGCTGCAGGCGCAAGGTACCGCCGACGGCGAGCGATAGACTGCCCGACAACGTCGCGTCGCCGACGCCGGCGCCGAGTCGCTGCTGGTGCTGCCGTGCTGGTGCTGCGGCTGTGCTTTGCGGCCGCCTTGTTCGGACGTGCGGAGAGGAGACCTGCATCCCCGCAGGCATTGCAGCACCTCAGCCCGGTGGTGCCGCGGCTGGAGAACAGCGGCATTCTGAGCCAGCTGCTGAGCGCTGCGCCTCGCCGTCGCTCCGCCTCGGCATCGGTGTGCGGGTGCTGCACCCTCCCGCTCCGCCTCCGGCTCAGCCGCCAGCTTCGACGAGGCGTCCGAGCTTAGGATCGTGCTTCTGCGCCGCTCCGCCGCCGCCGCACGACGCCTCAGACCTGAGCGTCCCCCCAGTTTAACCGGCTAGCGTGACACGCGGCGCGCATCTGCGCCGCCGCTTGCTCTGCAGCTGTTCTGCCCGGCATCGGCTGCGTCCGCCGCTGCGCCAGTGCCCGCGCCGGGTGCCGACGCCGACACGGGCTGCTTGTGCCGCTGCACGCTGCGCAGCCCCGAGCCGTCGGATCTCAGGCAGCATCAGCGCTGCGGCCGCAACCGCGTAACGCGCTTCTGCCGCCGAGCGTCGCGGCGCCGAGTCCGGAGTCCACGCACGCGGCGCCGGGCCCCGGCCTGGATTCAGCGGGCCACGCCCGCACGCCGCCGTTCCGCCTCTCCGTCGTTCCGCACACACTTGGCGGCAGCGCCTGACACCTGCGACGTACGCCCGTGCTCCCGTGCGACACCAGCGAGCACAGCGTGCGGCAGGGCTGCAATCAGCACGAGGGCGAATTCAGCACACGAGGGCACGGAGGAGCAGCCGGCGCGGCGAAAGCAGCAGCAGCACGCGGGAGCAGCATCAAGAGGCGTTTCTGGCCTGGCGGCTTCTACCGCAAGCACCACGCCGCATCCTCACGTCCGTCTGTTCGCCTGCTCTACCCAGCCTGGCGCCTGCCCCTTGCTCCCGGGCTGCGCTTTGCTTCGGGACCACGCCGCTTCCGATTGCGCTCGCCGGCTCCTCTTAGGCGCGTGCCTTTCATTCGCTGCGCCGCGTCTTGCTCCCCACCCACTCCGTCGGATCGCCTGCCCGAGCCCTCTCAGTCCCGCTCCCGCGCTCCGCACCGCGCATGCTGCCGCTCCGTCACCTCGCCGTCTCGCCCGCCGCGCAGCCGCCCGTCCTTGCGTCCGCACCACCACCACCACCGGCGCCGCCTCTCACCCACCTCGCCTCGCCGCCGCGCCCGTCCGCCACTCCGCGTCCACAGTCCAGCGCGCCCGTGCGCCTGCCCGCGATGAGCAGCAGCAGCAGCGTCTTCAAGAGCCTGCCGAGCTCGCACCACGGCGGCATGCCGTGGCCGGCGGCCTCGCCCTCGGCGCTCAGCCCGCCGCCGCTGAGCGACTGCACGCCGAGCAGCGAGTCGTCGTCGCGCACGTCGCCCGCCACCGCACCGACGCCGCTCTCCTCGTCGGCGTCCGACCGTGCGCCGCCGGCGCCCGCGAGCAGCAGCAGCAAGACCGGCGGCAGGCCGCGCAGCCCGTCGCCCGCACGCGCAGAGGGCAGCAGCTCGCCGCCGCGCTCCTCTGCCGTGCCTGTGGTCCAGCCAGCGCGGCCCTCGCAGGCAGGGGCGGACGCAGGCTACACACCGTGAGTGAGAGAGGCCGCCAAGCTTTTCATCTTTGCCGCTCTGCCGAGGCGAATGGTCATATTCACGGCCTGAGTGGTGGCCCGGATTTGCACTCGCGGCACTTTACGACGCCATGAGCTGCCAATTGCGGTGTCTTGGGTCCAGGGCCGATCAATGACTGCGCCCTGCGCCAATGTGTGCCTCGCGCTGACCCCTGTCTTCCCTCAATCAGATCCTGCAGCCGCTGCCGCGCCAAGAAGCTGCGATGCAACTGCGAGACGCCGTGCTCCAACTGCATCAGCAAGGGCCTGCAAGACGAGTGCCACAAGGACCGACGGTGAGTCTCGATCGGCCGTTCGCAGCTCGCAGCGACACTGACGCTTGCTGCACAACCCAGCATCCCGCGCGGCCGCAAGCGCTCGCGTCTGGACCAGCACCCCGCCGTCGAGCATGAGATCACGACGCTGCGGCGCAAGCTGCGCGAGCTCGAGTCGCAGAGCCGCATCGCTCCGTCGCCATCGTCGGGCTCGTCGTCATCGCATGCTGCTGCGCCTGCTTCGTACACACACTCGGCGTACGCAAGCAGCCCTGCCTCCGGCCGGTATCAAGACCTCGGCGCGGGACGGCACCACGTGCCGCGTGTTCCGTCGCCAGTGCCCGAGCGTCGTGCACCGCTGGAGCGGCGCGGCAGTGCTCTCGGCTCCATCGCCTCGGACGGAACGGGCCGCTCGCTGGATGCGGGTCCGAGCAACTGGGTCCCGCGAGACGGCTACGGCGCATCGCGCTCTGCCGCCGAGGCCCTGTCTTCGCTCAGCAGACCGTCACCGTCGCATGCCCTCTCCGGACACAGCTCCTCATCGCGCACGTCCTTGCTCGCCGACGCCACCCTGCCGCCACCGCGATCCTTCCAGCCTCTGCGCCCGCGCGACCCATCGCACATGGATGTCGCGGCCCAGTCGTTCGAGTCGCTGTCCCACTCTCGCTGGACTCGGGGCTCTGAACCACTGCGGATGAGCGGCCTGGCTGCTGATCGCCAGAGCAAGTACTGGGCCGATCCTGCTTCGATCCACGAGCGCCGTGCCCTCATCGAAGAGGTGCAAGCCGCGGCACCCGAGCTGAGCGTGCTCAACGAGCTGACGCACACCTTCCTGTGAGTTGCGCTCTCACCCGCAAGGCATCCTCTGCTGATCTGTTTTGGCGATTCAGCTACAGAGCCAATCATTTTGGCGGGCACGTCGTACATGAGCCATCCTTCCGCGAGGCGACGCAGGTGCTCATGTCCGGCAGCGTCGACGAGGTGCTGCATTCGTCCGTCTTCGCCGACCCCGCGGCACTCGCTGTGTGGCTCCTCGTGCTCGACTGCGGATACCAGTTCCACCCTTTCTCGGGCCCAACGTCGAGCACGCCTGGCTTCGCCGGAGTCCACGCCATGCGCAACAGCGGCGCGGATCCTACGCGCCACTGGCAGGACCTGGCGCGCCGAGCGTTCGCGATCGAGCGCACCTACGCGATCCGCAGCATCAGCGGCCTGCAAGCGGCCTGTCTGTTCATCCTGCTTGGCGAGCGCGACTCGGCGTGGGTCCGCATGGTGGGCCACGCGGCGCTGACCGGCGCCCGCGAGATGGGACTCGCACGTCTCGGCGCAGCGCCGTGCAGCGCCGACATGTCTATGCGCGAGTTTGTCCGCCTAGAGACTGCAGTGCGCATCTGGAACTTTCTCTGCGACCGCGACTGGTGTGCAGGGCAGCGCGACGGCAGCTATGCCATCCACCGTGGACAGTTCGACACGCGGCGTCCGCTAAACCTCAACGATGCCGACCTCGAGGCTGGATTGAGTGACTCGCGCCCAGCATCCGAATGGACAGAGATGTCCTACGTGCTGGCGCATCTCGATCTCGCCGAACACGTCCGCGATGCCATCGACGTGCGCAACCTGCACTCGCGACTGCCGAACGGCGCTCCCGGCGAGTTGAGCGCCGCGGCCGTAGAGCAGCTCGACGACGGGCTGCGGCGCTACTTGCAGTTCAAGCTGCCGCGCTTCTTTGCGCTGGGCAGCAACTTCTGCCAGCCGCGCATCGCGGTGCCGCAGCGCTGGATGCTGCACCAGCAGGTCTTCAGCCAGCTTCTGTCGCTGCACCGCTCGTCGATCACTACGGCTGCGGGCCGCTCGACGTGCCTCTCTGTCGCGATGGCCACGCTCGACCTGTTCGCCGAGATCCGCACCATGTGCCCCGTCATCGAGGGCCTCTACGTCAACTCGCAGCACCTCTTCACCGCCGCGCTTATCCTCGTGCTCGACATGCTCCACACGAGCTCGCACGAACGACGCCTGGATGCGCGCCAGAAGGTGGCCAGCGCCATCGAGCACCTCGCAAACTCGCCGCGCTCCGCAGTCATCCTCAGCGTCCTACTAGACGAGGAAGAGGCGCAGCAGCAGCGCCGCGCCAACCGTCAAGAGCCGCCGAACACGCCGCTCGACGTGGCCGCGATCTCCTGGCGCATCTCGCGCACGCTCGACTCCATCCCGTCTACGCCGCCTCACAGTGCGCGCGTGCCCGACGAATGCGCCGCGCCAGCGCTGGCTCCGTCGCTCTCTTCTCTGGGCATCGCCAGGCTCCCGCCCACGCCGTCCGGCCACTCGCTGCCTCCGATGTCGCGCGACATGCCACCGCCCGACAACTTGCGTCTGCCTCTGCCGCGTCCGAGCCCGTCACGCTCGCACTACTCCAGCTCGCCGTCGCCGCGTCTGCCGCACCCTGCCGAGCGCGGCCACTTCTCGTCGCAGCCGCAGCCGTATCCGCAGGCGCACTCGCACCCGCAGGCCCCGCCCTGCGCGCAGCAGCCGCACGTCTCGTCTCCCCCGCACACCAGCCACGCCGAGGCGTTCGGCGACGACGAGGCCGTCTGGGCCTGGATCCTCAATGCGGGCCTGCCGCTCGACGACGTGTCCTACTGAGGCGTCCACTCTGTCGTCCCACGCACTCTTTCCCTTTCAGACGCTCCTGCGCGTCCCTGTATTCTTCGCCATCGGTCCTGTTCCACTGCCTGCTCTTAGCTCTCTAATTAGAATGCACGACGTTTCACATTATTCAGAGCAGGTCCGTCGTCGGACTAATGATACAGGGGGATGCGGGAAGAGCCGCAGATGGAAGGGCGTGATTGAGGGAGCGTTCAGAAGGGCTGCTCATGGTGGGAGTGGTGCTGCTGCTGTTGCTGCTGCTGCTGCTGCTGCTGGCGCTGCTGCGCTTCTTGCTGCTGCTGCTCGTGCAGCTTTTGCGCAAAGAGGGCTTCGAGCGTCTCGAGCTGACCGCCGATGTCGAAGGCGTAGCCAAGCTGCGCGATGCCCTCGAGCACCACACCGACCTCGCGCTGCTTCGCGGCCAGGTCGTATGTGCCGAGGTGGTCAACGCTGCTGACCGAGACGTGCGGCGCAGCGTCGCCTTGCTGCTTCTGACCGCCAGAATTGTTCGGGAGCGGAGCGGTGTTGTGCTGCGGCGACCGGCCGAGGGCGCTTGGAGAGGGGCTGCCGACGGACGGCAGGGCGCAGAGGCCTGCCAGCGCAGCAGGCGAGAGGAAGGTGCGCGGGTCGACGTGGTCGCTCGGCGCGTACGGCGTCGCCATGGCATCGAGGTCGCCCCAGGCGTGCTCCTGCGCGGGCGACGGAGGCGCCGGCGGCATCGTGACGACGTAAGGAGTGCGGATCAGGAACTGCGCCACGGCGCTGAGCTGGCCGAGGATGGTGCCGCCGGTGTGGAAGACACGCCGCGGCAGCAGCACCTCGCAGACGAGCGCGAGAGAGCGGCAGGAGAGAAGCGTGCGCTCGCGGCTGCGCTGCAAGAGCCGGCTGAGCGTTGCAGCGTGGGCCGCGTCCTCGCTCGTCTCCGCCGAGCCGGGAAAGGCGGCGTGGAGCGCTGCCAGGTGCGCCGCTTGCACCTGGAAGCGCTCGCCAAGCACGCGGTAGACCGCAAGGTCAAGCATGCACGCGCTGACCTTGATCGTGGCGATCCACGGCAGCTGAGCGCAGTCGTGTCAGCGCTGCACGCGATAGTGGTGCACGCCAGCAACTCACGTGCTGAAAGGCAGTCAGGTTGTTCATTGTAGCACGCGCCGCCTCGATGCAGCGGTCGAAGAAGAGGAGCAGACTGTCGATGGAGCGCCAGAGGCTGGAGCACGCCTTCTCCAGGCGCTGCATCTCGGGCGTCGTCGGACGCTTGCCGAAGCGGTCTTGCGCGGTCACCAGGGTGGTGGACATGCCAACGGGCATCGGATTGTCGATGTGGTTGCTGAGGAAGCGAGCGAGCGCACCGAGCTGCACCTTGGCAAGCACTTCGGAAGCATGTCGTCAGCGTCATCCAAGTCATGTTCAGTGCAGTGCGACTCACGGCTGAAGCTCAAGCCCATCTCGCCGCTCAGCTGCACTCCGCCTGCTGGCGAGGAGGCATTCTGCGCGCTGCGGCCCCCCTTTTGCTTGCCCGCGCCGGCCTGGATGCCGATCGCACGATCTGCCTCGTATGGCGGCCGCGTGCGTCCGAGCAGCGAGATCAAGGAGGCATATGTCCACGAGACGGTGTACACGCGCCCGTGCTGCATCTTGTTGATCAGGCCCTCGACGGCTGCTTGGTCCTGCTCGTGCACCTCTTGTGGCTGCTCAAGCCCGAGCGTGATGACATGCCGAGCGGCTGTCTCGGCAAACACTACATGGCTGTGTCAGTCCAATCCACGCTGCCCGCGAGAAGGCATGCGACTCACACGGCGTGCTGGCAGGGTCGATCCTGTCGAGGATCTGGGAGAGAATGAGCAGGCACTGAATGCCCTCGACCGAAGGCTTCCTGCACGCCCTCGAGTCTCAGCAAAGCACGCAACGACCGCAAGGCTAGCGCTCACCGCAAGAGATCGTGCTTGTGCACCAGAGCCACTGCCTTCGCCAACATCTCGTGGCAGAAAGCGCGGCGTGCGCGGCCCCAGCGCAGGAGCTCCTTGGCTCGTCCGGCAGTGTACTGCTCAGTGATGCGAGGACCGCCGTTGATCCAATCGCTGTTCTCCTTGCCGCGGTCTTTCCACGCATCTACGCCCACCTCTTCGGCCAGCTGCGTGGCGGTGGCAGCGAGCTCGCGCGGCACCTGGCCCGGAATGACGGGCGCCACAGGAGGCAGGTTGTTGTCCTTGCGCTTGGTGTTGATGTACTCCTGCGTGCACACGATGCGCTTGTCCTCACAGCGGCTGCAGCCGAGTCCAGCCGCACGCTCCGTGACGTCGCAGCGCACCCGCCGCAGGCTGATGGCCGCGCAGATGCCGTCAGTGATGTGCTCCCACGCCTGGCTACCAGCCGCCACTCACCGGCACGTGTCGCACGCCACTCCCTGCTTCCGCTTTGGCCGCCGGCCGCCGGCGACTGGTGCGCTGCTGGACTGCGTGCCCAGAGAGCCGTCGGCACTGGTCGGGGCCAGCGAGTCCGCAGGCCATGCCGCGCTGGCCCATGGCGTCTCGCTGGAGCCGCTCTTGGGATCAAGAGCTACGCGAGGCAGAGTCTTGTCGTCGGTATCCTGACGCTGGCGAGAGCCACTGCCGAGCACGGCCGAGCTGGATGCCTCTTGTTCGTCCGACTCGCGGAAGCCCAGCGCCGCAGCGTGCGGGCCGAATGCGATCGGCATGTCCGTGTAGTGGGCCGCCCACGCATGCATGACGGCAATGAGCACCTGCGACGTGCCTGGCGTCGCCAGCGTGCTCTCATTGGTGGACGCCCACGTACGCATGCGCAGGCCGGGCGCAGCAAGTGGTGCCGAAGGGATGCCCTCGTCGCGGTTGCCGCCGTTGCTCATGATGCTCATGATGCGCGGGTTGCCGCGCGCAAAGTTGTAGCGCGAGGAGAAGTGCGCAAAGTCGACGATGGGCAGCTGGATGTGCGCCGTGGCGAAGAAGCAGGTGAGGAGACGGAGCGAGATGGAGCCGGCCATGACGCGCGATGCGAGACGTGCATCGCCTCGGTCGCCCGAAGCCACCTCCGGTTGTGCGAGCGACAACAGCGCCTCGCCCTCCGCATCGCCTGGCATGCTGCCATGCAGCATTCTGCTCACGCGTCAGCAATGCGGAAGCAATCTGAATTTCGAACCGCACTGACCTTGCTTGCTCGATGCGCTTGCCTGTCCGGCTCGGGCGTGGGTACCGGCGTGATGGCGGCGCGTGGTTCTTGCCACCTGCACAACGCGGGCTGTCAGACGCTGGATTCGTCGTTCTGTCGCGAGTACGCTCACATGTCAGGCCCTTCTCGGTGCAGCGCGAACACTTGACGCCTTCTGCTGAGCGTCCGTCGGGGCTAGGTGGCAGGCCGCTGCTCACACGCCGCTCGAGCAAGTCGCATCTCAGGTGCTGAGATGGCAGCATGGTCAGTTTGCCGCCAATTCTGAGCATGGACGCTCTGCTCACCTTCGCTCTGCATGCATCGCAAGTCTGCTCAGGCGAGCTCAGCCTAGGCGCCGGCATCTCAATGAAGGCAACGTCACTTACCACGCCTTGCCGCCGCTGCACCTTGGCCCGCCCGTCTGAGCTCTGCCCATCAGCAGCTCCATCTTCGCCATCCTCCATATCATCATCGCTCCCGTCATCCTCGTCGCCGCTGGCGCTGATGCTTCTGCGGAGGCTCTCGCTCGATTCTTCCCGCTCTTTCCGCTTGCCGCCAAAGAAGGAGTGTGCGTGCGTGTGGTCCATCGAGGGCGCCACGGGCTGGGCCGGGTGCATGAAGGATGCATCGCCGCTGTGCGGCAGCAACGTGCCATCCTGTGCGGCCTGCTGCCACAGCGTATCGAAATCAGGATAGCTGCCATGCGCAAAGACGGGATGCTGCCCGTGAGCAGCGGCGGCGGCAGCGGCGGCCGCTGCAGAGTCGGCGTGGTTCGCAATGACGTTCTGCGCAGAGGCAGGCATGGCTGGCGTGTCGCAGAGCGGCGGAGGCATCGGCGGCACGCCGCTGCGTGCGCCAGAGAAGTCATCGAAGTGCGTGGCCCACTCGGCTGCAGTGCCCGGGTTGGGCGAGTCGAGACCCCAGATCCACGCAGCCGCACTGCTGCCGTCGTGTGCGCCCGGCGGCACGCTGATGGCTGCGGCGATGGCATGTGCTGAGTGCGAGTCATTCGCAGCGTGGTCGTGGGACAGCAGAGAGGCCAGCGCATCGGTATGCGGCGAGTGCGCGCCGATGCCTGCCGGCGTGCGGCCGGAGTGCGCAGCGGCGCCGCTCGAGGGCAGCGGTGAGCGCGGCTGGTAGCTCGACGCCGCCGAGGCACCGCCGGTGCTCTCAGGCGTCGTGTGCAGCGTGGCCAGATGGGCATCGGCCTGGCTGCTGCCCGAGCCTGAGGCTGAGGCCGCGGCGGAGTGGTCGGCCATGAGGCCGTGCCGCTGCATGGCGCGGCTGCTGCTGGCGCGCGTGCGCCTCCTCGTAGCGCTGCTCGAGCGACACTCTGCGGCCGGTGTGGCACACGCAGTGGGCCACAGGTAGGAGAGATGGAAGCGAGACGCGCCGCAGCCGGTGTGAGGAAGAGCGGCTGCGCTGTGTGGTACGGCGGTGTGGTGGGTGGTCGTCAGGAAGCAAGATGAGAAGGAGGAGGAGCGGAGTAAAGGCGCGCAAGGCGCGCAAGGCGCACAGGCCCCAGACAGCGCTGCACCCCGCGCGGCATCTCTGCGGTCTGCCGCTGCTGCTCCGCTGCGCCCTCTGCACGCTCTGAGAGGCTGCTCTTGCTCCGCCGTGCATCTGCTGCGTGCTGCGCTGCAGCTGCCGCTGCGTCTGCATGCTGCCCGCGCCAGCCTTGGCGAGCTCTGGCGCCGAGGGCAGCTGCGACACCCTCTCACGCAGCACGGCCGCGTGGCTTCTCAGCATGAACACGTTGCGATCGGGCATGAGTGACGACGAGCACGACGTCGTCCAGCCTGGCTCTCACGCAGCGTGAGTGGAGCAAGGGCTCTGCGGAGTGAGTCGAGGAGGCGGCACGGCCGGCGTCCGCGGCGCGTCGGCCCGAGGCGCCGGACGGGCGGAGGAGCGCTGCATCTGGCGCAGCGGCGTGCCGCCTTCTAGACGGCGGTGCAGCGGCGAGAGACTCGACTCAGCACAGGCTGGGCTCGCACACAGCCTCGTCTCGCCACAGCGGCTCGCTCTGCCGGGTGCAGGAGAGAAGTAGGCGCCTAGTGCAGCCACGCCGACGGCATGCGGCAGCGAGCGCATCGGCGTGCGGGGGACCACGCCAAGGGCCGGCTCGGGACACGGGAGTCTACATGCTAGTGCGTGTGCCGGTGTCGTGCTGCCGCATCCTCTCCAGATCCGCTGCTCAGAAACAGCCGCTCGACGACAACGTGCAGCTGCAAGAGACGGCTGCCTGAAAGCGCTGAGATGCAAGGTGAGATCGAGCTGCACGCCATGCCGCGGATGTGCAGCTCGCAGCGCCCGGGGCGAAGATGGGGTCCGTCGGGCGGTGCAACGAGGTCAAGTGCAGCCGCGGGAGCTCCACGCCTCGCGCGTTGAAAGAGGCTGCCTTGCAACGCAGCTCGCTGCCTGCTATGGTACAGCTGCAATCAACGATCTGGCCGCTGACGTTGCTGAAAGGACAACGGCATGCTGATGCTCAGATTGAGAGAAGGAAGCCTAAGGGTGTCTGCATCTGTGAGCGCTTCGCCTGGCAGCGGCCGCGTCTCCCTCGGCGCAGACGTGAAAGCATGCGCGAGGCGGCAGCTGCTGGGGTGCTTCGCGTCGCGAGCTCGCTCGTGCGCCGCTTGCCCATCAGCGCGTGCGTCCTGCCCCGTCCGACCGGCCCATGATCCTGCTCAGGGTTGCACCGCTGCTGCACCATGACCAACCTGTGGATCTAGACTGGCGTCAGCGAGATATTCCGGACGGCGCCGTTCATGCTGATGCTCGTGCTGTCTTGATTGGCCTCGACCGCCTCCAGCGGCAACTTGGCGCAGCAGACGCAGGGCGAGCCTTCGTCCCCCTCATGTCTTCCGGTCCTGCTAAGGCCGAGACTGCTGTCAGATGACCACCCCGACGCCGTCCTAGCTGCCCTGAACATCTTCCCACGCCAGCGCTCGCAGCCGCTGCAGGGCGCCAGCGTGGGTGTGAGCGACGCCGGCGAAGGCGCTGCGTCTGCTGTCCTTGGGCAAGAGCGCAGCTCGGTCCGCCTCCTCCACCCGCCACATCCCGCGGCTTATGTTAGCTCTCTCACACCACGACCGCCACCCTCTCCCGCACTCCTCAGCATGGCCTCTCGTTCACTCCTCACACGCGGCGCCGCCGCCACCCGGCAGCAGCTCGGCCGCAGCAGCATCGCCGGACCGTCGCGCGTGCGTCTCTCTTCCACCGTCGCCTCGTTGGCATACACGCGCGACACGGCTGGCGAGAGCGGCGCCGCCGAGCCGCCGGCTGCGACGGCCAGCACGCCGCAGCTCTCGCCGCACGACCGCGAGCTGCTGACTCGCATGCTGCGCGTCGACCATGCGGGCGAGGTGGCGGCCAACACGATCTACGAGGCACAGGCGCGCGTCTTTGGGCGCATGGGCGATCCCAAGACGGAGAAGCTGATGCTGGAGATGTGGGAGACGGAGAAGAAGCACCTGGCCGTCGTGCGGCAGCTGCTGCAGCAACATCGCGTCTCGCCCAGCAAGCTCATGCCGCTGTGGAGCGCTGCCGGTAGCCTGCTCGGCGGCGTCACGGCGCTGCTGGGCAAGGAGGCGGCGATGGCGTGTACAGAGGCAGTGGAGACGGTCATCGGCGAGCACTATGACGAGTGAGTAAAGGCCGAAGGCTGCAGCTGCTCGGCTGGCTGCAAGGCGCGCACAGGCAAGGTGCTGACACCTCTTCTCCAGCCAACTAGTGCATCTGCGCACTCTGACGGAGACGCCGGCGGCCTCAGCCTCGGCCGCGACGCAGACCACAGCGTCCGGCGAGCCGGCGCTGCACCCGTCGCTGCCGCTGCTGGCCGACGTGATCACCGAGTTCCGCGACGACGAGCTCGAGCATCTCGACACGGCCGTCGAGCACGACGCGCAGATGGCGCCGGCGCATGCTCTGCTCTCTGCTGTCGTCGGCTGGGGCTGTCGTGGCGCCATCGCCATCGCTGGACGTGTCTGATGGCAACGCATCTATTTATCAACCTCACTCTTGCGTGCAGCGGGCTGGTCAAGCGTCGATGTATGCAGGGAGCGCAGCGCAGAGGCACTTGACTCGAGAGAGGGAGGGAAGCCTGCGTACAGGCGGACGAGCGTGATGTGAGAGACGGATGGATCTGGATATGTCATGACGGCAGCCAAAAGGAAGAACATGCCTGTGTGTGGTGCGACGCCGGCGAGCAGGTGGGCCGCCGGAGACGACGAGGAAAAGTGCAAGTGGACAGAGGGCGCTATAGCTAGGCTCGGCGCGCAAGAGGAGAGATGACCTGAGCGCAGAGGGACCTTGATAGCAGAGGGCGTGGCGACGCAGCGGAACGAGCGTCGACGGAATCGAGAAAGAGTGAAGGTGCGGCGAGCTGTATGTATGGGAGTCGGGAACGAGAATGCTGGGGCCGTGACGCGCTGGATCGTGAGCCTCATGGTGCTGGAGCACGCGTGTTGCCGGCCCATCCGCCGTACGATGGCGGCAGCTGTGGAGGCGTCTGTCAGTTTGTGCGTGCAGCGGTGCAGCAGAATCTAGACTCACCTCCTCGACGGCATCTTCGGCCGGCTGAGCAGGCGTCATCGGTCCGGCATCGCTGTGCTGGATGTAGCGCGACGACGAGCCCACAGCCGCATCGTCGCCAGGCAGCGCGCCCTTGACCGGCAGCGGCGGAGCGTCGCCAGCCGGCTCAGCGTTGCGCGCCGACAGGCGGTAGGCGCTGCCTGCCGCGACGCTGCCGGGTCCGTGGCTGGTGGCGCTCATGAAGTCGGCGCCCGCCTCGCTGCCGTGCATGGTGCTAGTGCCCTGCCAGCCAGAGCGGCCGCCATCGGAGAGCGCGGTGCCCGGCGAGGGAGGGTAGCGCATGCCGGCAGCTGATACGCCCGAGATGGAGGCACCGCGGCCAGACTGGCCCGAGAAGCTGCCGGGGCGCATCGGCGTGCGCAGCGGCTCGTCGCGGTACGCAGCCGCAAGGTCCGGAGACGATCCGGCCGCTGCAGGGTCATACGTGAACGGCGTGGGTGCGTAGGACTGGCTGACGCCGCCGCTGTTGCGGCCGCGACGTGCAGCAAGCGCCGCAGACGAGCCAGGTCCGTCCTCATCGCCATCGAGGTCGATGAACTGCGGCTGCTCCTTGCGCGCCTCGTCACGCTTCGCACGCTGCCGTCGCCGGTAGATCAGGAAGGCGACGAGCGCGGCCACGATGACTGCCACAGCAATGACGGCGCCGATGATACCGCCGACGAGACCGCCTGTGCTGCGGGTTAGCGAGAGGAGCATCACTCAGCCGCGCTGCAGCTCACCGTTCGTTCCGCCGCCTCCGCCTCCACTGTTGCCGCTGCCCGACGTGCTGCCGGGCGTGCCAGCAGAGGAGGAAGAGCTGCCGCCGAACATGGCATTGGCCTGGTCCTGCGTGAGCGCGCCCGCCTCGTTGCGGAACGAGGCGCTGAGCGAGCCAACAGGAATGGCGCGTTCGATGGAGTTGGCCACCGTGCGGCCGATGCAGCTCGTCGAGTTGGAGCGCACCGTCGCCACGGGGCTCGAGCCGCCGCTGCCGCTGCCCGTGGCGTCGCCGAGCATCGTGATGAAGGACGTGCCCTCGGTGAAGGGGACGGTGAGGTTGTGGATGAAGTAGCTGATGTTCTGCGTCGATGCATCGGGCACCTGCAGGAACGGTGTGAGCATCCGTCTCAGAAACCTCTCGCTGAGCCACGCACCGTGATCGAGATTGGCACGCCATTGAAGGGCGCCATCGTGATCGTGAACGGGCGTGTGCCGCGCAGGCTGCCAACCGGGTAATACTGCGACGCAGACATCAGCACGTGCCTCTGTGCGAGCCATCATCTCGACCACTCACGCGGACAGGCGTGCATGAGGCACGCTCGCCGAGAGCGCCACTGCCCGTGTTGTCTGCCGCCCAGCTGAAGGCGGTGGTGACGCCGTAAGGCGCGCAGCCCGTGTTGCTCGCTGGTTGGCCGAGATTCAGCCTCTGGGCGGGACTGTGCCGCGACGTGTCTACTCACACTCGCGCGTGTCGGGCACCAGCAGCTGGGACGTGTTGCCCGCGCCAAGAGCATCGGCCACTGACACCACGAAGCCGCTCGAGAACGAGCCGGCTGGTGGCTGCAGGCGGGCAAAGGGATGAGCAAGCGCTACGCCGCAGCCGCGCACAGACCACTCACCGGCACGTCCCACTGGAATGTCAGTTCCGAGGCGCCGCTCTGGTAGCTCGAGTCGATGTTGTACGTTTGAGCTGCAGGCTGCTGTCAGCACAGGCTGCAGACCACCGCCGATGGACCGTCCACCTCGAGCGCTGATCTGCGCTACCCCGCGCTGCTTCGCTACTCAATCCGCCATGCCGCACGTGCCGTCGAGCAGCGCACGCTCGCGCTGATCGTCGACACCTCACTTTCCGCATAGAGCAACTCATGCACGCTTGAAGTGACGAGCTGAGCCGCACGCGCAGGGCAATGCCGATTCCGCAGCACAGCACGACGCGACTCCGGCCCATCCGCACCCTCATTGCAGGTCCAGCAACGCGCCTGGCCACCAGCGACTCACCAGCAAAGCCGTTGGCCATCACCGCAACTGTGAACGGGTACTGGCGCGAGCTCTCGACGGGCCAGGTGATGTTGAGCGGACGGCACTGCGACGGCCAGCTGGTGGTGAAGCTGAGCGCCTGGGCGGTGCTGGCCGCCACAGGCACGAGCGCCAGGAGCGAGTGCAGCCTCATCGTGAGAACGAAGCTGGGCGAGGAGCGAGTGCGGATGCGGCGTCTAGGTCGAGAGGACAGAGCCTCTTGTATCGCTCGAGAACAAGCAGAGCGCTCGCGCGGTGGAGTAGCGCGTGTGCGGCACGGCGATCAGGCACGCACGGGCGGCAGGTGCAGTGATCGACGCAGGCGGATATTGACCAGCGCAGGCGCTCAATGAGAGGCTTGGCACGCAACGGCGTCTATGCAGCGCTCGGGTAGCCACGATCGGCGCCGAGGGGCAGCGCTGCTGAGGCGACTCTGCTCGAGCGAGAGGCGGCCGGATGATCTAGCAGGACGCGCGCGGCGGTGCGGCGCTGCCGTGCAGAGGCGGTGCGGCAGAGAAGAGGGGTGCGGCGTCGGAGAACGGACGACGAGGCGCGGCAGGCTCGGGTATGTGCCGGTGTCGTGGGGTGAAGGGGGGTGATGGGGGTGCAAGACGAAGGGTGTGCCGGGCGAGCGTGTGACCGCAAGGTGACCCGATGCAGGAGCAGAGCGCAAGAGGCAAGCCGCCGTTTCTCTGACGCGGTGCGGCGGCGGCGCGCGGCCGTGTGCATCTCGCCGGCGTCCATCACGCTTTGCTGCGCTGCGGCACCACGGCAGCGAGGAGAGCACGCCGCCGCCGCGGGTGCGTGCTCGGCGCGGCAGCCGCGGCACCCCGGCGCTGAGGAGAGCGAGAAGCGCACACACAGCGCTCCTGCCGCTCCTCCGCTGCGGCCGCGGCCCGAGCAAGCGCAGGGCGCCTTTCCGCCCTCGTGCGTCGTCCTGCCGCCGCGAGGGATAAGGCCCCGCCTCCGGCCCACGAGGCGGCTCTTGTGCTCGACGAAGGCAGCCGCTGCGCCCAACGAACGTCGGCAGGCATGCCTTCTCTGCACAGCATGCAGGCTGCGCATGCTGCATGGCGGCCTCCCTCCCGTGCCGCCGCTTCATGCCTTCGGGACCGCACCCATTAGAAGTGCGAGAGGGGTGCTGCCGCTCGAGGGTCAGGAGGAGCAGAGGCCAGAGGGGCACTAAGACTCCGCGGGCCGGCCCGAGATCCAGGCCGTGCGCTGAGTGGTGCGATGGCGGGCAGCGGCAGACACTCCCGCCTGCGCTCGTTGGGCAGCGGAGCGCAACGTCGTGCAAGCAACACCTTCGCGCTAACGGCATGCTGGCGCTGGAGCGGTCTGCGACGGCCGGCTGCCTGCGTGACAGCGCAGCATAGGCATCAGCGCCGCCGCACCGCCGCCGCGCGTCTGGGGTCCCCGTGCACCTCGCGATGTCACAAGGTGAGCTCGAGCCTCCGCTGCGAGGCATCGAGCAGTGGCTCATGAGAAGATTACCGAGGTCACTCGAGGTGGAGGCGAGGAACCTCTTGGTCGGGCACGCTTACGGCTCCTCGCCTCTCGGCCGCTGCTCCTCAGCCCGAGCCAGGGAGCGACCACCACCTTGCAAAGTCCCTCGCGCGACAGCGGCGTCTCTGTGGCTGCTGTCAGGGCGGAGCCAACGTCGAGCAAAAGGCACCTGACTCAGCGCTTGCAGCAGGAGATGAGGGCGTGGCGTCACACGCGCTCGCCGAGCGGGTCGTGCCAAGCCTTGGGGTCCGGCGAGCGGGGCTAGCCAGGGGATCGTGCCGTACGGCTGGCTGCCGTTGCTGCGGCGCTCCGCCTCCTCCCGCAGCGGCCTTGTTGCGCGCATGATGGACGGCGAGATGCTCTGCTGATGCTGAGATGCTCTGCCTGCGGCCCCGCAGCTCTCTTCACGCGCGCAGAGGCTCGGTCAGACCGCCATGCCGAGGCGTCATGCGACGCGGGAACACGCGCTATTTGGCTGCTGAGGTGGGAGCAGCAGGACAGCAAGCGCAACCTCATCTTGCGAAGCGAGATTGCGCCCCACAGCCGGGGCGCTTTTCTTGCCTTCGCCACAGCCGCCAGGGCGCCGCGGGGGGGGGGGGGGGGCTGCGCTCTCGTCTGGCATCGGGGAGTGGAGCGCTCAATGGTGCGCACCGTGCTGGTCCCACGAGATCAGCCCACTCTCGCCGAAGCCTGGCCGCATGGGCTGTGAGAGCTTGGACGCCAATTCTGCGTACTCTGCCTCAACAGTACGAGCGCCAAGTGCGACCCTAGGGTTGCAGGAGAGCATGAGGCGAGCCAATGAGACGTTGCGCCCACACCCGCAGGCCCGGAACGCGCCAGGGCAGCATCGCCACTTCACGTCGCAGCTCGCCGCGAGACGGTCATCTGTCAACAGGCACGGCTCAGTCGTGGGATAGCATCGAGACATCGAGCTTGTGTAGGCGCATAAGGAGACTCTGACAGGAAGGAGCGGTGAAGGAGTCGGGAGACCGGTGACACGGAGCGAGGGAGAACGAGACGTCGTGGCACATGATCAAGCGAGGCAAAGCTCGCATAGAGACGGCAGGCTGGGTATCGGGAGAGCAGCAGCGTGTGACAAGCACGGCGAGGGCGCTCAGGTGCTTGTCTGCGCCATCGTCTTCTCGTCTGCGGCCGAAAGATGAAGCATGGAGGTAAAGGCTACAAGAGAGCAACGTCAGCAGAGAGCGCACAGCATCAATCCTCCGCCGAGCACTCACCTCGTCGGCAAGCCGGGCAGTTGTACTTGCGTCTAGGCGTGCGGCCACGTCGCCGCTCCGTCTCGCGCATCGCCTTGACGCTCTCGCGCAGCTGCACGGCGCACTCGAGGCACAGTGAGTGCGTGCACGGCAGCAGCAGCGTCGTGGGCGGCGCCGAGAGGCAGATGAGGCACTCTGAGCCATTCGTGCCGTCGAGATCGACCATCGGCATGGGCGCAGCCTCGCCGTCTCCATCTTCGCCCTCGCCCTCGACGGGCGCGGGCTTGACGGCCGGCGGCCGCGTGGACAGGCCGTACAGCTCTTGCAGCTGGAAGCGGTGGGGGCCGATCTGCAAGGCGGGTCAGCTCCGAGTGGATGATGTGCTGGCATGCGACGCCGCTCACCTCGGCCTCCTGTCCCTCAACCTGCACAGTCCAGACGCGCTCGACGGCCGGCGTAGCCTCGGCCTCGGCAGCGGCAGCATCCGCACGTGGCCGCGCGGGCAGCGATGTGAGACGCAGATACGTCGTCTGCAGGTTCGGCTCGCGCAGAGGCCGGCCTTCGTCGCCTGAGTCAGCCTTGGGCACCGTGTCACAGCCCGGAACAGCAACTCACCGTCCTCGTCAAGTGCCTCCACCACAACAGCGAGCTTGAGCGTCTCGCGCTCGAGCTTCTCCCGCGCCAGACGCGCCTCCTTCGTCTCTTCGCCAGTAGGCTCGACAGCGGCAGGCGTGGCCGGGGCAGCGCTTGCGTCGGTGGCGCCAGGCAGGTTGAAGGGGTTCGCGGCCGGCGCCGCAGCCGGCGTCGGAGGAACGCCGAGCTGGCGCTGCACGTTCAGGCCAGGCGTCTCGGCGGGCATCTCCTGCAGGTTCTCCTCGTCCTCCTCCTCGCCATCAACAGCACCGGCACTGCGCTTGGCAGCCTTCGGCGGCGCGTAGTACTGCAGGTGCAGCGCGAGGGCGGCGCGCATCGGCTCGCCGAAGCCGCGACGCAGCCGAGCAGAGTGCACCGGCCAGCCCAGGACGTGCGGCGGCGGGCCACGCTGCGCCAGGTAGCCTGCACCACCGGCAGAGGTCGCACTCGCCTCGCTGTTCTCGTTCCACGAGCCATGCTTGCGGCTGGCGCGCAGGAAGAGCTGCACGCTCGCAGCAGGCGCTGCGCAGTCGTACTCGAAGTACAGCGTGTGGCTGGACGGCGGGAGAGGCCCGGCTGCGCCGTGCGGCAGCTGCAGGCCAGCGTGGCCTCCCGGCGCGCCCTGCATGAGAGAGATGTTGCCGAGCGAAGGAGCGTGCCGCAGACTGCCAAGCGCGTCCTCGCCGACCACGGGGGTGAGCGGCTCCGGCATGAAGGGCTGAGCCGCGATCGGCGAGGCCGGTGCAGCAGACGTGCCAGCCACGGGCTCGAGCCCGAGCTTGACAGTGTTACGCTTGAGGTTCACGTAGCTCTGCAGCGTTGAGCAGATGGCCGGCGGCGCACCCGAGGCAGTGCTCGAGGGCGCGCCGTTCGTGGTCTCGCCTGGGTGCACCTCGAGCGCACCGCCGTCGATGCTGCGCTCGATCCACTTGCGCAGCGTGTCAATCTCGATGCCCTCGGCCATGGCCACCACGTCGTCGACACCCTCGGCGCGAGCCGATGCGGGTGCCGCCGAGCCGTCGAGGGGATGCGGCATGCTGCCGAGCGGCAGGCTCGTCACGCTCTCGCCGCCATCCAGAGGCAGACTGAGCTGGCTGCCGATGCCGCTGAGGCTGGCGCCGCGCGCGCGGCCACGACTGCCCAGGCGCGCCTTGCGGGCTGTGGCGTTCGCCACGGCTGTCGAGTCTGTGCTGGCCAGCTCCTCCTCGCCCGTCGCGGGTGCAGCCGGAGCGGCGCCGGCGACAGGAGCACTCGCAGCAGCCGCAGATGCAGAAGGTGCAGCACCGGAGCTGACACTGCCGCTGCTGAAGTACACGGCAAGATTGGGGCCAAAGAGCGAGCTGGCCTCCTCGCGCTCGCGGCGCGTCGGTCCGCGCGGCGCCTGCGGGGTGCCGCCACGCAGGCCGGCGAGGTACGCGGCGTTGCGGTTTGTCGGCGGATACGTGGGCGGGTAGAAGGTGTGATTGATGGGCATGCCGTGGGCACGCTGCAGCGCTGCCAGCTCAGCAGCGGCAACGGCGCGTGCCTCGATGTCGGCCTGCGTCGTGTTGCGCGTCGTCTCGCGGTCCTGCCCACGCAGCGTCGCCAGGCGCTGGCTCAGCGCAGAGCGGGCACTGCCTTCGCGCGCGTGCTGCGGCACTGGCTGCTCGTCGCCCTGCTCGGCATCCTGGGCGCGCGGACGGCGCTGCGAAGGCATGAGCGCCGCGAGCCGGCCGCCGATGCGCTGCGAGAGCGGCGGCGGCGACTGTTGCTGCGCGAGCTCGACGTCGGCATTGGCCTGCGACGGCCCGGCGAGAGGCGGAGCAGCGACAGTGCTAGACATGCCGGCGAGGGGTCTGGGTGTGGTGGAGGAGAGAGCGAGTGGCGGTGACGGCAGCGTTCGCACGCAGCGGCCCGGCCGATGCGGGGAGCGCGAGATGGGCTGACGCCGGCGTGGCCGTGCCGTGCGGTACAGGTCACCGGCTCCGGACGCCGGCGGCGCCCGCCTGTCGTCGCGCTTTCGCCGCCGTCGCGCTCGCAGGCCGTCTCACCCGGCTCGACGAGCCCTGATCCGTGAGAACAGCACCTGCTCGAGGGCTGCAAATTCACCTCCATACGACCCCAGACGCAGCTCGCGGAGAAGCTGCTCCGCGTCCGCGATCGGCGGCATGTCGGAGGCGTGCGACGCGAAGGGGGTGGCAGCAGCACGCGGCGGCAGAGGAGGCGCGCCGCCAAGCGCTGCCGCCTGCGTGCCTGTCCCCTCGCAGCGAGGCGCCGCCACGCGGACTTGGCGTGGCTGCGCTCTTGCTTGCGCTCAGCTCGAGACAGCAGCATGGAGACGTCGCATCCGGCACTCGCTCGACACAGCACAGGAACATCCGTCTGCGAGGATGGAGGAGCAGCAGACAGCATGCGATGTCGCATCGCTGCGGCAGCTCAGCGTCGGAGGCCGCGATCGAGAAGGAGCGACGTGCCGAGTGCCGCGAGCCGCGGCCGTCGCCGGGTGCCGTCGGTGCCGCCGGCGTGCTGTTGCGGCACCCGGTGCCGCACGGCCGCACTACGGCGACAACGTCAAATAGCGCGACGCGAGGCCAACTCGCCGGCAGCGCGATGTCCATGCCCTGGGCCCGTGTCTGGCCCGCGCGCCGTGCCTGAGCGCTGACATGTGCGGTGACACGAGCCTTGCCGCCGCACGGCGAGAAGGAGGTGCCAGCCGCGGCACGACGGAGGCGGCTGCGAGCGCAGCATTCAGCGATGCAGCCGCGGAGCTGACAAGGCGCAGAGATGGAGGAGGCACGCGGGCTGCGCGCATGCGGGCGCCTGATGATTTGAGGGTGGGCGCCGACACATCAAAATGAGCGGAGCTTGAAGCCGCTGGAGCAGGGTCGAGGATCGGCACCGCTGCCGGCGCGCCGCAAGCAGGCCGCCGCAGGTAGCCGCGGCCTCTTCACGGAGCCGGAGGAGCCCTTCCGCCTCGAGTGTGCTTGGCTGCACGCCTGATCGTGCCGTGCGCAAATCGAGGCCGGCCAGAAAGACTTTTCTCCTCCAAGACACCGCACCGCTGCGTGCGAGCCGCTGGCGGTGGCGCCGACCGCTGCGGCGAGCAGTCGCTCAGGGTGCAGGGCGAGCGAGGAGGCGCGGATGGCGTCGCGTGAGCAGGGCGGCGACGGCGGCCGAAGGCTGCTGCTGCACGCTGCACGCGCCTGCCGCCCGCCGCTTGGCGTCCTGCGCGGCTGGGCCAGAAGACTGCTCCTGCGCCCGCAGGGTGCTCGACTTGCCCTGCGCGCGAGCTCTGAGGCACGACAGCTGCACTGCGCCGGCACTCAGTTTCGTGCGCCGCACGCTTTTTCTGCTCGCGGTGCGGAGACTGGCGCAGCGCCCGGCCGGGCATATCGGGGCGCTCGGAATGCTCTCTCGCTGCGCCCGATGGCGCGGCGTGCAGCACCCCTCGCCCTCCTCGCTTGCGCCCTGCCGGAGGCTTTGCTGCGCGCTGCATGGGCTGGGCGGCTGTGAGACGCTGCAGCAGCACCTGAGCACGAGGGCGATGGTGCGTCAATTTGAAAGGAGGGCAGCCTCCCGCGGCGCGGCGGGAAAGAGAGCCGCTGAGAGCCGCGAGAGGAGAGACGAGTGCTGCTGCGGTGCGCGGTCGAGTCGCCGCAGCGGCGGCGCGCAGCAGCTCCATCATCGCCCGCCGGCGTATTGCGCAACGGCCGGCCGGCAGCGGCTGCCGCGGCGGCCGATGGGGCTGACTGACACCTGGTGCCTCGGCGGCTGTTGCTGCCTGCAGCTGTGTGTTGCTGCTCGATGTTGCGGCCCTCGAGACCCGGAATCCGGCCATCAGCGATGCGCTGCTGCTCCTGCTTCCCCTCCACGTCTCCCACCTCGCAACGCACACCTTCTCACACGCACCCGGACATCTCACCTTGCAGCTGCAGTCGCGCCCTCCCTTCTCGCCCGCTGCTCCTCTCCTCGTCATGCGGCTCGCTCTGCCGCTGGCGCTCTTCGCGCTCGCCGTGCCGGCACTCGCCGGGCCCTCGGCGCCGCCCGCTGTGCGCCAGATGCTGGTGCCTCGGTCGCGCTCGCAGCGCCTCGCCGTCCGCGACGCAAGCACAGACATGAGCAAGCTGGGCCCGGAGAACACCGAAGGCGAGGTGAGTGCTGTCCTGACGACGAAGACGGGCACCGAGCGATGGAACGTGCCCTGAGCGACGCACAGCGCCGTACCGCGTCTGAGAGGGTCAAGCAGGCGGTCCTGTGGCGCATGCTGACCACGCGCGTGTCTGCAGGCCCATGGCGAGATTCGCGCGCCGTCTGGCTCGCGCTTCACCAGCGTGCCCGTCGGCTCTGGCGGCGAGGAGATCGCGGCGTACTGGACGCGCAACCCGGCCAACGACACGGCGACGCAGGCCTACATCATGATCCACGGCAAGCTGCGCGACGGCGACGGCTACTGGAGCACGATGAACAGCATTCTCGCCTCGGCCGTCAAGGACGACTACCCGGGCGTCGATGAGAATGCCATCGTCATTGCGCCGCAGTTCTTCTCCACGCTCCTCAACCAGGGCCAGTACGGCGAGAGCGAGCTCGCATGGGACGACACCAACGCCTGGCAGGCGGGCGACCCGGCCAACCACCCGGCCGGCACGACGCTGACGTCCATCGACGCGCTCGATGCGCTGATCGACGTCTTCGCCGACGCCTCGCGCTACCCGGCCATGCGCAACGTCACCGTCGTCGGGCACGGCGGCGGCGGCCAGCTCGGCCAGCGCTACGCCTCCGTGGCCAAGCCGCCGCCGTCCAACGTGCATGTGCGCTACATCCACGGCGACCCTTCGTCGTGCGCGTACTTCACCGAGGACCGGCCCGTGACGGACATCAGCATCGCCAGCAAGGTGACGTGCCCCACGTACAACGACTGGCGCTACGGCTTCAAGGGCTTCGCCGGCACGTCCGTCGGGCTCAAGACGCCGCGCGAGTACTTCCAGCAGTACATCAGCCGCGACGTCGTCAGCGTGGTGGGCTACCAAGATACCGACGCCGGCGGCGACCAGTACTGCATGGCGCTGCTGCAGGGCGGCGAGGCGCGGCGCGACCGCAACCTCTCGTGGTGGAAGTACATCAACATGCTCGCCAAGACCAACGAGGACCTCACCGGCTTTCCCGGCAACTTCTCGGCGCTGCCAGACTGGTCCGACCTGAGCGGCGGCATCATCGGCACGCGCCTCGTCGTCATCGAGGATGCCGACCACGATGCCGAGGAGGTCTTCTCGAGCGCCGAGGGCCGTGCGGCGCTCTTTGACACCGGCAGCCTGCCCGTCGGCTGGCGGCCATCTGGCTGGCGCCAGCGGCCGGCTCGCAAGCTCAAGAGCCCCGCGACGGCAACGAACAGCTCCTCGGCGGCTGGAGCGCGCAGCACCACGGCTGGCGCCTCTGGCGGCGCATCGAGCGGCGCTGCAAAGCTGCCTGCCGTTGGTGTCGCGTCGCTGCTGGCGCTGCCGTTCCTCGGCATGCTGCTGCTCTGAGCTGGCCTGTTCACCCCTTCTCCCTCTCTCCTCTATCACGACAACGCTCGCTGGGCCGAGCTACTTTCCCTCTACTCACGACCCACCACATGCTGCACATCTCGTCCCACACGCATACTCATCCACACAACCGCATCTTCATCACCTCGCCGCATACCACGTGCCGCTCGAGACCTAGCTCGCCACTCCGGGCACCCCACATCTACCTCATCGCGTCTATTGCCAGACGCCTAATCCACACATCAGCCGTGCATCGCCATTGTGTCTTGTCTCTCAGCTGGTGACGACTAAAGCAGAATGCGTGAGCGTTGATTGCGTCACAAGAGCGGCGAGCGGGTGCGGAACAAGGTGGGTGCAGAGCGGGCGAGGGCGGGCAGTACGGTGCGCAGGGCGTAGCAGATGTTGCGTGCGGGGGCCTACTGCGAGTCGCCGGCACATGTGCGAGGAATGGGCGATCCTGCGCATGTGCCGCGACTGCAGCCGAGCCCGGTGCGAGGGAACGAACGAGACGGGAAGGGATGACGGGCTGCTGAATGGTGGGACGAGGCTTGGTTCGGTTCGTGAGTTGGGGTCGAAGGTGATAGATGAAGGCTTGTGCGGACGGCGCAGCACAGCGAAGGACTCTCTTGCGTCGTTCGCTGGGCCGCTCGGTGCGCTGGAAATGGTGGCCGGAAGCTTGTTAGATGAAGGCGAACATGGTGCGTTGAAATGCATAAGAAGCCGCGGAGCGTGTGTGGGAACGAGTCGGGACTAGGACTCGTGTCAGCGCGAGGGGGGCAGGATGAGGCGTGCAACTCACTCAGTTCAGTGGGCTTGAGGCAGCTTCAGCGGTCGGCGAAGAAGACGCCGTGGTCGAAACGAGCATTGGCGCGCGACGCCCCGGCGGTGCTGCGGAAGCTCTCCTCGGACGAGTCGCCAAAGGTGATCTCGTCCGAGGTGATGCATGGCTTGGGCGGCGTCGTCTCACGGTCGCTGAAGGCAATATCGGCGCCGAGCTCGCGGGCATGGAAGGGCGTCCACGGTGAGCCTGAGTCGGAAGAGAGCGTGGTGCTAGTGCGCGTCGAGCCAGGCGTGTTCAGCGCAGACTCGGGCGCACGGCGGGCTTGCTGAGGGCGCGCTGTGGCCTTGCTCGTCTCGTTGCGCCGGAGCCCGAAGACGGCGTCGCTGGGAGACGTCGGTGGCGACGAGCGTGTCTGTCCGACGGCGCCGAAGGACTCGCGGTCGAGGCTGGGCGCACTGCTCGTCGTTGCGTTGGAGCTGCTGCGGTCGCGCAGGCTGACGCCGCTCAGACCGAGGCCGAGACCGTGGACCTCGGCCTCGTCCCAGCGCGAGGAGCGACGCGAGCTGTTGTCATCCGACGCCTGCTGGCGCCACAGCGACCATGGCGCTGCATGCGTCGAGCCGCTGGTGCTTCGAGGCGTCGAGGCGGAAGTTGTCGATGCTGCGTGCGCGCCGCGCTGCTCAAACGCGGTTCGCAGCGGGCCGAAGAAGTCGGCGTCGCGGTCGTCGCTGCGAGGCACAGTGGCAGTCGATGCCGCAGGTTTCCAGATGGATGCAGCGCTGTCGGTTCTCGACGGCTGCGGGGTACCACGCATCGACGCAAAGTCCGGCAGACGGATGGTCGCTGAAGCCGGCGGCGAGGAGAGGTTGCGGGCAGTGCGACCGTCACCACAGGCGCTGCCGCCTGGCGTCCACGAGCCACGAGCACGGCTTGTTGCATCGGTGAGCGACTCGGTGCTGTCCACGCGACGCGGCATGTCGGCGCTGTAGTCTGTGCCGCCGAGCATCTGCACGCTGGCTGAGCTGTGTGCACGGCCGCGACGCAGGTCCTCGGCCCACGACGGCGTGTTGGCGATGGCTTCGCGCAGCACAGAGACGGCCACGTCGCCGGAGCGAGGCGAGGGTCCAGACGCGGCACGGTTGCGCTCCGGTGTCACGACACTGGAGGCTCCGTTTGAGACACCGACGCGAGCCAGCAGAGGTACACGGCTGCGAGTCACCTCGTCGGTCTTGCTCTCCTCGCTTGGCTCGTCGCCCGGGCTCATCTGTACGAAGACGAGGTCAGCGTCGCGCTCGAAAGAGGTCAGAGCGGAACGCACGTGGATGAAGCAACAGCGACGCGCGTACGGGCACTGGCCGGTGCGCCAGAAGGTGCGGCAGATCTCCGTCTTGTACTTGGCGTGGCGCTGGACGGGGCGGAGCTCCTCGTTGCCGTGCGCGAACTGGCACTTGCTGCCGTAGCGGCAGTTGCCGCGCTCCTCCCAGCTGCGGCAGAGCTCCGTCTTGTACAGGCCCAGCTTGCCTGTCGAATGGACACATTCAGCAGCGCAGAGTGCTAGTGCTCAGTCGACTCACAGTTGTTGGGACTCGGTCCGCCGCCGTTGTTGTACTGCTGCTGCGTGCGGATCTGCTCTTTCCACCAGGCCTCGTCGCCGCCGTCGAATGAAAGAGGCGGAGCGGGACCGCCGGCTGGCCATCCTGCGAGCGGCGAGAGAGGCGGTGCGGGCTGCATGGGCATCGACAGCGGCGCCGGTCGCCCCGCCTGCTGCAGCGTGTGCAGCTCCTCCTGGAAGTGCTCGAGCTGTGTCTGGGCCGTCTCGGCGTCGAAGTAGCCTTGCTGTAGCGCAAGCTCTTGCTCCTCGACGGTGCGACGAAGTGCGTCGAGGCGGGCAAGCCGCTCCGATGTGCAGTCTACTTCACCTGGGCTGCTGAAAGGCAGAGCGTGCGGCGGCAGGCCGCAATGCGAGGCGGCGCCGAACGCGTGACCGTCGCGTCGGAATGACGGCGGCAGAGGCACGCGGCTGCGCCACGATGCATCTGCTCCGGCATCGCCGAACGGCAGCGGGAAGCTAGTGCTGCCGAACGGTGGCGGAGCGGGTCCCAGTGCCGATCTGCGAGACGACAGAAGTGACTCGGTGCTCGAGAATGTCGATGAGCTGCCGGGCGGAGGGTACGGGCTTGGCGGTCCGGCGCCGGCCATCTTGGCGAAGACATCGCTTGCGCGTGTGGGCGGCTGCATCGCAGGCATCAAAGGCCCGGCCAAGGTCGGACGAGGCAGTGTCGATGGATGAGGCAGCGGCACAGACGACATGGTCAAAGCGCGAAGGCGTTGACGATCGGCCTGGCCGCCGGCAGCCGTGGCATGCTCAGCATCCGTGAAGGACGAGCCGGAGTGGCACGATGAGCCGATGGTCTGGCTGAGCTCGGAGATGCCATCGCCGTCGCCACGGCTGCCCAGATCGGCGAGCGTCGTCGAGTAGTCAGGTCGCTTGCCGGAGCGCGTGGTTGATGATGAATGCGAGTCGACGAGAGAGGTCAGACGGCCTTCGAGCGGCGCCAAGTCCTGCGTCGACTCTTGCTGGCGTCGATGCGCGAGGTGGTCTTGCGATTGAAGCGCCGGTCGAGTGGGGTGGCTGCCGTTGCGAAGACGCCACGTACCAGGCTTGCGGTCGGAACGTGCTGCCGAAGCATGGTCGACGCGAGGTGATTGCTGCTCCTTGCGCCAGGTGGGCGAGTCGACGCCGCGACGAGGCGGTGGAGGAAAGGCTGCGCCGTCGATGCCTGCGCTGCTGCCGTCGTCGGTGCTTGTGCGCTCCCGCTCTGTTTGAGCCTCGCCGACCGGCGAGCGTCTGCGCTCGAGAGCCTCGATGGAGTCGAGATGCGGCGGCAGCTCGCGCTTGGACACGTCGCCGCTCGACTGCGTCTTGCTTGAGGGCGGCGGGTCGAGGCCGCGCTGGCGTTTCAGCCCCGAGCTGCTTGACGATGACGCCGTGGTAGCACTCGCAACTGCAGCAGGCGGCCGCGTAGGTTGAGGCTGCGGCCGAGAAGCCATCTCCTCCGCCGAGTCCTCGATCGAAGATGCCGAAGCCGAGAGCGACGTACCGAGGTCCAGGCTGCTGATCTCGGCCTGCGGGCTCAGGCGCGGCACGAAGGCGGGCGAGTTGAGCGGCGCTGCTGCTGCTGCGTCCGTAGTGAGCGGCCCGAGACCGACAGACGCGGGCGAGGAGCAGTCTGGCTGCGATGCGCCGGGCGAGTGCGCAGACGACGACGAGGAGCGGACATGCGGCGCGTCCGAGGAGCTGCGTGGAGACTGCATGGCGCCGACGCCGAGCCCCGGGCTGGCCGCCATTGGTGGTGCGGCGCGACCAGTGGCGTGAGCGAGGTGGCTTGAAGAGGCGATGGCGCGCTCCTGAGCGATGCCGGAGCTGGTGGGGCGGCTGAGGTGGAGGAGTGTGTGCGAGCAGGGCGGCGCGGCGGCGTGCCGGTCGAGAGTGAGCGTGAGGGAGCAAGGCCGGGAGCGAGGGCGATGTGCAGTTGGTGGTGGTGTGGGCTGGGCGGGACGGAGCGGGTCTATGAGGTGCAGCGGCGAGGAGGAGCAGGAGGAGGGAAAGAGAGGAGCGGGCGCAGAGGTGCTGCCTCATATATGCGGCTGGCCTGGGGGGCGGCGAGCGCGAGTGTCGGGCGAAGCACCCGCCGCGAGGCGCTACACTCGCCGCCAGCGGGCGCCCAGCGATGGGCACATCGCCGATGCAGGCCTGCCGTCTGCTCTGCTCTTCCGAACTGCTCTTCTCTGCGTCTGCTGGCAATGCTGGAGGCGGGCCGCGCTCGGGCGAGGTGCGAGCATGCGTCCAGGGGGCGGAAGCGTGGTCCTGCATCGCGGCGCTCGGCGCAGCAGCGCACAGCAACAGAGCAGAACAGAGCGAGGTGCAGAGGCAGAGAAGAGCTGCCTCGTGCGCCCTCTCGCTGCGTGCACCTCTGCAAACGGCGCCAGGCGCAAAGCGATCAAAGTGCCGCAAAGTGCTCCGAGCTTCAGCGCTTGTCATCTCGGCACGCCCCAGGGCGTCAGCAGGACGCGCTCGCTGTCGGCCTGCCTCTCGCGTCTGCGCCCTGAGACGCCGCAGCCGCTCTATCTCGCGCCGCCGCATGCGATGGCGAGCGCACGCCCTCTCCTGCTGCGGTTGCCTGAGAGGCAGCGCACGCGGCACGCAGAGGGAGGGCGCACCATCTCCTCTTTCAGGGGCTTGTGGCGGCTCGTATGCTCCTGTCTCTGCTCTGCGTGCCTACCACCTCGTCCCTGCGCAGCGAGCTGCGAGACCGTCGGCATCGAGGCGTTGCTGCGCCCCAACGCAGCGCTGGTTCGTCCCCACGCTCTTGCAGTCCGCGCTACCCGCGGTGCCGAGCCCGAAGGACACTCTTCTGCGCTGGCAGCGCAGTCCAGGCCGCGTCGCAGCGTGCCTGCAGGAGTCGTCATGCGTGCTGAGGCAGAGTGGTGCCAGGGGGCATTGAGCGCCCTATTTCCGTGCGTAGGCAGCGCCACGTGCTGCTTGAAGAGGGAGGCCAGGAGGCAGGCCTCACTTGTCGGCTGGGAGAGGCTGCGGCTCGGTCCGAGCGAGACCACTTTGCTCATACAGAGCAAGGCGGATACTCCGATGCAGATACGTCACGGCTCCGCGCTGCCTCGTGCTGCGAGAGCAGCGCATGGGCGCCGCCGAAGACCGCATACTTGCAAAGGCTCTGCGTGTTGCCCTTGAGCGCACTTGGGACCGCGCGAGAAGGACGCCCGGTGCAGCCGCATGCCGCACGGTGCGGAGAGAGCTCTCGTCCTTCCTGCTCGCCGTCTTGAGGCCCGGCGCTTCTTCCGCTCAGCTGATCCTTGTCTCAACACCGCGGATGACGAGCTGTTCAAGCCGCGGTTGTGATCACGGAGGTGCGAGGAGAGGCCGGAACGGGAAACGGAGAAAGCAAGGCGCCTGGACACCCAGGCTAGAGCGCAGTCTGAGCAGGGGTGCCTCGATGCGGCGCCAAAGCGGCATCAGAGTGGTCTTGGCGCTGCCCTGTCGACGGATATAGACGGAAAGATGAGACTCATGGCGTACAGGCCTGAAGCAGGGCCGTCCCACGTCTCTTCGCGACGGTGGGTTGCGGGCTTTGGGCGCGAGTCTGATGCGTGCTGCCCCTGCGATGCATGCGGGTGCTGCGCCTGCGTGCTGTGCACGGCTGGTGATGCATCTGCTGTCCGAGGGTGAAAGCACGCTTGTTAAGACACCCCTAGCCTCTCGGCCGTAGCGAGCACTCTGCGGCGGAGCTCTTGCGCCCAGCAAGAGGTCCTGCGGCTGGCAGATCTTCTTCCTCGTCTGCTCAGGGGACGAAGCGCGCACCGAGCATGCAGGCACAGAGCGAGCCCCTCGCGCGGCGGAAGGCCGTGGGCACTCTGAAGCCACAGGGACTGCGAAATGTGACGTCTGCGGAAGAAAGTGGGTCAGCACTGCCTGCGTGCTCTCTGTAGCCGCTGAAGTCACCGTCCGCCCCCATCGGGCGCGCGCGCGATGCGAGCTCGCGCACTCGCCATGACTCGCGGCCGGCCATGAGCTGTGCAGCATGGTAGCCGCGGCAAACAAGCTCGATCTCCTCAAGGCCTCATCCGCCCTTCCGTCTTGGGCTTGGTGCTGCAAGGTGCCGTCCTCCCGCCGTGCCGGAAACGCGTGTGCCAGCCAGCAGAGCGCGGCGACAGGTGCTGCGTCCGCCCGCTTGCCGTGTAGAGCTGCAGCTCGTCGGCATCTCTCGCGCTGGTGCTCTACTCAGCTCAGCGCCAATGGCACCTCTCGCCAAGTTGAGCTCGCGACCTCTGCTGTGCGTGCATCTCGAGCGTCGCCCTGAGGCCCTTGTGTGCTTTGGATGGCAAGAGGCGACATGCAGGCGGCGCGTCTCGTCGTGCGGCGTTCCTCCAACGGCCCTCCACCCGCCGCGGCGGCACGTGACGCGCGCTGCCCAAGGATTTTGCCCTCTGGCGGCGGCGCGCGCGGCGCAGGCGGCGGAGCGCGGCCAAAAAGTGGCCGGCGCTCGGACGAAGGCGAAGGTGAGGCGCAGTCGAGTCGGGGTCTTGTGCACACGACCACCACCCTCGCCACCTCTCTCGACGAGCGCGCTTGCATCTGCCACAGCCAGCCACGTCCCACGGCAGCTCAGCACTGCTCTCACCTTCCGCGCCTCGTCTGCCCCGCGCCGCGCCGCCGCCATGGAGCTCGCGCCACACGTGCCGCAGGCCGGCATGGTGCTGTGCGCCGACTGCGGCGTGCCCATCGTGCCGTCGTCTGCGAACCTGTGTCTCTCCTGCCTGCGCAACTCGGTCGACATCACCGAGGGCATCCCGAAGCAGGCGACGATCAACTTCTGCCGCAACTGCGAGCGCTACCTCAACCCGCCGCAGAGCTGGGTCACCTGCCAGCTCGAGAGCCGCGAGCTTCTGGCCATCTGCCTCAAGAAGCTCAAGGGCCTCAACAAGGTCCGCCTCATCGACGCCGGCTTTGTGTGGACGGAGCCGCACTCGAAGCGGCTGCGCGTCAAGCTCACGGTGCAGAAGGAGGTGAGTTCGGCGAAGCGATGCAGTGGCGTCACGCCTGGGTGGGACTGTGGAGCGCAGCAGCGGTCCGGCCGTCAAGCGCATGGGCGCGCCGGAGCAGAAGCGCTGGGTGATGCATGTGCCTCTGCCGAGCGCCTGCCTGGCCTCCCCTGTGGTGTGGAGGCGTGGTCGCCAGACTGCCGAGTGGCCAAGCGCATGCTGACCACTCCCTCCTCAGGTGCTGACGTCGACGATCCTGCAACAAATATTCGAGATTGAGTTCATCGTGCAGTACGGACAGTGCCCCGACTGCACTCGATTGGCGGCGAAGAACACGTGGAAGGCGATGGTGCAGGTGCGGCAGAAGGGTGAGTACACCAGTGGCGGTCAAGCTGCCACCAGCAGTCACCGCATCTCACACGCCCCTGCAGTGCCGCACAAGCGCACGTTCCTGTACCTCGAGCAGCTCATCCTCAAGCATAACGCACACCGCGACACGATCAGCATCCAGGAGAAGAAGGACGGCCTCGACTTCTACTACGTGCAGCGCTCGCACGCCGTCAAGATGTGCGAGTTCCTCGCCTCCGTCGTGCCCGTGCGGACGCAGTCGTCGAGCGCCGTCGTCTCGATGGACATCCACACGTCGACAGTGAACAACAAATTCAGCTACAGCGTGGAGATTGCGCCGGTCTGCAAGGACGACCTGGTGTGCCTGCCCAAGTCGCTGGCACGGCAAATGTCGCAGATGCCGCAGCTCGTGCTGTGCCAGCGCATCAACAATGCGCTGCGCTTCATCGACCCCAACTCGCTGCAGATTGCCGACCTGCCCGCCGACAAGTACTGGCGCGAGCCGTTCGGCACGCTGTGTGCCATTCCCGAGCTCATCGAGTTCCTCGTGCTCGACATTGAGCCGACGGGCGCCGTGACGGGCAACGGGCGCTGGGTCGCCGCCGACGCGCAGGTCAGCCCGATGAACGCGACCAGCTTCGGCCAGGCCGACGCCGTGTACCACACGCGCACCCATCTCGGCGCACTGCTGCAGCCGGGCGACACGGTGCTCGGCTACAACTTGCGCAACGCCAACTTCAACAACGCCATCTGGGACTCGCTGGACCACGGGCGCACGCCGGACATCGTGCTCGTGCGCAAGAGCTACCCGGACAGCAAGAAGCGGCGGCGCGGCCGCAACTGGAAGCTCAAGTCGATCGCCAAGGAGGCGGGCGACGACGTGGAGAAGGAGGGCACGGGCCGCGGCGCCCTCGGCCGCAAGGGCGGCCTCGACGGCAAGAACGTCGAGCGCGACTACGAGATGTTCCTGCGCGAGCTGGAGGAGGACGAAGAGATGCGCGCCGGCGTCAATCTCTACCGCGACCCGGCCGCCGAGGCGCGTGCGCAGCGTCGCCGCGAGGAGAAGGCCCTGGCGCGGGCACGGAAAGCCGCAGGCCTCGATGCCGACGGCAATGTGCCCGGCCAGGACGGCATGGAGGTCGACGGCGAGGCGGAGCAGCCCGACTTCGACGACGGCCGCACGGACGACGGCTTCACCACCGACGGCGAGTCGGAGTTCGGCGACGACGATATCCCGCGTGTCCGTCTCGAGGAACTGCTCGACGAGTTCGAGGACAGTGAGTTGCACAGCCTCGTCGTGCCGCCCATGCTACGCTGACACTGCTGCAGAGATGGCCATCGAGGACTAGTCACGCACGATCGTCGCTCCCACCCGCCGCGCAGTCTCTCATCCTGTACTCTCTTTCTCTGCATGCCACGCTCTCAACGTCACAATGCACGCTTCCGCCCACACTCGGCAGCCCCGAGCGCAGCGTGAGGTGCTCTAGTTGTTGGTGCATTAGCGGGTCCAGTCTATTTTGCGTCGTCGTCGGACTTGAGCGTCAGCCAGGCGTCGCGCGCCTCGACGGCCTCGAGGCGCACGGCTCGGCGCGGACTGTGGGCCAGGCGCTGCATCAGCATCGCTCCATCGGTCGAGCGTGGTGCAGACTCACTCATCGATGCCGACGCCTGGAGCGGCGAGGCCGCGCTGAACGCGCACGCGGTGCGGGTGCAGCACCGCGTACGTGACGGAGCGCGCGAGGGACGCGAGGCATCGCAGCGCTGCGATGCGAGTGTCCTAGGGCGTAGCAGTCAGCATCAAGGAGGCAGATGACTCTGCATGATGGCAGACTCACCGCCGGACTGTGCTCTGAAGGCGTGGCAACCGAGAGGAGCCGCTCGATGAGCGTGCTCACGTGGCTCTCGACCAGGTCGAGCGGCATGTTCTCGCGCTTTGGCGCGCCCTCAGGCACGCTGCCGGCGAGGATGGCGTCGCTGCGCTCCTTCTTGCCCACAGCCGCCGCCAGCGCCACGGTCTGAGCGGCACTGGCGCGTGCGCCGGCGTCGGGCAGGTCGAGGGCACGCAGAAGCAGAGGGAAGAGATCGCTGAGCCGTTCGCGCGTCGTCTGTCGTGGCATGCTCGGCAGCAGCGCGGCGAGTGCGATGAGGTAGACGCCCTGCACGGCCGCAGCCGGTGCCCCAGGAGCGGGCTGCGCCTCGCGGTAGCCGGCGATGATCTTGGGCAGGACGAAGGAGTAAAAGCGCTGCCGGTGCAGCAGCCGCACCACCGCGCCATTCTCTTTGGACAGAACCCCATCGTCGGTGCGAGCGATCAGACCAAGGCCGCGGGCGGCGTCGCGCGCCAGGTCGGGCGTGTCGAAGAGCGAGAGGATGCGCAGAAGCATGCCCTCGGCAGCCGCGCTGGTGCGCGTCATCAAAGCCTTTGCGATCCAGCACCAGATGCGCAGAGCAATGCGACGCCGCTGGGGATCAGCCGAGGCCTGCTCGATGCACGAATGCCAAAAGTCGTCGAGCAGTGCCGCAGCCTCGGGCTGCAACGGCTCGGCGATCGACTTGTTGAAGACAGCGGCCAGAGCCGCACAGCCAGCGGTCTCTTCCGCCCGGCTCGCGGCCGCCAGCGTCCAAGGCAGCAGCTCGCGCGCCCACTGCACAGCATCGCCGCCGCGCGGCGGCGGCACTGACTTGTGCAGCGCCACGTAGGCCGCCAGAAAGGCGGGCAGCGCAGCGCGGTGCGCCGGCTGAGCATCGGTAGCCAGTGGCAGGAAGCGCACCTCGCTGGAGGCGAGGCCCGGGCCAAGAGAGAGCGGCCCTTGCTGGCCGGCCTCGATAAGAGGATAGAGCCAAGCGACAAGCGACTGCTGCTTTGCGGGCTCGAGCATGCGTACCAGCGTCGTCACGGCGCTGCCCACGTCTGCCACGACGCGCGGATCAGCGGCCACCGGCACAGCCGCAGCGCCGGCACTGCTGCGCACAGCGGCGGCGAAGACGAGAGAGAGGAGTCGCGGCGGCAGCGAGACGGCATAGCGCGGCAGGTCGGTGTGTCGCTCCGAGGCCTTGTCCTCCAGCAGTGTCTGCAGCGTGACGAGCAAGCCACGCACGTAGCCAACGTTTGCTTCACGCTCGGCCGGCGCCGAGTAGTCTGCCGCGCAGGCGAGATCCAGCTTGGTGACAACGCGCACCACGAGCGTGTCGAAGAGGTTCGGCTGCGCACAGAGACGTGCCAGTGCACTGAGTGCACGACGCAGGCGGCTGCGCTCGGCCTCTTGTAGCGCTGCGTCGCCACTGCTGCTCATGCGGTCGGGCAGTGCTGCGAAGAGCAGCGGAAGCGTCGTCGCCTCGAGGATGTGCGAGTGGCGCAGCGAGAGCTCGCGCAGGCCGTCCAGTGCCGGACCTCGCACCTCGTCGCCGTGCGCCGCAAGCAGCAGCTCGTTGACGCCCTCGGTGAGGTAGTCGATCTCGCGCGCCTCGAGGAAGCCAGGAATTCGCGCGAGGGCCAGGAAGGCGTGCAGTGCCGGCAGGCGGTACTGCGTCGAGCGCAGGCCGTTTGCAAGAGCGCCGACGAGGTCATCACGAAACGGCTCGAGCGGCCGCGAGTCAATCTCGTAGCTGCGCGCCGGCGCTGGGGAGGCCTTGGGCGCCGCCGTGCTGCCTTCTGCCGATACAGGCGTGGGCGTGACGGCGCTTGTGCTCGAAGAAGCAGTGCCGAAGCCGACGGCCTTGGCGGCAGGCTGAGATGGAGCCGCAGCGCCCCACGTCTCGCGGCCCTCGTACGCATCGCGCAGCGCGCGCAGGAGCGTGCCGATGTGCTCCAGGATGGGCGCACGCACGCTCACGTCGTCGGCATTCTTCCAGTAGGTGAGCATCTGCTCCAGCATGCCGTACAGCGCCAGGTAGGCGGTACTGGGCGCCGCGCGCACGAGGCAGGCCAGGATGGTCGCGGCATGCGGCGCGAGCACCTTGGCTGGCTCCTCCAGCACGTCGAGACAGTCTGCCACTATCCGCGGCGCCAGGCCCTCTGGTGGCTCGACGCCGAGATACAACACGCGCATGAAGGAGACGAGCGTTCGCTGCGACGCCAGAGAGGTTGCGTCGTCTGTGGCGTGCATGATCTGCGTGCACATGTCAGCAAGCTCGACCCACGCGTGTGGTCAAGAGGGGCACACTAACCTCGATCTTCAGGCCCTCCCACAAGCGACTCTCGTTGGCCAGGGCAGCCTCGCGGCCGAACACCGGCAGTGCCTCCTCGAGCACGGCAAGCGTCTCGAGCTTGGCGTTGCCGCCTGCCGCCGCCAGCTTCTCGAGCAGCAGCGGCATGGCGTGTGGCGCCAGCACGGGCGAGGCGACCAGGCAGCGGCGCAGCGCCAGGGTCAGCTGCTCGGTGGAGATGCCGTACGGATCGTCTGGCGGCGGCCGGAACGTGATGGGGAAGTAGCAGTACGTGGCGTCGAAGAAGGCCTGTCGCGTCCAGAGCATCTCAGCATGCATGTGGCAGCGTCCTGATCGACGTGTGCAAGACACTCACCTCGCCGAGCTCCCGGCTCATCTCAAACTCGCGCAGCAGCACCCAGTCAGTGGCGAAGCAGTAGAGCAGGTTGCGCGGGTCCTTTTCGCCCTCGACGAGCTTGAGATAGCCGCGCAGAAACGTCTCGCCCAGGCTGGCCTTGAGCGAGTTGCGATGCCGCGCCACGAGCACGTCGACGAGGCGGTAGATGAGGTAGCGCATTGCCTGTGGATACAGCGAGGGCGTGACATGGGCAAAGAGGCTAGACGCGGCAGGCACGTCAGCAGCTGCGGAAGGCCGGCCAGTGCTGCTGCGGCCTCGCAGCAGCACACGTTCTGTACGCACCTCTCGGCCACGTCCTTCGCCGCCTCTGCGCCGAACACATCGAGCGCCGCCAGCCGGGCCAGCGCCTCGAGCGTCGCCGCCAGCGGCTCGGCACCGACGGGGATGCGGCGGTGGCGGAAGCTGGGCGCACTGCCGGCGACGGGCGGCGCAGCGGCGTTGTGGGCGCGCGCGAGCGAGTCGGCAATGAGCACGGCGTCCTCGAGCTTGCCGGCGAAGAAGCCGGCGAGCGTCAGACTGGCCTGCCGCTCGAAGAGCTGCGGCACGCCGGCGCTGCCGCCGGCACTGCCCTCGGCGGGGGCGGACTGCGCCGGTGCGAGCTCCGTGACGACGAGCGCGAGGAGACGCAATGCGCGGCCGCGGCGCGCCTCGTCGTCGTCGGTGAGGGCGTCGCCGAGCATGCGGATGAGCTGCAGCAGCGAGAGGCGGCGCGCCTCGAGCTGTGCACGCAGCTGCGGCGGCAGCGGCGCCGCGGCATCGTCGGCGAGAAAGGCGCGGATCGCCTGCGTCGCAACGGACGACGGCGAGAGCGGCGGCGGTGGCGACGCCTCGGCGGCCATGCTGACGGATGCGAAAGGGCGCAGCAAGAGGAGATGGCGGACGGGAAGACGGCGAGACGCGAGAGCAAGATCTGCTCTGCCGCCGCCGCTCGGCCTCAGCACCCGCTCCGCCCGCCGCGCGGCGCGCGCGGCGCGCCCGATGCGTCACCGTCACGCGACCCCGTGCTGCCCTCTCTCCCTGTGATGATCACTGGCCGCTGCTCTGTTCCGCACCACCACCTCCGCCCTCAACTTTCGCCCTTTCCCGAACGCAAACTCCACACCGCCTCTACCGCGGCTCTCGCTCCGTACTTCGCTGCAGACGCCGCGCAAGCGCCCACCGCAGCGCTTCTGCAAGCTGTCAGCAGAGCGGCGCAAGTCTGACACGCAGCTGCGGCGGTGCTCCTGACTTTGTCCGCCCCAGCGCCATGGCGCTGCGTGCTCGCTTCGCCGGCTTCATCCGTCCCACGACGGAGAACTGGCACAGCGGCCATGCTGACCCACGGCTCCATCACTGCGGCGCCGACGCGCACCGCAAGACGACACTGCACTCTCGCCGCGAGTTTGTCGGCGTCGGCGAGGACGCTATCTCGTTTGAGACACAGCCAAGTGTCGGAGATGAGCCGACGGATTCAAGCCTCGTCGATGCTCACTCGACGAGCTCTTCTTGCGACAGCAGCCGCAGCGACAAGGACGAGATCGATAGTAGATCCGATCGGTACCTGCCGCACTACATCGACATTGAGCTGGCAGGCGGCGCTGCCGCTACCGAAAGAAGCAGAGAGATTGTTCGCGACCTGAAGGAGGAGCCGGCGTATGCTGCGTTCCACAGCTTGATACAAGAGCTTGATGCGCCTGGCTACACGGCCGAGTTCGGCGCCGAGGCCGGGGAGCGCAGAGTCGAAAGCATGGACTGCGGCGATGACGCGGATGGTCAGCCGAGGGCAAGGCGAGACACGGACACGCACGACGACAGAAGGCTGCGCGATGCCTTTGCTGCTCTTGCGAATCTTGTCGCCGCGCATGTGCGGGACCCGCAAGCCTCCCCGCCGGCGCCAACGTTTGCGTCCCGCTCGGAGCCTCGCATCTGGTACACGGTGGGTCGTGCTCACAAGGTAGAGAGCCAGAGACGTTCGCTGATCGTGCTCGCGCAGGAGTCTGTAGATCGCTGCAAGCCCAACATCTGCGTCCAGTACGAGGGCGGCGGCGACGCCTTCTCCCAGGTCGTAGCCGTTGGAGAGGTCAAGGCTGCAACAAGAGAAGACGAGAGGGACAGCCTCTTGACCAAGCTATGTCGCTACGCAGTGAGTCGTGCCGCATGATCAGCTTTAGCCACCTACCTCACAGCGTGCTGACTGCCCGTGACAGGCGGCACTCGTCGGCAGACGTCCCTTCGTCACTGTCTGTCATGGCTTCACGCTCTGCGGCTCGGTACTGCGTCTGTGGCGTTTAGATGCGCAGTCGAATGCGTGCACCATGGCCGTGGATCTGTGCGGCGGCGACGAGCATCTGCAGAGATTCGTCGCCCTTGTCGCCTTCCTCACGGGCGAAGATGCGCTGCGGCGCTGGTCTCCGGCGGAGAGCGACAGGTTTCGCCTGTGCAACGTGCGTGGAGAGGAGGAAGAGTTCGTCTGGGCGCAGGCGCCGCAGCAGCTCAACAGGAACTTCGAGCTCTTCGGCACACGCATGTGCTGTTGGGGCGGCAAGGCATACAAACTCGGCGAGCGAGATTCCATCGACGTCGTGCTCAAGCTCTCGTGGATACCGCCGCATCTGGTCGATCACGAGGGCGTCGTCCTAGAGCATCTGAAGGCGCAGCAGGTCCAAGACGTGCCGCATCTGCTCGGCCGCCTGCTTCTCGAGCCCGACCTCACCGACATTGCGTCAAACGGCGCGGCCTTTGAGCTCGAAGCCTCGTACGAAGGAGCCGCTCACGAGAGATCCGGTCTCTTCGTCCCCGAAATGATGCGCTGGTCACGCCGCGGCATGGCCCTCTCCGCATTCGCTGTGCGCAGCCCGATCGGCTACAGTATCGACGAAGCCTCGCCTTCGGTGGCGCTGGACTTGCTGCGCATGTTTCGCGGCCTCGGCAAGATGCTTCGCCGCGTCGCTGAAGCCGGTGTGCGTTACCGCGATCTAAACACCGGCAACGTCCTCCTGCCACCCGTCGATGCGGATCCGGCTGCGCCTGCGGTGCTGCTCATCGACTTTGGCAACGCGCGCATAGGCGACACTCCCCGCGGCAACTTGCCTGCCGATGGCGCTGCCGCGTCGTCCAATGCCGGTATTACTGCGCCACTGATCGTGCGTCTCAGCGCCGATGACGCGCGCAGCATCAACGAGTACTTCGTTCCGCGGAAGACAATCATGGTGAGCTAGACTGCCGGCCGTCCTCTGGTTTGGCTGCAGCTGAGCCAATGTCTCGTCACACAGGGCGCAACGGCCGTCCAGGATGTGGAGCGAAAGTTCGCAGAGCGTGAGCTGGCTCGTGCTGCAGCTAGCCAGGGGGAAACATCCTCGAAGAAGCAGGGGCTGTTGCGCAATGCCGAGACCGACTTTGATCGCGCTATGGAGAAGCTCGAAGCGCTTCAGCACCGCCCTATCGACGACCTAGAGTCTGCTACGTGGTGCTTTCTCTGGCAAGTCAGTCGGCGTCGCGACGGCGTGCGCATGTACCGCATGTTTTCTGACTTCCATGCGCAGAGTGCAGAGTGCGGCACCAACGACCTCGAGGGCCTGCACGACCTGAAGCACGACGATTTCAAGGCCAAGTGGCTGACGTACGGCAACACGACCGCACGCAGTGAGGTGCGTTTCGCTGCGCCGTTGCCTTGTCGGCGCTTCCTGACACGTCACTCACAGGTCGTCGAACGATTCGGTCTGCAGAGCGACGCTTTGAAAGAACTGCTTCAGAGCGATGACGGACTGCCGTACTATCTCTTTCACGACGAGACTCGCGAACAGAGCACTCCGCCGCGTCGCGACATCCACTCGTCGCCTGGCGCAGCAACCTCGCTCCTGCGGGATCGCGATCGCGACGCATTTGATGAATGGGAGTCGGCATTCGCGAGGGCGATCGCAACTGAGGAGCAGGCGGTCTCTGTCAGGGCCGCCGCCGCCGCCGCTGCCCCTGGCGCAGATGCCGCTGCCGCTACCGCCGGAGCTCCCGCTGGCCGTGCCACATCCGCTCCGCTAAAGCAGCGCGACAACACCGCAGCCGAAGCACGAGCGAGAGCGCCGGTGTCGAAGGCGACCAACATGGCGCCGCGTGTCGACGGGCAGATCCCTGGCAAGTCCGCCTTTCCCTACCCCAAGCGGCCGCGCGAGCCCGAAAGCGGTGCGATGGCGAACGACACGGTCCCGCGTTCGCGAGCCTCTGATAGCCGCCAGACGTGACGTGGCTTCTCTCCTCTGCCTGCATCTCCTCCTACCCGTCCACTCGCACACATGCGGGACCCAGACTTCTTCTCTTCACATCGACGCGGTCTCACGCAGCACACGTCACGTCTCATCACACCCTATCGGCTTCTCGCTCCCCTTCTGGCACATACACCACGCACACAAGCTCCCGACACGTAGATACCCAGCACACGAATACCACCCCGCTTTAATCGCGCGCGGCGCGCCGCGTGGGCTGCAGCCAGGAAGGTCGCACGGCATGACATTGTCAGGCGTGTCGATGCTCGCCAGCAGCCGAGGCTGAGCAGGGCAGAAGCCATGCCCCACGCGAGGCCCCAACGGAGGCACAGCCGCGAGCGGGCGTGTGCGTGTGCGAAGAAGAGCCACCGGCGCCGTCGGGCAGGCCAGGCACCTAGCTGGACACGCTTGCTGTCGCGCCGTTCTTTCGGCGGCCCTCCTCCTCGCCCTCGTCGCCGTTGATGCTGAGGCCTGCCACGCGCGCACGTGCGTCTTGCATCGGCTCCTTGGCGGCGTGCTGCGATGCGGCGTCGCCGTTGGTGCTGCCGCCGCGCGCCGTGCCCTCCTCGTCATCGTCGCTCTCGCCGGCGGAGTCTTCGTCGTCAGACTGCCGCTCCTGGTTGTAGTCCTTCATGTAGCCCGCCAGCTCGAACTGAGGCGCGGGACAGAGCGTGTCAGCACGTGCACCATGCCACCTCCCCCGCCTTGTCTCGCTCTCACCTCTTCGTCGCCGCCGTCGTCGCCGTCGTCGTAGAAGTCGGGGTTGAGCGTGAACATCTCGCGGCCGCTCAGGCCGGCCATCTTGTTGGCCGCAGCTTGCGTGGCTGTGTGCAGAATGTGAGCGGCTAAGGAGTCACACTGTGTGAAGCCTGCTGCGCCGGCAACGCACCCTTCTTGTTGGCCATGGCCTCCTCCTCGGCCTCCTTCTTGTCCATCCGCTTGCGCTTCCACTCCGCGAAGGTCTCGGCCGTGACTGGTGTGAGATTGGAGCCGAGCTTGTGGCGTGCCGTCTCCAGGAACTCCTCGAGCGAGATCTCCAGCGCCTTTTCTGCCTCCTCGCGCTCGCGCTTCTGCGACTTGAGCACGAAGCCTGGTGGCAGGCTGCGGCGAAGAGGCTCAGCTTCCGCACGCTAGCGCTCATTGCGCGTCACCACTCACCGATGCTTGTAGAAGCAGTCGTCGCCGCCATTCGGGCACACCCTGACCAGGCGGAGCCGTCAGCATCGCTTGCACGTGCGGCCACGCCCGCGCAACTCACCAGAACCAGCCGTACTTGCCCTCCTCGACGGCCTGCAGGAAGAACTTGCACACCTTGTCCGTGGTGGACTTGGTGTTGCCGTGCTTGGAGAGGACGACGCGGTCGAGCTTCGCCTGGTCCCACTTGTCCATCGTGTCTGCCGACAGCGCGCGATCAGCGAGTGCATCGCAGGCTAGCGCTCGCTCGCTGCTCACCCGTCTTCTTGTCCTCCTCGCCGCCCTCGCCTTCTCGCATGTCGGTGTAGAGATCTGCATCGCGCAATCAGCACGCCGCAAAGCGCAGCGTCTGCCACATTGCCCACGCACCCTTCTTCTCGACCTTGCGCGAGGCGTCGTTGGTGTGTGCAAACTTGCAGCGCGCGGCGCTTTTCTCGCACTTGCCGGCCTTCCAGAACTCGCAGGTGATCGTCTTTGGATCTGAGGGTACGGGGTCAGACGGGCGCAGTGGCACAGAGCCAGATGAGGGCCAACGAGACGGGCCAGATGCGTGGCCCAGCTATGCCGCCGTCGGCTAGGCTGCCTATTGACCGTCTCTGGCGCTACCGGTGCCGCGACATCGTCCAGCCCACTGATCGCACGCGCCACTCACCGACGCCAAACGGCACTTTTGGCTGGATGATCAGCACGTCCTCCATGTCCTTCTTGCGCTGCTTTTCCGCCTCGAGCTTGGCCTTCTTCTCCTCCTCGCGCTTCTTGGCCGCCAGCATCTCGGCGGGCGTCTTGCCCGCCTGGCTCTGCTGCTGCTGGATGATTTTGACCTGCTGCTGCGCCTTGGCTCCCTTCTTGTTCTTCATGCCGAAGGTCTGGAAGGATGCGCCGCGTCAGCATGCGCCCGGACGCCGGACTAGTCTGGATATGCGGCTTGCAGGTCGAGCTACAAGTCGGATCCCGATGAGAGCGCGCTGCGACGAGAGCGCGCTGGAGGTCTCCGCCTCGCTTGTGCTGCAAGCGCAGCGCAGCGAAAGCAAAGACGCAGCTGCCCGCTCTTCGTGCTGCGCCGGCAGTCATCGCGCGTCTCGCGCCGTTCCGGCCAAGTCGGCAGACCTTTGTGGCAGCATGCGGCAGCGACTGAACGAGGAGCTGAAGGGCGGGGCTTTCGCAAGAGCTCCTACAGCGTCCCCATGCGCCGGCCAGCCATGCCCGCCTGCGGTGCTCGCGACCCCTCGCCGCACGCACCTTATCCTCGACGACCTTCTTCGGCGCATTCTGCTTCTTGTCTGCCTTTTTCGGCGGCATGATCGGCAGGCGAGCGGGAGTGTGGAGAGCGCAGAGGGCGAAGCGTGTGTGTGTGCCTCAGCGGTGCAGATGGTGCTGTCGACGCTCGGGCGTGCGGCACCTGAGCGAGGCCAGGCTGGCAGTGGCGCTCGGGCAGCTGCAGAGTCGGAGAGCGCGCACGGGCGAGGTCAGGCGCAGCGAAGAGCGAGCTGTGAGCGAGGAGCGGCGAGCACCGAGCAAGAGGAGTGAGAGAGCCTGCTCGGCGGGGAGTACGAGGGGGGAGAGGCGGGAGCAGAGGCCGACGCCCAGAGCGAGAGCTGAAGCCGCGCCTTGGGCGGGGCTGTGGAGGCAGCTCGCACGGCAGGAAGCCTCTGCCGCAGTCGCTCTCGCTGCCGCGCCGCGCTGCAGCTGCCTCGTGTGACCGAAAACGTCAGCCGTCCCTGCGCTGTGGGGCGGCCCGTCGTCGAGCGTGCGCCCAGGAGCAGCTTGCCGCATGCCGAAAGAGCCTTGGACAGCACCATGCAGCGCAAGAGGAGCTTTGGCGATGACGGCGCGGTATCTCGTCGGCCGGCCGGCTCTCTGTGCGGTGCGCTGCCACGGTCGGCGCAGAAGCGAGGTGGCAGACCAGCCGCTCGCCGCCCGCACCCCCATCCGCTGCCTTCTCTGCGGCCGTGTGTCGTTATTCCTGTGCACTAGCGGCTGCGTCGAGCTTGCCGCCGGTGCTCTGCGAGAAGGAGGCAGCTCATGGTCGAGCCCTGGGGGCTGAGGGCTGCTCTCACGCCTGCCGCGCTTGCCGCGGCACCACTCCCGTCACGATCGAGCTCGAGAGGGACGCGCGCGCGATCTTCCGGCGCCGGCGCGTCGCGCTCTGGAGACGCGCCATCGGCAGGCAGTCGCTCGCGCAGAGGTCGCGCCGTGCGCCGCCCACACCCCACGCTCATCTCCACAAGCGGCCCAGTCGATGGCGGGAAAGCGGAGAGGCAGCGATGGAGGCGCCGTGCTGCAGTGCGGATTCTGCCTGGCGCCAGAGGCAGCCGCAGTGGTGCAACAGCGACGGTCAGCGACGGAAGGACGGCCCCGGCAGCGGCGCGGTGCCGCGATGAGAAGGAGCTCGAGCGGCACGCGCGGAGCGGCCACGGCGCGGCTCCGCGCCTGCCTTGCTGCGTGAGTTCGTGCTGTGCTGCGCTGCTGCTGCTCCGCCGCGGCCGCGCATCGCGTCGTGCCCACGTCGTCGCGCGCCGTGCGCTGCGCTCGTCTGCCTCCCGCCACCACCGCGTCTCTCATCAAGCCCACAAGCCGCCGCTCGCACCCGTCGGTCGTGCGCATCAAGTCCGCGCGCCCCTCTCGCAGCCTGTCTGCTCGTCGTCTGCAGTGCACCCTGGCGCACGCCTCTCGGCTGGCAACTCCACCTTCCAGCGCCTCGTCTGGTGCCTTCTCGTCCCTTCGCGTGTCAGGAACAGCCACGCGCGGCCGTGCCACTGCGCACACTCATCAGACGCAATGGCAAAGTCAAAGGCCGGCTCGTCGGCTTCGCGCGCCGCAGCGGCGGCGGCGGATGAGAGCGGACACTCCTTGTGCGTATCTCTCGCTCGTGTGGCTTGGGTGGAGCAGGCGGCACGGAATGCAGGGCCGGTCGTGGTGTCGGTGACGGCACGGCTACTGCGGAGCGCGACATGGGCGCTGTCGGCCGCTGTGAAGGGCTACCTGCAGCGTCGTGGCGGGCGAGCCGTGCGCGATTGGTGGCATACAGGCGCTGCACGACCCTGCACGGGCCATAGCTGTCTATGCTGCGTAGACACGTGGCGGCGCCGGACCTTCATGCAAGGCAGGCGCTGCATGTCTCTCGCCGTCGGCGAAGCGTATGCTGGGCGACTGGGCAACGTGTCAGCCGCCGTGCTGTGTGCCAGTCGTCGCTGCGACGCGTCTCGACGATTGCGCGTCACGCCGTGCTCAGCGTGGCTGGCATCGCCGAGAGTGGACTTGCTGGCCGCTCTGCGCGGCACGCGTCAGGCACGCAGCCCTCGTCGCCGATACCTTTGGACTCGATCGGCGCACTGCATGCCTTGGGCTCTATGCATCAGCCCTGCGGTGGCTGCACATGGTCTGCGCGGGCAGCCCGCGCATGTGCCGCCTCGCCGCGACCAACACCCTCTCTCTCTCTCGCTACCCATAAGCGCTAACACTGCTCCTCCCATGCAGCGGCCCCGGCGACATCGTGATGGCCAAGGTCAAGGGCTACCCGGCGTGGCCTGGTGTGGTGAGTCTGGCAACGTGCGATACTTGGCTCGCGTGCAGCGCGCTGCCCGGACAGGCTACTGGCCATCCAGCACGGAGGCGCACCGAGCAACAGGTGGATGCTGTTGCGCGCCGCAGCCACAGCCGCGCCGCTCAGGCAGATGCGAGCATGGCGGCCGACGAGCTCGGCCTAGCACATGCTGCTGCGCGGCAGAGACCTTCCGCAGCAGTCCACGAGCCGTGCTGCCGTTGCACGCGCGTCGCACGTCAAGCCAGCGAGCTCTCGGGCTTGCCCTTCCGCACTCTGTGATTGCCGCTCCGCAAGCTGACACGCACGCCGCAAGATCTGCGACGAGAAGAACGTGCCCTCCAAGGTGCGCGCTCAGAAGACGATCAAGAGCGCCTTCACTGTGCGCTTCTTCCCGCATGCCGACTAGTGCGTTGCCGCTTGCGTTGTATCTGTCTTGCACGTGTCGCTGACGCAGCTGGCGCACGCAGCAACTGGTTCAAGGCACGCGACATGACGCTGCTGACGCAGCGCGAGATCCGCGCGTACCTCGACGACCCGCATAAGAAGCAGGCAGACCTGCGCCAGGCGTACAAGGTGGCGCTCGACCCGCACGCCTGGGTGCAGGAGCAGGACGAGATTGTGGCGGCGGCGGAGCGCGCAGCAGAGGATGAGGAGGAGGGCGTGGATGAGCTGGATGGCGAGGAGGCCGACGAGGACGACGTGCGTCCGGCAAAGGGCGGCAAGCGCAAGCGCGCATCGGAGGAGAAGGGCGGCAAGGTGCGCGAGAGCGCCGACACCAAGGCCAAGAAGAAGAAGAAGCTTGAGGTGCGTGTGGGCTGGTACGGCGAGCGCGTGCCCCGCGCGCATGTGCTGCGCCTTTGACTGACGTGCGCGCCCGTCGATGCAGGCGGCTGAGCCGAAGAAGAGCGCCGCCAAGGCCAGCGAGGAGCGCGGCACATCAGCTGCGGCCCGCAAGACAGAAGACGAGGCCGACGGACAGGGTGCGTGCCTCAGCCGCAGCGCCCAGAGCGCACCTGCGCGCACACGCTGACGCGCACTCTGCGCACAGACCCGGAGATGAAGCGGGTGTACGGCTGGCGCCACGCGCTGCAGCGCGGCTTCCTGCCCAAGGACGGCAAGATCAAGGAGGAGGTGAGTGGCGCACCCGTCCCCTGCTGTCGCCCACGTCAGGCCCACGAGCTTGCGGCTCACGAATGCGCGCCCTGGCCAGGACATGCCGACACACGACAAGACGTTCAGTGCCGTCGAGGCGCACAAGAGCATGACGGAGGAGCAGCTCAAGGAGACGAAGATCGGCAAGGTGATGAAGCGCATTGCCGGCCTTGCGGACGTTCCGCGCGACGCCGACTTCGACTTCACGGGCCGTGCGGCGGCGCTGTGCAACACGTGGGGCGAGGTCATGGCTGGCGCTGCGGCGCCCGCCGCCGCTGCGGCGCGTGCCACGTCGGCCAAGCAGGAGGGCAGCAGCAGCAGCAGCAGCAAGCACGACTCGTCGGAGGCTGCTGCATCAAGCGACGCCAAGGAGGCGCCGAGCCAGGATGCCAGCAAGCCGGCGGCCGCGGCGACGAACGGCTCGGCCGCCGCCCCGTCGTCGTCGTCGGACGACGCGCCGGACGCCGCGGCTGCTCCGGCCGACGCGGCGCCGGCGGCAGAGGCCAGCGCCAACAGCGACGCTCCGTCGAGCGAGGCTGCTGCGGCGGCGCCATCCAATGGCGATGCCGCGCCGGCCAGCGTCGGACAGGACGACTAAAGGAGAGAGCCGACAGCAAGGCGCGCGCCTGGGCCGCCGATTCCAGGCGGCGGCAAGCAGCGCCAACGCGCAGCACTCGCACTCCCTCTCTTCGCTCCAGCCGTGATCCCGTGTACTCGTTCCCTTCCCTTTCCTCGCTCGGTCCCTTCGTTTGCACGCCTGTTTGCCCTCTTGGCGTCTGTCTCGCCCCCCCCTCTGCCGGTGCAGCCCGAGCGCGCGCACACGCGCGAGACGCTCTGCAAGCCCTGCCCCGCTCTGCCAGGGCAAGCGGCCCGCCATCAATGCAAATGCATCGTCCTACTCTGCCTCGTGTGTGTGTGGAGCAGGAGCGCGGACCGAGCCCGTCGCGCCTCTGGTGCTGCGAGTCTCCGCGCGCATGACCACGGTCGGCTTGAGCTGCGCGCTGAAAGATGGCCTGGAGTAGATGACGTGCAGATGGGTGTTGTACAGATGCAAAGGGAGAGTGACATGCGAGCGGGCAGCATAGCAGAGAGGGTCAGGCAGCGGTGCTGCTCTCGTCTCGGCGGCACGCCCATGAGAGGAGCACCTTGAGGCTGTCGTTCGCAAGCTCGTCAGCCTCACGCTTCGCTCGCCTTGCCGCACACTCACGTCAAAAGCACATGCCGCAGCGCCCGGGTCCACGTCTCGTCCGAGCCGAATTGCAATCGGATCGACGCCTCGCCGATGCGATCTTTGTTGATGCTGCGAGAGATCAGTGCGTTGTCAGTGAGCCGCCCTTCGCCCTCAAGCGCGCATCCCCGACCACGCACGCATGAGGCAATCGCAGCTCGGCATCGCGCGCACACGCCCACGCAGCAAGCTGGCGCAGACACTCGAGGAACGCCACCATGCCATGGTCGAAGCGGCGACTCTGCAGTAGTCGACCTATCTGCCAATCGCCCGAGCCGTAGCTGAGGCATGATGCGTGAGCAATGGTGCAAGTGCGAGTGGCGGCGTGTGAAGCAAAGAGACGCACAGCTCATACACCGCCTTGTCGCCCGCGAGCTTCTCGATTGTGCTGAACGAGCCTTTTGGGCAGAGGCGATAGCTGTGCCGGCCTCTTCATCAGCGCATTGCTAGACGCTCACAGCGCAGGACTCACTCTTCAAAGACGACGCCGCATTTGCGAGCGAGCGTGTCAAGCAACAAGCAAGCCTGTCCCCATGCCGCGTTGATCTCCCGCCACTCTGTCGGCGCTGCACTGCCCGGCAGGCGGCCGAGGCGAAGGCCGTTGATGGTTGCAAAGCCGCCGTCGTGACCGATACTGAAGGCGTCGTTATACACGTTTGTCTGCTGCAGACGCGCCAGCTGTGCCGCGTCGTGAGCTGCTGCTGTTTGAAGAGCATCACGCTGGCTGGAGAGCTTGGCGAGTGAAAGAGACAGCTCGGAGTACTGCGCCCAGAATCTAGGACGACACTCAGTCACTTGCACACTTGAGTGCCATGCAAGGCGACGCACCGTTGCTCGTCCCCCTCCAGCTCCCGCTCTTCCTGCTCTAGCGCTCGCAGCTCGGCCTCGACGTCCAGACGGTCGCGCTCAGCCTCGCGCAGCCCCTGCGTCACCAGCTCGGCTTCATCCTCCAGCTGTTCAAGACAGAGTGTCAGCTCATCCATCACGCTTCGTTGGAAGCGCGTGTGCCTGCGTCGCACGTGCACAGGCCCGGCAGCTCGACTAATGTCCGACTCCTCTCGTCAATTCGCGACTCACCTGCCTGATCTCGTCGTGCAGATGCTCATCTCCCGGCTCGGCGCGCTTCACCTCGGCCTGCCAAGCCGCCAGCGCATCACGCTCCGCGCGCAGCTGTTCGCTCTCGGCCGCCGTGAGTTTGAGAGCGGCGTCGGTGCACTCCTTGCAGAGGGGATGGCGCAGCGCCGGAGCGGCGAGGAGGCGCTGCAGCGCGGCAGTGTGCGCCAGTGGCCGTGAGAGGGGCGCTGGTGCCGCTGTGGCATTGCGCGATGCACCAGCGGCGGGAGCGAGCAGCGCGCGGGCGCCGCTGGAGAGCTGCCCCGAGGGCGAGGAGGTGGAGGCGGGCAGCGCCAGGGGCTGCTGGCAGCGCTGGCACGGGAGCGTGGGCATCGAGGGCCACGCACGCCGCAGCGGCAGAACACAGCTGCGGAAGCTGGCGGAAGCGGGCGCAGGGGTAGCGCGGGAGGCACGGCGGCCGAATGGGCGAGGACTGAAGAGTGATGGTGGAGCGAGGCAAAGACGGACGCACGCGCGCCTGCGCGCGCGCCACCTGCAGTGCACGAGCCACCTGCACAGTATGTGTGTACTGGTACCTGCGCAGGCAAATGCTGGGCAAACTAATTGAGAATAGCTTGCTGTCTATTTGCTGAGATCCTGTGTGGCTGCCTGCCAGACTCCTATGGCCTTCCTCCTGGGCCTTGCCCACGTGACTGACAGGTACTCAGGTGCTGCCTGATGATGGACTTGACATCCATGTTGGCACCACCACTGCACCATAGGCCTTGGAGGCGGGCAGAGGGTTGTCAGAGTTGGCATTGCGCAGAGTCTGGGGCCTGTCTTGCGTCTTGTCTGCGTGATTGGCAATGGCGCTTGGCGCGCCCTGCGCCATGCAGCTGCCCTGTGTGCGCTTGTCTTGCAACAGCTTTTTGGTGATGTCAGAGAAGGCAATTTGTGCCTCCTTGTTGCTGCTGTGCAGGGCAATGCGCTGCTCCTCAAGGCAGTTGACAACAAGAGGGGCGCAGTGCTGTGCGTGCCAGACCATTGCGCCCTGGCCCTTCTCCTGCTTTGCCTTTGCCTTGAGTGTCTTGTGTTTGGCACGCAGGGCAAGCAGGCGCGCCTGCGGCACAAGCAGATGTGCGCGGGGAGCGGCAATGGCGCAGCGTGCAAGCCGTGGCATTGCAGACAATCCGCAAGGACCGCGCATGCAAAGGAGCAAGACAAGCAGCAAGACAAGCGGGGTTTGCAGGAGCAAGACAAGCGGGCTGCGCCGCTGCTGCTGCTGCGCTGAGGCAGTGCAAGAGCGCTGCTGCTGCTGCTGCTGCAATGTCAAGGTGCAGCAGTGAGGATGCTGGCTGTGGCGCAAGGTGCAGTGCCAAGCAGCGGCTGTCAAGGCGCGCCAAGCAGCAGCTGTTGGGATGCGGGGCCAAGGTGCGCCAAGCAGCAGCTGTTGAGATGCGGCGCCAAGGTGCGGCTGTCAAGGTGCGGCTGTTGAGGTGCAGCGCCAAGCAGTGGCTGTGGCGCAGCAGCAGCGGCTGTTGAGGTGCAGCGGCAGCAGCTGTCAAGGTGCGGCGCCAAGTAGCAGCCGTGGCGCAGCTTGCTGCATCTGGCTGCAAGGTGCTGCGCTTGCTGCTGTCATTGTTGCTCAAGCACCAAGTGCAGGTTCCTTTTGCCTGCTGGAGGCCCAAGTGCCAAGTGCAGGTTCCTCTTGCTGCATCAATGGCTGTTGCTGCAGCCGCTCCTGTGAGTAGCTGCCATTATCATCCCTGCCACCATCTTGCTGCCGTCTCACAAGGACAGCTCTGAGGCAGTGCTGCAGCACATGAGAGGCATTGCACCGTCACACTGCAAACAAGACGCTTCAGCCTATGCCTGTGCTCCTCTGCAAGGAGACTGACTGCGCCTCACCCGTCAGCCCCTTGTCTGTGCGCTCTCAAGCCTTGGTCTTGCGCTTGGTGCCAGATGTGGAGGCCTTGTTGTCCACCTTTTTGGCGCTGGTGCTGGGTGCGGGCAGGACCTTGCCCAAGGCCGTGCGGCTGCCCTCAATCTTCTTGAGCTCCTTGGCTGTGCGCTTGGTGCGCTTTGTGGGCAGGGCCTGCGCATGGCAGGCAATGACAAGCATGTGGCATGCATGGCAATGCAAAGAGCAAGCAGGAGGAGATGCAGAGGGCTTGAGCCATGTGCCGCTTGCTCTCCCTACCTGCCTTGCTGTAGACTTGTTCCAATTGGCTCTCTGACAATCAGGATTGATGGCCCCTCTGGCTTGTGCTGTGCCTTAACAGCAGCAGTCTACTTAGCTGGGGTCTTGCACCTGGGTCCAGCGTATGCTACTCCAAAGCCATTGTCCTTAAGAGCTGCCAGTGCATGCAGAGTGCAGGCAGACAGTGTCAGCCAAGAAGGTGAAGCTGCAGCACTGACAGCAACTCAAGACTCTAACACTCAGTCTCACTCCCAGCAAGGAGAGAGCAAAAGACAAGGGTGCTGGGTGGTGGTGGACAGGCAGACAATGAGCAGATTGGCCAGGACGGCGTACTTGTCCTTGTCCTCAACTTTCTTGAGGCCACCAGCAGGCTTGCCGAGGAGAGCAATTGTTTGTTGAGTAAGGCAAGCTCTGCATCTGGCCATTTGAGCAGGAAGATCATGGGCATGCCACCTTGTGTGTGCACCACCTCTTGCATCAGGCTATGTGCACGCTGGATGTTGCTTGGCACCAAGCGCAGGATGCCATAAACCTCATGTGCAAGGTAGAAGAAGACAGCACCCTTCAAAGGTTTGTGGAGGTGCATGTGTAGCACAGAGTTGCGCGGCATTGCAGCATCAGCTGCAGCAGAAGATTGTACAAGCAGCAGCAGAAGTGGAGCAAGCAGCAGAGGAAATGACCAGAAGACACAGACAAGCAGCAAGTGCTGCTTGCAATTTTGCTGCACTTGATGCTTGGCTGCAGCTGGGTGAAGGGCATGCCAGAGGAGATGACTGGTGGCAAGCGGGACATGTTTGGCTCTGCTGCGGCAGATGTTGACAAGCAGACAGATGCTGCTTTGTTCCTGGACTTTGATGACTGTGAGGCGGTCTTTGATGACAATGAGAGAGTTGAAGTGAGCAACAAGAATGTTGTTGGCGGTGATGGCGGTAGGATAGAGCACAAATGGTTCAAGGGCAACAAGTAAGTCAACTTTGCAGGTGTAGAGCAGACCTGCCCAGTAGCAGTCAAGAAAACTTTGCTGCTGACTGCAAGATTATCCATGGCTGTGTGCAGCAGATGGCGCTATATGCTGCTTGACGTATTGCTAGTCTCTGTATCAGAGAGCTCAGCCAGGCTGAGTGGTCTTGTGCAATGTGCCAGGGTGAGTGGCCTTGTGCAATTGTACAGTCATGCCCTTGCATCTAGGCACAACAGACTTCACTCTCTCATGTGCTCAGGATCCCATGCTCATCAAGCCTGCAACCCAACCACCACCATCCAGCTCTACACTCCTTGGAAACGCTCCTTCTTTGGCCAGCACATGTTAAAGTACCCAAATCTGCATCTCTACATTGTTTTGCATTGCTCTACAGCCCTCTGCTCTGCTGTCAAGCATGGTAGAGCCAAAATGGCACACAAGGAAGCGCACCCAGGAGGAAGGGAGGATGGAAGAGGTCAGGGAGCACATAAAGGGCCATGAAGAAGAGCACCTGTACGTTCAGAACAAGGGGAACAATAGGCAGAACATCATGGTTGTCATCAGGAAGGAGGGCAGTAGTGAGGAGATGCTGCTGCAGCGGTTCCACATCTGTGTCAAGGAGCAGAAGAAGAAGGCCCATTACTACCAAGAGAGAGCAGCCCTGAAGGAGAATCCGGCATGGACCAAGCAGCACATGTTGGAAGGGATGCATCTGGGGGTCTAGTATAACTTTGGGGGGTGCTGGGATGGACAAGAGAGCACATGCACAACAGGGTGCGGCAGATGAGATGCACACATGGGTCAGAGAGCTTTTTGAGGCACAAAAGGGGCCCTGGCAGAAGCTCTTGGCAGAGGACTTCTTGGCAAGGGTGGAAGCGCGCGCAGAACACTTCCAATAGCTTCAGAGCCTCCTCCTTTCAGGCGCACAAATCTCATCCACCCTTGGTACGCCATGGCTGCTATTGTGGGGGGCTTAGATGACACCACAATGGAGACAACAACAACCTGTCCATCCTCATCAATTTTTGGGCCAAAGCCTGCCTCAAGCTCAAAAGAAAATCATCTGTCCCTTGCATGTTGTCTTTCTTTGCTTCAACCTCAATTATTGCCTACTGGAGACCTCAAGCAGCAATGCAGTAGCAAGATGGGCAATCTTCCTCTCTGCGCGCAAGGCCATTGTCAACAAGAAGGTCTTCCCCTCAATGCACATGAGGCACTGCACCAAGGAGCATAAGGAGAAGGGGGGTGTCCCCAAATGCAGCAAGCGCCAGAGGATCCAGTCTGTGAAGCTTCCCTAAATTACATTCCTGCACTCTCTTCTCCTTGTGTGTGTGGATGTTGGGAGCTGCGTGGAGGTACAGGAGAGCCTGGCAGGAGACTGTACTCAGCAGACCTGTCCCTTGCTTGGCACTGAGTGCCAAGGCAGTCAGACAGGCAGTACTACCTTGGGGACATGCAGCAGCAGCAGCCAGTGTTATCTAAGTCAGGTATGCAAAGCTCTGGTACACTTCTGCCTCAAGAAATTCAAGCAGGCATCAGGCCTATGCCCCCCTCTTGGCGCAAGCAGTCCTCCTGGCGCTTGGCAGAGGAGCTCCCCAAGTGGCTGCTCAATGACATGGTGCAGGGATCCCCAGACAGGTAGAAGGTGTGCTCCTTCAGCTGCAGAGAGGTGTGTGGTATCATACGCTCTGAACCACATGCAGCTCCTGCAGTGGCAAGCTTGTCTGCACCAGCTGCACTTGCACTGCCTTTGCCCACACCTCTGCGCGCTACAAGCACATGTTCCTTGCTGCACAGGCACTGGTCATGGGCCTTGAGCTTAAGGCTGTCCCGCAAGGCGTTGTCATGCAACAATGTGCAGTCAGAGACCCCACCTGCCTCAAGCGCAAAGACCTGCTGAACTAGATTGAGCGCACAGATGCTTTGCGCCCGGAGATGATGTGGAACCAAGACAGGCGTGGCAATGAAATGAGTTTGTAAATTCTCTATGTAGAGCAAGTGGGGAGAGAGGGGGGCCTGCTGCGCAGCAGACAGACTGGACTTCAGTCTGCCAGGCAACAACTTGCTGGCAATGCTGCCCCCCCCCCCCTGGCCACTTGGTGTGCGCACACAAAATTTTTGGGGCAAAGGGGGGCAAACTAACGTCTTCCCACAGTGGCGTGCGCATGGCCTGGCCCAGCTGCCTGCTTGCAGCCTTCGCTTTGCCTGCTTTCACCGCGCGCGCGGCCGCGTCTGCCTTTGCACGCTGACTTGGACGGCGCCGCCTTCTCAAGCAGTTCCTGCCGCGTCTCTGTGCCAGGACACACACCTCATCTCCTCTTGGGTGCATTGCATGGATGGGTGTGAGTTGAGAATAATGCGGTGATGGGATGTGGCAAGTGATTGTGTGACGCGGCGAGAGGGGAGAGAAGCTGCTAGGGGCCCACATGGCCTCACGAGCGGTCGACATCAAAGAGGCCCGCATCGCGGTCCACGCGTGCCCGCTCGCGAGCCTTGCGCGAGGCGCCGTAGAGCGCCTGCAGTGCCGGCCGCACGGGCTGCTGGTTCGCCACGGCGCTGATCGGGGCAGGGCATGATGAGCATGTGGTGGAGCATGCGTGCCTGACTCGGGGCGCAGCACTCACGTAGTGAACGACTCGACGAAGCGCTCGCGCTCCTGCAGCGACACACTCGACGTCGGCAGGTGCGCCGCCGTCGCCGCCACGCCCGCGGCCGTCTCGCTGGGAAAGGCAACGGCCAGGTGCCGCATGGCCGCCATGGCCGGATACATGACGTCGGGCGAGAAGGCGCCGGTGAGGCCCTGCAGCAGCAGTGCCACGAGCTGCATCACCTGCTCCGGCACCACCTGTCGGATGATGGCCGCGCAGCGCGCCGCCTCCTCCGATGGCGGCGTGCTGCGTACGCCGCCGTACGGCTCCAGAGCCACGCCGCGCTGCCCCTCGAGCACGGGCAGGCTGAGCGACTCGCTGCTGAGCACCTCGTTGAGGAACTCCAACGCCCCCTCGACCACCCGCTGGTCGAGCAACGTCAGCGCCGTCATGGCCACGCGCAATGCATGCGGAAAGACGGGCGAGAGGACGATTAGCGCCGTCGAGCGCGCCGTGACGTGTGCGCATGCGTTGACGTAGTCGTCGATGGCTGCGTAGAGTGTCAGCCCGCGCGCATGAGCCTGCCGCTACCTGTGCCGCACTCACTGTCGCTCATCTCCGCAGCCGGCGTCACCTCGAGCTGCTCGAGCGTCTTTGCACTGACGCGCTCGAATGCAGCCAGCATGGCAGCCTGCAGCTGGGCATCGGCGTGCGGGCCGTACGCATCGATGCACTTGCCGACGATCCAGATGTAGCACGAGTGTCCCGACGTGGCAAAGGCGTCGCTCAGCCGGCTCAGCATCGCCGGCACGACTGGCCGTGCGGCATCGCCAAAGAAGGCCATGCCGCGGCGCAGCAGATGACATGTCCGCTCAGCCACGACGACGGAGCTGCCGCGCGTCTCGATGATGCGGTCGAGCAGCGCATACACATCGACGCATGTCTTTGCGCACGCCTCTGGCAGCGGCTCCTCCTCAAGATTGCGTCCCCGGCCCAGCGCATGCAGGAAGACCTGCAGCTGCTCCATCTTGCTCGTGGCCTTGCCGATCGCCTCGCTGCTGCTCTCCGTTGACGCCGCAAAGGCCTGCAGTGCCTGCAGCAGTGGCTGCAGGAAGTGCAGCGCCGTGCTTGTCCGCTCGTCGGCACCTTGGATGCCAGCAACGACGAGTGCGATGGCCTCGGTAACCTGCATGAGGTCCGAGTTGGGCAACGCCTCGCCGCTCACGCTGTGGAAGAAGTCGTAGAGCTGCGGCAGGTACGGCAGCAGCAGATGCGCGCAGTCCTGGCACAGGTAGTTGAGCGCCTGTGCCGCTGCGGCGCCCGTGTCCTCGATGTGTGCGCCTTGCAGACCGCTGGAGATGTAGCTGAGCACGGGCGGTATCCGCTCCGGATGCGCCGCCACCCATTCCGTATACCGGCACACGACGAGCAGGCCGGCGTACTTGACCTTGGGGTGCTCCGGCAGCGCAGAGACAATGTCCATGATACGTGGCGTCACGTCGTTGTCCTGCATGTCCGCCACACGTCCCATGGCGCGCATCGAGAAGAGCGGCACCTCGATGTCCTGCCACTTTGGCCCGGCGCCCGAGGCACCCGCAGCCGATGCCTGCGCCAGCAGCTCCTCAATCATCTGCAGCGAGCGCGTGAGGCACTCGCGTGCACCGAGCACTTGGCAGCAGTCCTTGAGTGTGTCGCCGAGATTATGCCGCAGCTCGCGCTGGTCCGCCACGTCGCTTGCCGAAGCCGTGTCGACGTCGTCGGACCAGCGCAGCAGCCGGATGACGATGCTGAGGATGCGCTCGAACACGTCCAGGAACGGCTGGATGCTCGGATCGGCACGCGCCTTGCCCAGCCCGCTGGCCAGCATCCACCAGAAGCGGAAGGTGATCTGCACGATCTCAATCTCGGCGTACGCGGCGCACGAGGCGATGGCCTCGACGATGGGGAAGAACTGCTCCCGGTGCCGCAGGATGAGCTGGTGATACGTCTCGCCGGCGGCGACGAACAGCCGGCAGAGGCCGCGGACCTTGTCGTCGTCGCCGTCCTCGATGGCCTTTGCCAGGTCGGCCCGCAGCGGCAGCAGGCGCGGCACGATGAGCTCAATGGCGCCCATGTTGTCGTGCACCTCCTGCGTCTCGTTGATGACGTCGCAGAGCACGTCGATGGCCACGTCGAAGAGCTCGTCGGACTGCAGCGCCTCGAACGAGAGCTGGAAGAGCGGCGTCGCGATCAGCGTCGAGGTCTGGATCTCGCCGGCGCGCAGCCAGCTGCGCAGGCACTCGAACACGGCGCTCTGTATTTGCGAGGTGATGCCTGGGCGCGCTGAGCGTCAGCAAGCGCAGCGAGTCTCTTTCAACGAACGTGCTGCACACACACCTTGTGCCTGAATGTACATCGCGAGGATGCGCAGAACCTCGTCGGCATGCGCAGAGAGGAGAGAGCTGGCCCGCTCCTTGTATCGGTCGTTCTGTGGAGGGACTGGGGTGAGACACCTCTTCGCGCAGTGATTGCTCCCTGCGCGCCACTGCCTCGGCACCTCGCATACCCCAGCTCTGCTTTCGTCAGCACTCACATCGATGGGAATGCGGTGGTTCGTCGTGATCTCCTCCGGCAGTGCCGTGAGGAACTCGAGCAGCAGCGCCACGCTGCTCGGGTCGTTGCCGAAGCGCTCGATCATGGCTGGCACGACGCGGTCGCCCCACTCTGGATCGCTGCCCGGCTCGAGCTGCAGTGCCAGCGCCGCGAGCGTGAGGCAGAGCTGCGTGCGAATCACCCGCGGGCCCTCGAGATAGGCTGCCAGCGCAGTGAGGAGCGTGGAGCGCAGGGCCAGACGCGAGGCTGGCGGCACTTGCTCCAGGTCGAATGTGGTCTGTAAGGCGTGAGACGTGAGCAAAGTGGCGCAGATCCGCTCGCCGGGCAACGCACTTTTGTGCGGAACGTCTGTGCAGCAAAGAGACGCGGCTCGACGGGCAGGTCCTGCGCGAGGAGCAGGCTGTTGGCCGTCTCCCATGCCTCGGGCTGTTCGCAAGCAGTGGTGAGCATGGCGGCACGCGGCTGGGTGGCCAGAGGCACGCTGCAGCGGCGCCACGCACCTGCGACTGGAACGTCTGCAGCCATGCGTTGGCCTGCTCCTTTGCCGCACGCTCGGGGTTCTTGTACAGGGCGTCGAGCGCGCCGAGCACGCCGGCGATGGCGGGCGAGGGCGCGGCGGACGCCATGGCGCGGGCGGCGAGTGCGGCGGGCGTGGAGGTGCGAGCGGAGCAGTGCAGCGCTGCACGGACAGAGGGGTGCGGTGGTGTGAGGGGGCTGGTGTGGAGCTGCAGCAAGCGCTCGGCAGCAGCGCGGCTGGCCGGAAGATGCTGCTCGAGCTGGCGCCTCGGCGGCGGTGGAGCATGGGCCTGGCTGGGCGGGCGTGTCACGTGCGCCACCCCCGCAGCGCACGTCCCGAAGCGGCCTGCCGCTGCTCCACCTCGTGCTTGCTTCGCGCTCGCCATCCGCCTCGCTGCCTCTCCCCTCCCCTTTCCCGTCGCGCTTCCAGCGTCAGCCGTTGCGCCGCCATGGCGACCTTCCTGCCCTCCAACCATGGCGCCTCGCAGGGGCCGCTCATGACGCCGCTGGCCTCGGCCTCGGCCTCGGCGCCCGCCCGCGTCTGCTACTTCTTCGACTCGGACATTGGCAACTACCACTACGGGCCCGGGCACCCCATGAAGCCGACGCGCATCCGCATGTGCCACTCGCTCGTGATGCAGTACGGCCTGTACAAGAAGATGGAGATCTTTGTGAGTGGCGCGTGCAGGCAAGAGGCGTGCGAGAGGGAGGCAGAGGGCTGGCAGTGCTGCACAGGCAGGCAGCCGCAGCACGGCTGACGACGGCGCGCCACCACAGAGAGCCAAGCCGGCGACGAAGCGCGAGATGTCGCAGTTCCACACCGACGAGTACGTCGAGTTCCTCAACCGCGTCACGCCCGACAATGTGGACCACTTTGTGCGCGAGCAGGCCAAGTGTGAGTGGGCAGAGCTGAGTGGGCATAGGCGAGGATCTGTGAGGCAGGAGGGATGCTGGACGGATGGAACAGCCAGGAGAGCAAGCTCCCCCGCCAACAGATGCTTGTCTGCACAGCTAGGACGCTGCTGTGTCGTCTGCCGTGCTGCTCTCCCGGCAGGGGCATTGCAGCAGCGTCCGATCTTCTGTCGTTGGGCGGTAGCTCGCTCTCCGCGAAGCGAGTGCATGAGCTCTGTCTATCTCCTCATCCCTTCTCCACTCGATTCTCGTCGCGCGCACAGCATCTGACACTTCGCGCCTGCAGTCAACGTCGGCGACGACTGCCCCGTGTTCGACGGCCTCTTCGAGTACTGCAGCATCTCAGCCGGCGGCTCGATGGGTGCGTCTGCGCCTCGATGCCGCTCCAAATGCCAGAGGGAGTGCTGATGCGGCTTCGCTGCGTGTGCCACAGAGGGAGCAGCACGGCTCTCGCGCGACAAGTGCGACATTGCAGTGAACTGGGCGGGCGGCCTGCACCACGCCAAGAAGGGCGAGGCGAGCGGCTTCTGCTACATCAACGGTGAGCGGCATTTGCAGCTGATGCCTTGACGCACTCGTCCTGCGATCGCACTGCGCATCTCCCTCCCTCCTGTCTGGCTCCGCGTGCGCGATCTCACTGACGCACTGCCCGCTCTCAAGACATCGTGCTCGGCATCCTCGAGCTGCTGCGGTATCACCCGCGCGTGCTCTACATCGACATTGACGTGCACCACGGCGACGGCGTCGAGGAGGCCTTCTTCACGACAGACCGCGTGATGACGTGCTCGTTCCACAAGTACGGCGAGTTCTTCCCCGGCACTGGCGAGCTGCGAGTGCGTACCGACACCCTTCTGCTTGAGACAATGAGGCGCGAGCAAGGCTGATGGTCCCGCTGCCTGACAGGACATCGGCATTGGCGCAGGCCGCAACTACAGCGTCAACTTTCCCCTGCGCGACGGCATCACAGACGAGAGCTACAAGAGCGTCTTCGAGCCGGTAAGCAGCCCGCCGGTCCTGCGACTCGCGGATCGTTGCTGACCCGCAAGCGCTCGCAGGTGATCAGCCAGATCATGGAGCACTACGCGCCGTCGGCCGTCGTGCTGCAGTGCGGCTCCGACTCGCTGGCGGGCGACAAGCTGGGCTGCTTCAACCTGTCGATGCGCGGTACGTGTGCCGCACGCACGCTGCTCTCCGAGCCATTGCTGACGCTGACCTCTCACAGGGCACGCCAACTGCGTCGAGTTCGTCAAGAGCTTCAATCTGCCGCTGCTGCTGCTGGGCGGCGGCGGCTACACCATGCGCAACGTCTCGCGCGCGTGGGCATACGAGACGGGCCTGGCGGCCGGCCAGGAGCTGAGTGCCCGTGAGTGTGGTGCTTGCCCCCTCCCTGCGACAACCGGGAGGCTGACTGGTGCGCCTCAGAGGTGCCCGTGAACGAGTACTACGAGTACTTTGGGCCCGACTACCGGCTCGACGTGCGGCCGAACAACATGCAGGACCTCAACACGCCGGCCTATCTCGAGAAGATCAAGACGCAAGTGTTTGAGAATCTGCGGCACACAGCCCACGTGCCGTCTGTGCAAGGGCACGAGATTCCACGACTGGCGCACGACGAGGAGATGGAGGAGGAAGATGCGCTGCGGGAAGAGGCGCTGGATGCCGACATCCGTGCGATTCGCGATGGCAGGAGTCGAGACAAGCACGTGCAGAAGCGAGGCGAGCTGTCGGACTCGGAAGATGAGGGAGAAGGAGGAAGGAGAGATCGTAGGAATCACCGCAAGGTCGGCATCCGCAGTCCGATGAGGGAGAATGGCGTCATGCGAGATGCCAGTCCGACGCCTGTGCCGACAAGCGACGTGCAGATGGCGGCCTCCGAGGCATCAGCGGCCGGACCACAGGCGGCCGCGCCATCAACGGCATCGCCGGGCGCACGGCAGGTCGACGGGCAACTACCAACACCGTCGGCACCGGCAGCAGCAGCGGCGCCACTCGCTACGGATGATGTCAAGGCGGAGCACGAGGCGCCACAAGACGCAGCATCGACATCGGCGGCGCTGGCTGAGGCAGCAACATCCGAAGCGAAGCCCGCGCAAGGCGCATCCGAGAGCGCAGCACCTGCCGAGGCGGCACCTCCATCCGAGCCAGCTGCAGCAGCATCGACGGAAGCATCTGCAGCGCCTGCTGCCGTTCCAGTACCGGCGTCATCAGCGCCGCATGATGGCACAGCAGCGGAGCCGACAGCTGCGCCGCCAGTTGTCGAAGCGGCAGCAAGCACAGGGACAGACGACGTGGAGATGCGTGCTGCTTCTCCCGAGCCCGCAGCGACATCTGCAGGCGCACCAGCAGAGGCCGCCCCTGCATTGCCAGCACCAGCTGCTCCAGCGGCGCAGACCGAGCAGCCGGCCACGACGAGCGAAGCGGCACAGGGAGACGAGTCGATGAGCTGAGCGCGCCTGCAAATCGTCGAGCGGTGGTAGTGTGAAGGGCGCTGCCTAGCTGCTTCTGTCTGCCCCTCCTAGAGTGTGCTGTGTTTGGGCTGTTTGTAATGTTACTCTGCCTCCTTGCTTGAGCGGAAGGAGGATGTGCTCCAAGACGCGCGATCTCAAACGCTCGAGGCGGGTCCGTGCCACGGCCTGGCCCTTGAGCTTGGCGCGGCGACTTCGAGCAGCAAGCCACACGACACGCGCGAGGCGCGTGCAGCGCACCTTGGCTTCCCTCCACATCCTCTCCAGCGAATGCAAGTCCGCGTCCAGGCGCCAGCGCCAGCGCTCTCTCGCATGGGTCCTCCAAGCTCAAGCTCGAGCGTCGCTCCGGCAGCAGAGGCAGAGGTGCGCCGACGAAGCAGTGCGGCCATGACGCCAGCCACGGGACCCGGCGTAGGGCCCGGCGCAGAGGCGGCTGCGAGCACGTCCTCCAGCCCGCCGCAGGTGCCACGGCCGCGCCGCTTGCGCATCAACGGCGTCGTGGGCAAGGTGGTGCCGTGCATCCTGTGCGTCGGGCTGCGCTCTGACAACTTGCTGCGAGGAGGCTGATGCGCTGCGCTCTCGCACAGGCTGGCCTATGTCTCGTACGTGGTCTGGCGCAGCGTGCAGCAGCGCCACGCGCTGACCATGCATCGTTCAGCGCATCATACCGCCTCGTCGTGTACGACTTTTCCTGTCAGTCTTTCAGCTTGACCGCACAGCTCTGGGTGCTCACTGTCTCTATTGTTCAGATTTGCATCTCTTCAAGACGCGGCACTCGCCGCTGCGCATGGCACTCCATCTCGTGCCCTCGCACCTTCTCTTCCTCTACTCTCTGCGCGCCTACCTCCAGATCTACCTTGCGCATTGCCGCAGCGCACCCCGTCCTTCTCGCTCCGCGCGTCTTCTCGCTGCCGTGCCAGGCCTCGCATGGCTCAGAGGCACGCACCTGCCCGAGCCGCCGCGCGAGCCACCCGGAGGCGAAGAGTGGAGACGGCACTTGACGGAGGTCACGCGTGAGGGAGAGCTGGTGCGCTGCTATCGCGACAAGTGTGGCGGAAGATGGAAGGCGCCTCGGTGAGCTGTGCCAATGGCTGTATCGATTCGCTTCGCTGATCAGCTCGTTGCGCCCAGGACTCGACACTGTGGTGATTGCCGCACGTGTCGCCCAGGGCTGGACCATCATTGCCCTTGGGTGCGTCTTGCTGCACATCCGCTCGGCCACTCACTGACGCTGCCCGCGCAGTTCGACGCAGATGTCTCGCTGCTCTCCACGCTCTTTCCGTTCCTTTCCTTCCTCACTCTCGTCCCAGTGCTCTTCAGCTGGGCCTATCTGCCCCTCCTTCCCCTCGCCTGGAGGCATGCGCGCGCAATAGCCTCCTTTGCGAGCGCATCGCAGGTGCTGCGAGAGAAGTGGTGGAGTCGCAGACGCAGCTGGATCGGCGGCCCGATTTGGAGATGGGCTGTCGGATGGATGTGGGGTGAGTCCGAGGCCCTGTTGATTTGGCGAAGACGTGCTGACGCGATTGCAGCTGCGAGGATATACCCGGCGGGACGTGAAGAGATCGACTCGCTGTCGAGCGCTCTTGCTCAGCCAGGCGCTCGACTGCCGCTGCTGTTCATAGGCGGCGCAGGCATGGTCTCCATCGCCCTCGGTCTGTCCCCAATGTGCATGCACCATCAGCGGACTGCTGTGCTCACGCCCTCAGCTCCGACAGCGCTGCTGGCCTCCACGCTCCTTGCGCTGGGCCGAGGCGAAACGAGCATCGATGTCGCGCGGCGCAAGGCCGTGCATCGACAGGCAGCTGCCGCAGCGACCACGAGCGATGCACTGCTGCAAACGCAGCGCATCGAGGCAGTGTCGCACTTCTGGGTGCCGTTCCCCGACGATGGACGCTCGGCGGGCACAGGCGAGACGGGAGTGGTCCTTCCGACGCTGCCGCATGAACGGCCATACGATCTCGGCTCGAGGCGCGACAATGTCCGCACGGCTCTCGGGTGCGTCAATGGGCTGTCTCAAGGGGGAGAGGGGGAAAAGGGCCACAGCTGACGTTTTAACTTCGACCAGCTGGAACCGATTCCATCCGCCGTCCAGGCTGGCGATTGCGTGGCCGCTCAACGCGCGCGTCGAGCAGCGGCTGCGCGAGGAGGCGGCGCGCCGACGGCAGGAGACGCGCGCTGCTGCAGACGCAGGACGCTGATGCAGCAGGGAGCGAGGAAGGTAGAATGAGCAAGAGACGTGAAGACGAAGGCTCTATCTTGTTGACTAGGACGGATCGTGCGTGAGGGGCGTATGGAAGTGAGGCAGGGCAGGGGGGCAAGGGAGAGGCACTGGACAAACGTGCCCTGTCTATAGAGAAAGAGGGGGGAAAGAGGAGGCGAGGCAAGGAGCCACGCATCACTGCGCAAGTGCACGGAGCTAATTCGTCACCTCGTCGTCTGGATCGGGCGTCGCAAGCCACTCGAGGATCTGATCCATGAAGGGCCCATTGGCCATGAGCGTTTCGCCGTGCGCGGCGCCTTTGGCAAGCACGATGTTGCCGCCGTCTTCGAGGTCTCGCATGCCGTGCGAGCGCAGATAGCGCCGATTGGCGGCGGCGTTGAGGACGGCGTCGTGCTCGGAGAGATAGACCTGCGAGGCGGAGGAGTGAGTCAGCGGGGAAAGAAGAGGGGGGGGGGTGAGACGGACCCGGACGTGGTGCGCTGACTTGAGGTTGGGACCGAGCTCGGAGGGCCAGAGGATGTTGGAGGTCCAATCGACTGCGGGGGCGCAGGCGGGGGGAGGGATGAGCCCCATGTATCACCAGCGAAAGTGATCCGCGTGAGGGCAGACACGCAAAACAAACGCACAGTGTCGATGCAGAGCATGTGCGGTGCCCAGTTCGCGCCCGACAAAGTAGCGCATCAGCGCTTGCACGGGCGACTTGGGCTTGCCGTAGAGGAAGTTGCTGGGTAGGACAGAGTTGAGCAGAGAGGGGAGGGGGGGGGCGGCGAGAGAGGGACTTACTCGATGACGTGAGGGACCCAGAGCTGGAAGCAGACTGGACGCAGAGTGCGAAAGGTGTCAGCCTCTGGAAGCGCGCACAGGGGGAGACTGTGCCACGAGACAGTGTGTGTACGCACCCGGATCGACGATGCAGCATCTGCGCACCAGCTCTCCGAGACTTTTGATGAGCCACGAGCCGACGATGGTGCCCATGGAGTGGCTGACGATGGTGATGCCCACGCGGTGCCAGCCTTCGTGCTGGATGATGCCGCGCAGCGTCTCGACCATCTCGTGGTGTCCCACGGGCGCAAGAAACTGCTTGTGAAACAGCGCCTGGCTGGTGTGCGGGAACAGCGGCACGAGGATGGGATGCGTCGAGGCCACGGGAGAGGAGGTGAGACGATAGAGAAAGTTGGCGTATTGCGCTAGACCGATACTTGAGAGGCCAAGTGAGCGAGGGGATAGCATGAGTGGGGCACCGGGGGCGAGGGCGAACGTACCCGAGACCGTGCAAAAAGACGATGGGCCGATAGCGCGAATCGCCGCTCTCGGCTTTGGCTCGACTCCAGCCCTTGGGGCGCCAGATGAGATACTCCACTCTGCCCTCGCGTTCATGCTTGAAGCCGCGCCGTACGGCGCCCATGAGTGCCAGGCGGGAGAGGGCGTTGGTGGCGAGGTAGCTAAGGGAACATGCGAGACGGGGGGATCAGGGTTCAGTTCTCAACCCTGCTGGCAGAAGCGCAGGAAGGAGGGGGGAAAACAGGAGACTCACGAAGCCAAGGGTCGGCCATCAACTCTCACGCGATCCATCGTCAAGCGCATGCTCTTCAACTTGGGTGCACTCTTCAAGCCCTCCTCATCCGTGCCCACGTCTGCTCCCCAGTGCGGCGCTCGTTTGGGGAACGCACACCCTTGTCTCGCCTCTACGAGTTCGCGGCAGTACAGGATGAGGTCCAGTCTGGACTCGGAGACGGGGTCCCATTCACCCGGCAGACTCGTCGTTGTCGATGTCGATGCGGCTGTCGTTTCATCCCGCGCGCGAGCGGCCAGTTGCGCCTTGTTGCGCCGCGCCGAACTGTCGCTTCCCGGCGCCGGCGAAGGAGCGAATGCGCGTGCAGGCGGCGGCATGGGACTGCCACTGCGAGCAATCGGCTCGGCGTCGCGCCACACTGCCAGTCCGCCGGCGCTCGTGGGCGCAGAGAGCGGCACGCCGGCGGAAGAAGGCGCAGAAGAAGAGGAGGCTTCGGCCTCGATTACCTCGAGATCCACACCGAATAAGGCCCAGGAAAGCCACCGCTCGGCATCGCGCGCAGTGATGTGCGAACGCGGAGCTTGGAACCAGAGCGCGAACTCCTGGAGATGGGCAGAGCACAAAGGAGAATGAGCTATGCGGCGACACCTCCTGATGGAGAGCACACGAATGTAAAACGCTGCTACTCGCTCTGTGTCTCTGAGCTGTCCAGCCCGTTCGTTCGCCTTACTTTACGTGCCTGGCCCTCCCCCCTTCCTTCCTCCGATTCTGCCTCCCCGCCCCCCCGCCCCCTCTCGAACCCACCTTCCCCCCCCTCCCCCCCTCTCCCTTCTCACGCTCGAAAACTCACATCACGAAACCTCCTAGCGCGCACATCCTCCTCCTCCAACGGCTGATCAAACACAAAGCTCGGCAGCACGCTTGCTGCTCTTAGTCTTGCGTGCTGCTTGAGAAAGTGCGGCCGTTTCGGCGGCTGCAGCTGCTGTGAAGTGCCTGCCGCCGTACCCGCAGCCGAGGAGGAGGAGGAAGCAGCGACAGGCGCCAGACGCTGCCGCAGTTGCATGTTGCTGCCCGTCGAGCCCGTCGAAGAGGCAGTGGTAGGAGTGACCACGCTGCCATTGCCGCTGTTGTTGCTGTCGGCTTCGGGCGCGCAGACATGGCCGTCATCATCGTATGGCGCAAAGTCATTCATGCCCGTCTCGAGTGCGCGAATCAGCACTGCGCGTGCAGTCCATGAGCAAAGCTGTTACCAGACGAAGAGGGCGCAGAGGGGGGAAGAGGACATGGACACACTCACCTCCGCGCAGAAACCTCCTTCCATACACGGGCGGCGGCCCGGGCTGCTGCACCTGCCGCACCAGATACGCATGGTAGAGGCTAAACGCCGCCTCGAGGGCGCAGTAGGCTGCGAGGCCTGCGTGCAGTGGCTTTGGCAGAGGCAGAGGCGCGCCGCGAAAGAAGGTGAGGAAGAGGTAGAGCCAGGAGAGAGGAGTGATGCACCAGACGCCGTGGATTACTAAGTAGACTGAGAGACGTGAGAGATGTAGCATGGAGGAGGCGGCTGTCATGGCCGCGCGAGTGGGGCCCGCGGCGCCGGAGCGCAGGGCGTGAGCGAGGAGAGAGGTGGGTGAGAGCGCCCCGGGGGCGGGGGCCGCGCACAAGGCGGACGGCAGGCAGGCGTAGCTGCGCGTGAGATGCGGCAGAGAGCAGCGATGGTAAGTGTGAGATGAGGGCGGCGGTGATGGTGGTAGGGAAACAAAGCGCCGAAGTGACAGAGTCAGAGTGGAGGGCGCGGCCATCGGCGGGCGCGGCACAGCAACACCGAAATGCACATCTCCGCGCGCGCGCCGGCGCCGGCACGTCTGAGCCGGGGGCCCTCACTTCGCATTTGTGGACACTCTGCATCCTCTCACTCTCCTTCGTCTCCACTTTCAGACCTGCTCGCTTTTTGCTCCTCGGCACTACTACTGATCGCCTCTCTCTCTCTCTCTCTCTCTCAAAGCGCACCGACGACGGGCGTGACGAGTTCATGCCTCACGGCGCGCGCCGCTCCCGAGCGCTGCCTGGTGACGCAAGCACAGCTTTCTTGCCGAGCTTTCTTGACCACAACACAGCGAACCTGCCGACGGAGCGTATTCAAAACAGAGGTGAGTCGCATGAGCATCCCGTAAGTCGTGTGCACACGCTCACTTGCCGTGGCATCATCACGCAACGACACAGCAGACACAGGCACAGTGGGAAACGCATCTTCGCAATTTGAACAGCCAAGACGAATCAAACGGCAAAAGTACAAACGCCACGCCCTCTTTGCGCCGCAACGTCAAGCGTCGAGCGTCGAGCGTCGCGCAGCGTCTTATTGACGAGCAGCCACCTTTGGCTCCCATGCGTTCTGTGCGCGCGAAAAGCGCGAGGCGGAGAGTTAGCGTCAGGGTCTTGTGCGCGGCTCCCGAAGATGTGTGTGTGGGGGGGGGGGCTTTGGCGCCCGAGAGAGGATCTAGAAGGCAAGAAAGTGTACACTCACTATCTTGGGCCGCGTAGTGTTGTACGTGCGAAACGCGGCGCGCGTGCCCGTCGTCGACTCGCTTGGCGGCTGTTGTGTTGATCGAGATCGAGCGTAGAGGGGGAGAGAGAGAGAGAGAGAGGTGGGTCAGTTTCGATGTTTCGCATGTGTCGAGCGGGGCGGCAAAGGTCCCTCCTGCTGCACCGCACTCTGCCGAGCCGAAAAAGAAGTAGACCTCGAAGCTTTGCCTCTGCACCAGCGCAGCGCGAAAGCACGCCCCCTCCCCCTCCCCCCCCCCCCCCCCCCCCCCCCCCCCCCCCCCCCCCCCTTTGTGCCCCCGGGGGGGGGGGGGGGGGGGGGGGGGGGGGGGGGGGGGGGGGGGGACGGCTGTCCTTTCGAAACGCTCGAGGGGGGCACAGCTAGCTAACGCCTGAAAGCGATGCAGTCCCGCATGGCCACGACTCTGTCCCCCCTCCCTTTTCCTTGCCCCGCTCGAGAGAGAGAGATAGAGAGAGCAAAAAAAGCCCACGCTCTCTCTCTCTCTCGCTCTCCTGAACCCGGCATGGGAAAGACAAACACCCCTTCGCACATGCATGCTGCTGCTGCGCGCGCACAACCCCCCTCGATGCGAGGGCTGCACTGCCCTTCTTGCCTATCGTCCGTCGCCCAAGTGCAGGGACGCCCACGCGTTCCTTCTCTCCCTTATGCGCCTGCCTTGCCCTCCCCCCCTCCCCTCCTCCCATCAACATCCTTCCCCTCACTCACCGCCTCCCACGTCTGTCTAGCGTTCAGCACCACCTCGTCGTTCGTAGGCGGCGCCGTCTTAGTATGGTGCAGCCAGGCATGCCACACGGGCTCAATCTGCGAGACATGCACGTCGTGCTGTGCAAAGTCGACCCAGCGATGCCGGCCGGGCACTTCGGTGTGGTCTTCGTAGTACTTGTTGCCGTTGCTGCCAAGCAGGGAGGGTGAGTAAGGTGATGAGGAGGCACGAGAAAGAGAAAGCGACGCCATGTAGGCCGCATTGGGCATTGGCGCACTCGTCAAGGCAAGCGCACAGCCCGCGACACTCGTTCGTCCCTCTCTCTCTCTCTCTCTCTCTC